TGGGGTTTGGGACTGTAGGGTTTAGGGGTTTAGGGTTTAGTTTAGGGGTTTAGGGGTTTAGGGTTTAGTTTAGGGGTTTAGGGGTTTAGGGATTTAGGGGTTTAGGGTTTAGGGATTTAGGGGTTTAGGGTTGAGGGATTTAGGGATTTAGGGGTTAAGGATTGAGGGTTTGTTCGAAAGGGTTTGGGGTTATAGGGCTCAGAAGACGGCCAGGGAGAGATGTGTCATCCTCCTTCCTCAACATGGATACACGGTGAGTCCCGCAGGGTTCTGAGTCTTACGACACCCCAAAAGAACGACACCGTCTTCCGAACCCAAAGACTTCAAAATGTCAAAATGCCCAGTAGTCCCCGAAACCCAGTCACTGGTCTCGAGCTTGCCATCAGTAGAAACGCCGGAGTATTTTTAATTTTGATCGATAAGATTCCCAAAGGAATTCGTTCGGAGAGGGCCGCAAAGGAAGGTTAATGGTGTATTTCTGATGAACCACACATACTGTAGCTCAGCTTTACGACTCGCCCGGGCTCCTTAAATCAACCCATCCCGTACCCCGTGCGAAGGATAGCGGACACTGACGAAAATCCTGGTATACCAAGCTGGAAACTTTGCTTGAGGAGCCACCGCCGTTCAGGGGTTAATAGAAGCTGCAACATAATTGGGTCAGGGTTTACATAGGGCCTTTTTAAACATCCCTACGTATGTAATTCAGGGCACAGGGGATTGTGTGGACTCTTACTTACGGTCAAATAGCACCAACAATCAAGATCTTCGATGCCATGAGCTCAAAATTCGTTTTTTAGAGGGTTTAGAGTTTAGGATTTTGGTCGACGGCGGCGCCCATTCCTGTTGCCTCCTTGGTCGCGAGAGCCCAGTGTTGTTTCACATGAAAGCATATGGGTCCAGAAAAGAAATCGTCATCCCATCACACGGCACCTGCCCGTATCTTCTCAAGCAGGCCTAAGCCTTATGAACCCTGAGGATATCCAACTGTTTGCCTTTTGTCACACAGCTTGAAACTCGTGCACTTGAGACAGTTTCCTTGACGACTGGCCGCGACGACATAAGCTTACGGCGTAAGGGTTACTGCCCTGGCCGTCGTCGTCGCCAGCTCCTTCGTTGCTTTATCCTGCTGGCTGGTGCTTTCAATACTGGCTGTTTCTGCTTCTACTCACCCTAGACCTTGTTCTAGTTCCTAAACCCTACGAGCATCAGCCACTTTCTCTTCGTACGACAGCGTTGCTGCCACTGGTACTGACACCCTGCCGACCTAGGATTCTGGGCAAGACGGACGGCAACGCGCTGTTGTCGACGCTGGCGTCGTATACTGCAGGTCCCCACTCATCCAGAAGATTCGGTTGCTGAGTGTTTTTGAGAGCAGGATTCCTTAGTTGCCTGCGTGCAGGATACGTGACGCTGGACATCACCGATGCTTATCGCATGCCTGCCCTGGGCATCTACCAGAGTGATATCTACGGCCAGAGGGTGTACATGAAGCAATGAGCACTGGGGAGTTTAGGATTCAGAGTCTAGGCTGCTGATGGTCAACGTCGGAACGGACGGCTCCTCCTTCCTTCCTTGCCAAGCGAACGACGACCCACCTGGGCTTCGGCAACAGCAAGCCCGAGCAGATGGCTGGCAGAGGGGCGAGGTGAACATGAAAGTCTGCGGAGGCTGGGTGATGTGTGAGGTTAACCCACCGGAGTTTTGGACGACAAGTGGAACCAGCATAGCCATCTGTTTTTTTCAGTGGTCTATCATAAAACCGCCTGATGCTTGTGTATAGGCTATGAGCAGAGCAAGGTTTTAGACAGGACCTCTCCAATAACCTGCGGCTTTTGATTTCTTAGTTGCGTACGTTTATACACACATGATTGGCGGCAAACCCAGTAGTTTTCAGTAGCTTAGTCCCTACATAGTTCAACTGGTCCTTCTTGGGAGAAAACATCAGTGGCACCGACCAAGTCTGTGACCCTTCAAAGGTGCCGACTGTGGCGTACCATACTGCTTCTCTTGGCGCCGACGCCGTGTGCTCTCCCTCACTGGAAAGCCGTGGACCGAGATGTTCAATTTTCAACCTGTCATTCTCGTAGCCAACAATAAGGTTCAGGGTTTGCGGTTTAGGGTCGGTTAGGACAGGCATTCCCTAAACCCTAGACCGTCTATGCTTGAGTGCGCAACCTAGTTTTGCCTTCTTCTGTCTGTGATTTGTAACTTTTGCGCTGAAGCTCAACTCTTAACTTTGGGGTTTAGGGTTTGAAATCGCTGAGTTCCCGAACTTCATCCCGCAGCCATAGCCTCTTAAACGAAAAAAACCTTGAAACAGCTCCAAGCCCCTGATTCTAGCAGCCTTGACTTGAAACCTCTAGACTCGAAGCCCCAATCTCAAAGCTTAAGCCTCAAAGCCACAACACGCGCAGAGAAGCCAGCATGCAGTTGCCAAAGAGCCCTTCAACAAAAAGCACATCCCCACAGAAATCCAGCCGCTGTTGGCCCTGCTTCCATGGGCGTCCTCGCTCGCTTCGCCAGCTTGCTTCACGATGGAGAGAGCTCCGAGGCAGGATGGGTTTACGGTTTGGGGTTCTGTGTTCGTCCGGAGAATCGCGTCGCTGGCAGTGTCATTGTCATCGACTTACGTGTTTTTTTGCTGGGTTTACTTGACTACGTTATGGCCTTTGCCACTGCTATGCTTCTTACTGCTGCTGCGGCGCAGCACTGTCCGAGGTAAGAGTTTTGCTGTCGTTTATTTAGCTGAGCTTTGCTGAGTTTCCTGAGGATACATGTTGCATTATGTTTCGCTACACACTGCTTGAGGGTGGGGGGCGTTCAAGAAGGCACAGAAACTCGTAGGTTGCATACCTTATTTGATGAATCCTCCAGAATCCTGTACATACCCCATACCTCCCCCCCGTCCAAACAAGGTTCACTATTGTAGGGGCCTTACAATAACTACCTATACAATTTGTGTGGGGGGCTCTATATTATAATTGTAGTATAATATATCCCAAAACCCAATTCCAATTATTAAGGCCCTTACATTACCTTGATCCTTTAAGTCGATAGTCGATATGTCGTGGTGGAATGGGTTTCTGTTGCGGCTCCTGCAGGTCTCGGGGCTCGAGAGTTCGTGAGGAGGAACCACAGGGGTTCCATAAGGCTTGAGGGTTTGGGGGAGGGGGGGGGGGTGCCGCTGGCTTTCGGGCCGGGATTAGCCTCTCTTGGTTTCAGGGCTTTGGCTGCAAGTCGGGTATCGGGGCGACGGCCTAGCAGGGTTCTGGGATTTTTACATATGCAGCCACAATTCTAGTTTGAGGTTTTCCTACATATCATTTGCAGAGTGTGGTACTGTGTTTAGTTTGTCCTGCTGGAACATACGGTCTTGATACTGGGCCTCGAGTATAAATCCTAAGCCACTGTCATGACAATGCACCGGGTCTTCATCGCTGCTTGTAGTGACTGATCCATACAGCCAGCTATCTGCATCATTGTTCTACTGGCTCTTTTGTTGCCTTCTTACTGACTGCTCTATTGCTCATGTTGCTTAACTGTCGCAGGCGTACGCGTACCATCCCAAAGCCAAGCTCCACAAGGACGTGATCAGGGCTTCTATAACCCTCAACCCCAATCCCAAGTCGTTGTGACAGTCAAGTTTATGGTTCATGAGGTGTTGCAGATTGTCGAGTCTAAGTCTAGGCTTCTACTAGCGGCTCTTGGGGTGTAGGGTGAGGTTTGGGCTTTGAAGTCGTGTGAAAGATCAGGGGACTCAGCGGCTAGTGTATCAGCAGATGTTTGAGTTTCAATCTGCTCAGCTGTGCCACAATTTAGCGATCGCGAAACTCTTCGACCAGGAAGGACGGGGCACAGGTGTACCGAGAACTAGAGGCCCTGAGAGGAGAACTTTAAAACCGCGAACCTTAATCTCTCATTCCCACATCGTAAGTCCTAAAAACCTACACCTAAAATGCCAAACCCTCTAAGCACTCAGAAGCCCCCCCCCAACTCAGGCACAAATCTCTAAAGCCACCAAGGGCCGAGGACCCTAAATCCCAAACTCAGAACCCCCCGAGCCCCAAACCGACCGCCGAAGCTTAGTCCGACGCTTCGCCGAAGGACTTCCTCGACTTTTGTGCCTTGGCCCGACTTCGTCAGGTGATGCGGTTGGGGTGTTACCGGTGTTTAGGGTTGAGTGTCTGGGGATTTAGGCTTACGGTTTGGGGCTTATGGGAGGCTTCGAAGGAGGGCCTTTAGTGCCTCAGGTTTCTGTCCCACGGCTTCTTGGGATTCATGCTCAAGAGCTTTTGGGAAATCAGGGTCAGGAACACAGACGTCTGGAGCCGCAAGCTCAGAGCGACATGAAACGAGTCTTTGTAAGATCTTCGCACAAAACCTCCAACTGTCCGATGTTCACGGCTATGGTAGTTTCCGGCAAACTTTGTAACAGGCTCAGTGGGGCCTGACTAAGTAGAGTGATTGATCAGTTGTATATTGGCGGCAAAGCTGTCAACCTCAATTTCTGAAGCCTGAGGTGGTGCCCCACAAATCAGCATGTACAAGAAGAAGGAGAAAATAAGTTAAGTCAACAAGAAGCTAAGAAGCAAGAGCCCCCGCCCACCTCCTCCGACAAGAAGCCTACACAGATATACTAACACAACGGGCGTGCGGCCCCCCTAAATCCTACACCCTCAACACTGAACGCATTACCCTAAACCCTAAATCCCAAACCGCCAGCCCTACTACCTTATACCCTAAACCACAAATCCTAAACCCCCAGCCGTAATACCTTAAACTTAAACCCTAAACCCTGAAGCCCTAACCCTCATACCTAGACCACAGAACCGTACAGGGAACTCCAGAAAGTTGGAATATGGTTTCATGGTAGGATACCCTATAATTTACCATAGAAGGGTTAGGATAATCATATTCCAACTTTCTGGCTTTTACCTTAAGACGAAGTGGCGGCCATCGGAAGGCGATGTGCGGCCAAAGGTGCAGCGAAGATCCAAAGAGGCCGGTGAAGTCATAGCATATGGGAGTTTCCGAAAATTAGGGGTACCTTTAATGGGATCTATAAGGGTTCCTTTAAGGGATCTATAAGGGTTCTATAAAGCGTTTAGGGTTTAGAGTTTCCAAAAAATAGGGGTACCTTATTTTGGGGGTCCTTATAATAAGGATAATACTATTTGGGGTACTATATTAGGGTCCTCTGTTTTCGGAAACTCCCATATGGGATAGGGTTTAGGGTTTAGGGCTTAAGGGGGAGTTTTATTTAGGGTTACATAAGGGTTTAAGGTTTAGGGTTTTAGGGGTTCAGGATTTGGTTAAGGGTTTAAGGATTTAGGGCTCAAGCTTGTAGGGTTGAGGGTTTAATTAAGGTTTTAGGGCTTAAGGTTTAGGGTTTAAGGTTTAGGGTTCAGGGTTATGGGACTTTGTAAAGGTTGAGCAGGGTTTTGTAGGACTGGCTTGGGTTTATTACCATGCAGGGTTCCACGCACCTGTCTCTAGCAGGTCTTAAAGCAGTTGGGAAAGTTTCATGGAGCTGTGAATACGCGTATAAGTATGGTTGACATCGAGAAATTGTAAGGTTTAGGGTGTATGCGCGTTGGGGAACCAGGTAGTTTCTTCTGGACTCCAGGATATGGTTCGCCTTGGTCCTTGGGAGCAATCTGTCCGTACTACTTACAACTTCTGGTCACTCTTGCTGGTTCCTTTCTCATGGTGACCATGCTGTGTTCAAATTCAACACTTTGCAAGAGGCACAGAACGCCCCTGATGTGCACCCTGAAGAGTATGATCCTTGTCGTAAGGTCCCCCGAAACGCTGACTCGAAATTTACGAATCTGCTGCACAGCGCGTCGCTGGTAGCCTTAAGCCCTAAAGCTACTATCCAGCCCCTGCATATGATTGAAGTCTTGGGGATGAAGATCACCCTAGACCCCAAAGCCTTACAAATACCTAAAACCCCCTAAAACCCTAGACCCTTAACCCCGAAAGCTCTCAAGATCTATCGAAAGCAGCAGGTTCGCTTGGTTTAGGGTTTAGGGGAGTCGTATCCTAGTAGTGGTATAGGGTTTCGGGGTTTAGGGTTTAGTGGTGTAGTACAAGGTTGAGGTGTCCACGGAGTTTTGGAATGAAGGAGGTTCCTTCTTCTAAAGACATTGAAAAAAGAATCCCCAATTACTAGGGAACGACAATCCGGGGAGAGGAGACGTAGTTGTGGGTTATTGAGGTCTTTTGCTTAGGTCCTGCAAAGAGTACGGCACTTTTCTGTGTAACAAGGCACATCAGGACGGCTTATGCATATGCTCGTAAAGCATCGCGGAGGGTTGAGGGTGCAGGGAAAGTGAATCCCAGTCAAGCTTTTTTCCATCACAAAGGTGCAGCAATAAACCTCTCCAAAGCACAAACCCGTAAGGCTCCATGTACCCATATAGTATATACTTAGCCCTTAAAGGAACCATATAGGGACCCCGTTAAGGCTTAAGTATCTGCTATAAAGTTGCATGAAGCCTTTGGGAATGGGATGCCCAAGGCCGTGTCCTTTCTGGCTCCGCCACCGCACTACGTTCCGGTCGAAGAGGGCCACGGGGAGATGCCTGAGGGCAGCTTCACTGAGAAGAGCTGGCAATCTAGTGCATGGTGGCATTCCCAAAGAGTCCCAATCCTAAGTACCTAGATGGGGGGTACTTGCCCACACCATACTAGTAATACCTGCTATAGAAATTGCTGGGTCTGGTTTCGAAACAAAAACACCGTATTCGGGTACGAAGTTTCTCTGAATTCGCAACATTTCGCATCACATGATGTCGAAATCCCATACCTGTGTGGGCAGGGCGTTGTTCGGAAGGCAGTGAAAACCTATCAAACGGTGCGGTACTGAAATTATTAGCATCATGGTGCACCCTTACAAAGGCCCCTACTTTTGTCAAGCCCCCACTCGTCAAAATCCCAACATAGCCAGCAGAAGCGCGAAAGGTTTGATGCCCGACAGCCCCAAATCCCCAGACCAAGTACTTAAAACAATAAGAATCCTCCAATCCTATATTCATTTGGTCCATATGCGTGTCTGTTGTTTCCTCTTTTCCTGAAGGTCACTTACAACAAGGCCGGGAACGATCAACGAAGAGCGGTGTAGAGGAGAATATATTCCTTTGGTTGCCCCACCTTTTTTAATATTCTCCCACAACGCTGCTAGGCACCAGATACCAGGAAGGCCAACTTGCATTTACACGGTAGCATTCTTGGAGACGGTGCGGTCTGAAGTATTTCAAGTGATTGCGGCATTTGCTTGTCGATTTGCTTCTGTGAGTGTGTGATATTGATGATGCAGGTGACAATCACTGCTGACATTGCTCATGTTTCTGTTGATGACGCTGGGCTTGATTTATGCTGCGATTTGTATTAGTATTGTCTCTAAGGCACGGGGCCGCAGAGCCTGAGGAGGCACACCGGGAAGGGTTACGGCGGCGCCGGTGGCGGTGCTGGCGGATATGGGGGCTATGGTGGCCATGGTGGTCAACCAGGCGAGCCCTCAGGGTTTAGGTTTAGGCTTTTTCGGGTCGGGTTTAGGGGCTGGGGGTCGAAGGTTTTCAGGGCTTGAAAGCTTAGGCTTCACGAGTTTAGGGTTCCAAGGTTCGGGGTTTTGGGATTTAGTGCCCTAGAGTCCTAGAGCACTCCTCCACTAAGGCTTTTTTGCCGATGGCTTCTTGAACTTATGTGTGTTAGAAACGGGTAACCCTACAACCCGAAAGTCACAAGCCCCGACCCTGAACTCCTTGAGCCTTAAGCCGACCCCAGGTAGGATAAATCAGACCCCTCGAACCAGCCGTGATTGACAGGACTGCAGTGCATCATGGATTTAATGTAAATTTCGATCTCACTTGGTGTGTAATCGTAGTGATAGGACCTGAAAAAGTAGCAGTAGTAAGTCCTTAAAGGCCAAGGCCGTGTGGGAGGAACTTGAGATTTACCTGTTGGCAACGAGCACAGCACGTTTGAGCAACGCGACTCGTGCTAATCATAAGTTTTGCGGCCTGCAGTTACTATGACTTTCAGCGGCAGTAGGTCGTCGCAGTCACAGTAGCAGTCGTCGTAACAGGAGTAATTAGCATTAGGAGGGAGTAACAGTAGCGGTAATAGTGGCAGTAGCACTGGTACCAGCACTGACACAGGCAGCGCTAGAAGCACTGGTATTACGATTGTAGCACTAGCAGGCAGCATCAGTACTAATGGCTCTGGCAGCACTCGCCGCTAGCTCTATTGCTAGCACTTTCACAAGCACCAGCAGCAGTGTTAACATTGACAGCAGCCATCGTCGCCGTCGGCATCGGCGTCGTCGTGTCGTAGTGGTAGTCGTGTCAGCAGCAGCAGCAGCAGCAGTAGTAGCAGCAGCTGCTGCGCATCATGGCCATTTTGGTGGCAGAAGTACTTGTCGTCCTCGTGGCGGCGCTTGTGGTTTGTGGTACAGCTGCCACAGCTGGAAAAGTCATCATCATTAGAATAGAACTCGGTAGTAATGCGGCCAATGTAAGCAAGGACGAGGATTCGACTGAACATAGTGAAGGCAGAGTTCATTTTAGGAGCCGGACGAATCTCAATGCACATGTTTGATTCGTGTTAACTGAATCAGAGGGAGACAAGCCTTGACTCAGTAGTGAGACTTAGCCGGACAAAAAAGTCGTTGTGGTGCTGGCAATGGTTAATAACCATCAACATAAGCAAGACTGCTGACTGTCATTACGAGCATGATGTCACGACATGAACATTCTCAGCAAAAGAATCAGCAAGAGTCGGACAGCAAACCCATGCAAGCCCATGATGTCTTGACGCCCATGCAGCAGGCTACGGTGGAGCTGGCGGTTGGAACCAAGGCGGCGGATGGCAGCAGGGCGGGCAATGGCAAGGACGGGCAATTTCTTCCGGGACTTGGGGGGTGTATGTTTCTTTTTGCCGTTTTTTTCGGTGTGAGGATAAGTCCAAACCTTCCACCCTTGCCACGAATCTGAGGCACTAAGGTTGCATTGGAAGCGCCGAAGCATAATCTCGGGGCCTGGGTCGTTGATGATATTGGCTTCTAGAGTTCCGTATTTTAGTATTATTGTCAAATACTACTACATACCCAAGCCTTAGTCTAAGCTACTGATGAAGGCCCTTGCATTAGGGTAGTTCTCTAAATTAAGGTCCCTTTTGTAGGTCCCCTAAGATAGTACGGGAACCTCATACACCGGACCTTAGAAGGTACCCTAATTTAGAGAACTATTCCACTATATATAGTAGAGTAAACCAAACCTTAAGGTGCCCTAATTTAGATAACTAGTCAACTAGTCGTAGTAGTAGTAGTAGTCGTCGTCGTCGTCGTCGTAGTAGTCGTCGTAGTACTAGTAATAGCGGTAGTATGGTTTTCTTCTAGGGTTTAGTCTGGAGTCGGCTCTGCGGCGCAGGCAGGATCTTGAAGGCCGCGTCACTGCTGCGTAGCAACTACGGTTGATGATAAACATCCTGCATTACCCATAATAAGGAATATACCATAATTCGCATAGTTTAGGGTCCTTAAGGTAATGCAGGATTTGTATCATCAACCGTAGGGGTAGAGATAAGGTTACTTACTAAGCTCCATGATTCCATGATCCTCTAGGTAGAGCTCAGCCAGCCTTGCAAGTGAGCGGATGCATACGGCCACAGACTTAGAACATCTGGGCCATAAAGGGTCTAGATTTGGACTAGACTTGAAATTTTGGTACCCTAAACTCCTATTCGCAATGCCTAACCCGAACCCGCAAGAAACCCTAAACCTGAAGACCCTTCCTTAGCCAGGTGGTGGCTTTGGCAACGGCCATGGCGGTGGCTTTGGCAAAGGCTATGGCAAAGGCCAAGGCTTTGACCCAGGCTACGGTGGCTACGGAGGCTTCGGCCAAGGTGCAAGGTTAGGGTTTAGAGCTTAGGCTTCATGCTGTGTTTAGGCTTTAGGGGATAGGGTGATTTTTTAGGAGCTTCGGGTGGGTTTAGATTTCGGGCTGAAGGGGTAAGTGGACTTAAGGATGGGTTCTGTAGATGGGCCTTGCAAGTCTTACTGCTGTTTTGTCTGTGGGGGGTGCGGCATCTCGTGGTTATCAATTTTAGGAGTCTCTTCAAGGTACCTACTGTAGTTGTCGTAGCACTTGCATCATAAAGATCCACAACAAAACGTGCAATTGCTTCCAACAGTCTGCACTTCGTTCGCGGGATCTTGCCGGAAGTGTCGCAGCCTGCGTTGTATGTGACCTTGGCATGCGAGCGAAAGCCCCTCTACCTTAAGATCCTCGAGCTTACGCAGCATCCCTGGCGCACAACGGCGTATGTAATAACTAGGGTCTTACGACTGCACCGATGACACACGTTGGGGCACAACCTGCAGAGCTCATATCCAGGTGATACAGGGCTTCAGGGCTAATAAGGTCCAAGGATCAGTGTTACAGGACACGAAACATGGAGACGATGGCTCTTGCAGCCTCCCAGCATGCAAGCATAGCTTCCCACTTCAATGGGGCCAGCGACGAAGCTGGTTAGCCTGCATGCGCACATCGTCTATGTACATGTTTATGTATAGGATGCCCAAAATCATGGGCTACCTGATTCCTTTTCCTCTGTACGGACTTGGTGATTAATCAGCTACTGCCCGAAACCTGGTCTAGCTGTATTGTTCGATATGCCCGAAATCCAAGACCGCCTTGCACTATGGTCTGAACCCTTATGCGTATGCCTGAATCCCGCTGTGTTCGATGCATTGAGGTGGAGAGGCTTTAAGGGGCCATGTGATTCTGGAGACTCCAAAAGCATGTATCGAAGGAACTCTCTTGAAATCAAGTCAGAAGAGATCATATATGGCAAAATGTTACCCGGCCGACTGTAAGATGCCACTAGACTTACTGTTCGTGAACTAAACTAAATAGCGTCAGCTGCCGTAGATAATTGATTGCTACTTCTTAATTGGAATTGAAAGAGGAGTGTTTGCATGGATGCCCTAAACTCAACTCTATACTGCCTCATAATACTGGAGCTATAAAATCACATGCGGAAACCACAGAAAGCTTTTTTGTTCCCAGTGGAGTCCTGCAAAACCCCGTAGAGCCCTCGAAAGAGCAGGTGCCGGCTTCCCCGCAGGCGCTGGGGCTGCGGGTTTCGGCACCTTAGCTGCAATGGTCAGATTGAGCAGGGGCGGGGGGTTAGGGTGTAGGGTGGGCAAGGGGGTATTCTGACATGCCATTCCACTGCCTGCATGCTTACAATTGCTGCGCAAGACTTGTCCCTTAGACTTTCATCCGCACCCTCGACTCACACTACTACTCGCTCATACCTGTAAGTGTAAGGGAAAGCGTCGCGGTACTGGCGATGACAGTTTCAACAGCCACAAGGCCTATTCAGCAGTACAGTAAGTGGACTGACCACAGCAATGCAGAGCAAACACGACGGAAACAACCACAGTACGTCATGTTCAGCATCATTGTTCAGTCTCCTATATTTGCAAGCATAGGGCTTAGGATCGGGATCTGTTGTTCGTTGCCCCTACCCGAGCACGGGGTCGAGTCTCTCAACCAGAATTCTATACACATTGCCCAAAACTCCTAAACTCCACCCTCCTGAGCCGTAAACACTAAACCTCACACCGTCCAATTAGATGGTGGTTGTCAAAATTATGGTCCTTTCTTGGGTCCCTGATATAATACGGCACCTATTATTTAGGGTACCCAAAAAGGGACCCTAATTTTGACACCCACCCATATCATATTATATCATTATATCCTATAGGCCTTCAAACCTGACGCTCCTACACTCTGCCCCGGTCCTCGTGAGGTGCGGCGGGGGCGGGGGCGGGGGCGCTTGGCGGCGGGGCTCTGGGTGCGGGGGCCATGGGTGCTGGCGCAGCCGGCGCAGCTGGCGCCGCTGGTGGAGGCGCGACGTGGGAAGGTGGATGGGTCCAGGGCTTTTGGATTTTAAGTTCAGGCTTTCGGAAAATGCATAATTTGAAGGTGCGCGACTGTAGGGTTTGAGGATGGGGTTCTGGAAGAGATTCCTGGAGTTGGGTTAGCAGTTTGAAAGGGGCTTTGCGGATTTTGGATCAATTTCGTGCAGGGGGGTTGTGGTTAAGGGATGCGAGATTAGGCACTAAGGATCGGGGTTTAGGGTTTAGATGAGTGCATGAGAGTTGAGGCTTCTAGAAGGGCGCGTGTCGGGACTGGACACTCTCGGGTTCAGCATTTTATAAACGGTTTAGGATGTGGGGGTTTCCGAAAATAGGGGTACCTTATTTTGGGGACCATGTAATAAGGATCCTACTATTTAGGGTATTATATTAGGGTCCCCTATTTTCGGAAACTCTCATGTAGGGTTGAGGGTTTAGGGATTTTAGTCTGACCTTCAAGTTTAGTGGTTTGGGGTTTCGTCGTTTAGGCACCGTCAGTTACTTGAGATGCATCGATGAGTCGATGAGCCACTCGAAAGCTTGAAGCCATTCTAGTAAAGAAGGTAAAAAGTCTGAATATAATATGATAGTATTCCCTTCGGTCCTTCTCATAATCACCGTTCAATGGATGATACACCCCAGAACCTTGCTCTAATTGATAAGGCCCCCCTGCCTATGCTACTTTTTGAAGCCCCGCCCAAAAGTCCTCATAAGGGTTTTAGGATTCTGAGATTCTTGCTGAAGTGAGAGTTCAGGACGGCAATATGTGTAGTGCCTGGACCTTGTAGGAACCGCTGAAACACCTGAACCCTGAGCCTCATAATCCTACACCCCTTCACACTGGAACTTCAAACCCACAAACCCTGAGCCCTGAACCCCTGAACGGGGGTCTCCCGTTCCTTGGTCAGGCTTGTTTAGACCAGGGTTTTGGGGGCGTAAGGAAGAATATAGCTCCGTTGAGAGATCATCCTGTACTAGGTGCAGAGACCCCTCTCAACATTAAACCTTCCCCCCTTAGCCACAAACCGCGAACCGTCCGACTGAAACCCCAGACCCCTAAAGCAGCAATGTAGACCCCTGAATAATGAAGCCCCCATCTGTTGAAGGACCTTGAATCTGGATCCATCTGTTCATCCCATTTGGCGTTGAAGCCTATTTTCAATCAGTGGTCTGCCTTAAGAGTATTTTTCCTTACTAAAAGTCCCTCATGGAAGAAAACCACAAGATGCAAAACCTTACTGTAAAACTCTGACAGAAAGCTCTAAGCCAGCATACCCGAAGCCCTTTATAAGCCTTACACCTGCCAGAACCCTAAACCCATTACAGAAGCCATTAAACAGGATGATTGGTGCTGGGATTACCAAATTTTCCGATGATGGCATGGGGATAGTTGTGTTCCAACTTTCTGGCTTCTACTGCACTCCAGTGCCCGCAACCTGCGGCTTGGCTGCGAGGCGACTCCGCAGAGGACCTCGCGGCTGCCTTCGGCGTGGGGAAAGGCCGCCGTGCAAACAGTCAACCCGATTCTGTGTACTGAGATCATTTTTGCCATGATCGCTGTTGTTTTGCTCCTATCGCGTTAGAAGCTCTTGCTCTTGTTGTTATTGTTCTTATGTGCCTCATTTTTATGATCTAGATTTCCAGGCTGCCTTTAACCCTTCGTCGCCGTCAATGGTTTGCATCTTCTCATTGCCGGTTGTTTGGAGACCTTGTGGGCAAGTGCTGATGATTTAGCAATTAATCTCCGATGTCGTGCTTGTGCAGGTCTGGGTCAGTTTTGAAGGAACTACAGATGTATAGGATTTCCCACATATGGGGTCATAGAATCCTACGCTTCAGCACCTCTCTATGAGTACGTTCGGGTCATCACAGTTGGAAACGGCCGTCTGGTTGTCATTGTCGTGTATCTGCAGGTTTTGAATGGTGGTAGTTGTTTCGCGAAGCAGCACATTCAGATGGCCGCCTGAGCTAGGAACTTCAAGCCTAAACCCGAAGCCCTGAAACTCTAAACCCGAAGCCGCAACCCAGCAAACCATGAAATTCACGACTCCACCACACCCAGAACTTGCGAAACCTCGTAGAACCATCCCAGAGGTTCGAATACTGCTTGGGGCTTAAGTAGGGCTTCGAGTTCAGGGCTTACTTCAAGGATCATGGGACTTAGTAACTATAGGGCTTTAACTAAGGTAACTATACTTATAACTACTTATAACCCCACTTAAGGTACTTATAACCATACTTAGTAAGTCCCATGATCCTCCAAGTAGAGTTTAGAAGACCCCGAGCCGAGAGACCCGTGAAACTCGGAGTCAGCAAAGCTCCCTTGCCAGGTTCGAGCGAGACAAGGTCAGCTAACCCACCTGGGCTTCTCAGCACTATTTGGCCTTTATCCGGTTTCCAACTTTATGGGGTTTACTGTAGATTCATGGCTGCCCAGGGACTCCAATATCCCTCAATTAAGCAGTATACCTTCAGATCAACCTGAAGTGTTTCAGACCACAGTTGCGATGTTTTTGCTCAGGATTGGCAAGAGTTTAGGGTTATCCGGTGTATCTCTCTTTGGACCCCCTGGTAGGAGATTGTCTCCAGGTGCTGGAACCCATCTGAAAGACTCTGTAGCGAAGATAATGCGTGGCGACGCAGCTTTGACGGTCTATAACGGTCGTCTCACCAATGGCAGTCTGTAGTGGCGGTATCAGTACTTGCAGTGGCAATCTTCATCGAGACTAGACAAGACACAGCAAAACTCCCAGCCTCTGACGATGTAATTTGCCAGTGTCCATTGGACCTTTACTGGCAGAACAAGGCTGCAAATACCGAGAATAGGAAAAATCGTGTGCGCTTGCCCTGAAACATCCGGGGTTATAGGCCAGATACCCTAAACCGAGAACCCAAAACGTCTTGTGGCGTGGTTCTCAGTGGTAATGCTGTTGTTGCATGTTATTTCCGAACGAACTTTTCACATCATGGTTGTGTCTTGTCTGGTTACAATCGTGACTACTAGCTACAAGAGTCACTAGAGCACTGTAGTAACTTGCTTGTATTTCAAGTGGTACTACAAGAAGGGCGAGTGTGGTTGCTTGTATGACTATGACTGGCATCAGTACTGCAACTGCCGAGTCTTGCTGCCATCTCAAAAGAAACCATACTGCATCCCCTAAACGGTCAGTCGTCAACTACAAACTCCAAGTTCTTCAGACCCAAAGCAGGTCCTGAAGAATAATCCACAACAAAACCCAGCGCACCCACCAACAGCAAAAAAAAAGAGAGTCAAAAAGCAAGCAGACAACACCTATAAAGCAACGACAGCCACGTCATGCATTTAACAAAGCAAGCCCAAAGGGTCCAAGTATCATCATGGTATATACTTAGACCCCCAAAATGCCCTGTAAGTATATATATATATATATACCAGAATGATACTTGGACCCTTTGGGAAGCAAACAACAGCACCGAGGTGCCAGGATGGGGGCTGCCCGGCGGACCAGCCCGGGGTAGTTTGCTCACCCTGCGGGAAAGAGAACCACACGGTGGGCCGAGGCTGGGGTGTTGTTTCACATGTATATGTAGCTTAGGGTGGGTTTAAGTTTCAGGGTGTAGGGTGGTAGGATTTTGATTTTCATGTTGTGGTGCGGGCTATATGCTTTAAGTTTCAGTGCGTCTTTTTAGGGTGGAGTGTTTCAGCCCGTGTATTAGGTCGGGGTGGCTGCTGTAGGGTTGTAGGGTGGGTTTAGGGTTGGGGCTGTAGTTTTCTTTGTTTGTGGATTGGAGGGTGGGTTCAGGGTTTGCGGCTGGGGTTTTGCTGAGGCGGGGGCTCTCCCTGCTGATTCTGGGTTCCAGTGGACTTTGCTAATATAGTGTTACAGGTTTCTTTCCAAAGGTTTCCACAGGTGGTTCTTTAAGTTCCCAACCGTTTAAGTTAAAGAGGCAGGGTCTCACTCACGGCCTTGTTGGGCTTTGGGGTGCAGCTCTTTTTTGGGGAGTTGTGGCGGGCCTTCGTGGTCCACTAGATGTGGGCTGCTTGCGGGTTGTCTACTACATTTGACTGCCAGTCGAATACGTGCCAGGGGACCCCTTTCGAATAGTATTGCCCCACTGCGCTGAGATCAGTTGTCCCAAAGTAGGTTTTTGGTGTTCGGTGTTTCGAGTTGTCCCTGTACAGTTCAGGCCTTCCTTGTAAGACTTTGTATTTTCTGATAAGTTAAGTTTCGGTGCTCAGGATTGAATTTTTATCGGTCCGCCCGTGGTCTTAAGAGTTCAGGGCCTTCTTGGGAATGTAGTGTACCTTTAGCTACTTGCTGGTAAGGTTTCATGGTAGGCTTTAAAGAGTCCGTAAGCTCGCGACCGTGGTGTAGGTTGGTCATACTGTAGATATAGTAGGACCTTAGTAGTAGCCCTATGATAGACTCTTACTGTATGGGGGCCCTACCTAGGGTGTAGGGTTAGTAAGCCTCAGCCGTGAGACTAGCCTAGCAACTCAGAGCCGTCCTCCATGTCCTCACAACCTACCAAACTGTGAACCCTTATCCCAAGCACGTTGTTACATACGTAGCCTACTCTGAGGATCATGGCGCATAGCAATCAGGCTTAAAAATAGGGTAAGTACAGTTAGAGTCGCTTATAACCCTAAGTAGGGTACTTATAACCACTTCTTAAGTCCCATGATGCCCCCAAGTAAAGGCAGAAAGCCCAAAGCTTCATCTGTTCGCATAATGAGAAGCTTTGTATAGCTGCCCAGAGGCTCCAAGCGCCCACATAGCTGGGCTGTAGGTACCCAAAACCATTCAGACGCTTTGGATTTAGAGGAGCATATCGTATGTGGGACCTAGAGCCTTACTGTTTGGGCACTTGGACCATCGAGGAAGGCATCGACAAATTTCTGGGTAAGTTCGAATGATTGGAACCATTGTGTCCGAAGCCCTACTCTCTGAACCCTCAGAAACCCTATAAACCTTGAGCTTGAGCCGCAAAATTATGAACCCGAAACCCTTAGCCCGGAACTGTAACTATCTGTCTAAAGGCCCCTTCTCTCGCTTCGGGCAGCAAGCTGGCATTCGCCGCGGCGTAGCGCAACGCTCTGGCCGAGCTCTGGGAGCGTGACCCGCCTGTAGAGTTGCCTTACGGGTTGCTTCACGGGTTCCTTTTGAAAGGATATATATGTCAGGGTACGCTAGGGTTTAGGGAAAGTCCTTTGTAGAGGGGTTCAGGTACTTACAACTTGAGAGGTTGAGGGTTTTCGGTGGGGAAACAGTAAGTCGGTTTGTAAAGATCGAGGTTAAGGTGTTAAGCACTACTTGGAGGATCATGGGACGCAGTAGTAAAGCAACTTGTAACCAGTTAACCTTACTTACTAAGCCCTATGATGCTCCGAGTCTAGCAGACCTGGTGTTCACCTTAGCGCACTGTGGCTTGAGGGCTTCGGGTTGCAGGGTTAGGGGGTTTATTAAAGGGTAGTTTCAGCGGTTGGAGATATCTGTTGCAGCGAGCGCAAAAAAATGCAGGCTAAGTATCCAGGCCCTGACAGTAAAATTTGTTTAACGGCTGGCTCAGATCAAGAGCTCGCCCTACCTGTACGGCACAGCCCCGAGTTGGCCCTGTAGAACTCTAGTCCAACAAGCTGCAGTCTAAGGGGCGCGGCGGGTGCGGCGATGGGAGGAGCGATGGGAGCTGGCTACGGTGCTGGCTACGGTGCCGGCTATGGCGCCGGCTACGGTGCCGGAGGTGCCGGTTATGGCCGAGGAGGCGCCCTGTAAGCTTTTGCAGGCGGTGACGATAAGGCGGAGGCTTTTGCTATCGGTAGGATGGTGATGATGAACATGATGCTGAGATGCATCATAACCATGTAGTTATATTCGAATGACGTTGACATTGATGATCACGGAAAGGTGAGAATGCAGCGCTCCACGACGACTACCACTGCCACTACCACTACCCCTGCCGCTACCGCCACCGCCGCCACTACCACTACAACTGCCACCACCGCCACCACGACCACCAAAACCAGCAACACCACCTCCAACACCAGCAACACCACCGCCACCATCCCCCACGACCACGATCACGACCACGACTGCTACGACTACGACTACCACTCCTCCTCCTCCTCCTGCTGCTGATACTCTACTACTTCTATATCTATTACTACTGCTGCTGCCGCTGCTACCGCTGCTGCTACGGCTAGTACGGGTGCAGCCAGCTCCATTGCTGCCAACGTGTTTATGTGTAGTAAAGCTCTATGCCTATAGGCGCCGAGGAAATCGATGATCAGGATTTCAATCCTCAAAGTCAGTCTGGCAGTGCAGTGGTGACACTAAGTCACGTGAACTTGTTCTGATTTTGACGCTGATTATGTTGTTGATGCTGATTCATCGATGGTGGTGGTTCAGACAGCCACGATGCCTGGTGGTTGCTCTAAAGATGACAGGGATGCGGATGTAGACAGACGTTGTTGTGTTTGTTTGGCAATTATCGGTGGACACGATGATGACGACGACGGAGCAGGTTGGTGGTGATAGTAAGGACGACAGGGAAGCAGAGGAAGAGGACCACGAATGGATAGATCATAAAGATGATGACGTCATGATGATGTTGTTTCTAGAGCCAGCAAAGTTTACGGCAGACGTTATGCATGCATGGTGGCAGTTTGTTGTTTAGGTCTGTGCGGAGACTATGACGCATTGTAACAGCCGCAACACATTCATCGATTGCTGGCTGCAGAGGCGGTGGTGGCTCCGGAGGCAACGGCTATGGTGGCAATGGCTACGGAGGCGAAACCTGAGGAACATGTGAAAAGTATCATGGTCCTCAACTAATTACACAACGGCCTAGGAAGCCTTTTAATCCACATGCTTCACTACGGCCCGATAATTAATCTTGAACGAAACCCTGAAATGCCAAGACCCTATACAAAGGAAGTGCGGGACCATTGATTGAAATACGTGCCTGGGCTCAAAGGATTTGGTGTTCAGGGGTTTGCAAGAAGCAGTTCGTGTCGCGCCGCAGCTACGCTTCATACCGTCGTACCCACACCTGTTAGCCTCAAACCCAAATCCGAAAGCTTCGGTGCCGTAGACATTGAATTGAATCCTACGTGACGTGATTTTCGATCAAGTTGATACGCACTTTGACGCTAAGCCCTAAGCCTCAGCCTCATTGTCGATAATCCAGCAGCAGACCCGGGACTACAAATTTTGAGCCCAAAACCCTGAACGCAAACACAAACCCGGCTGCAGCTCCGAAGATTGAAATCCCGTTCAGATTTCAGTGCCGCCCCTTCCGACATGGAAGCCAAGACCTAACTCTGAGAGGCTGTTCAGTTGTACACTTGTTTACTTTCAGGTTTCTGGGTTCCTACTATAAAATAAGAAGGCTAAAAAGTATATACTTTTTCCCAGTGGGTCACTGAACAGCCTAGCTCCAGAGCTACCATTCTAAGTGCTTACACGGTAGCCTAAGAGCTGAGCTTTCAGGGATTGTACGTAGGGCTTCCTGAGACCTTGCCTATAGTCTCCATTGTAGTTCCTTTTTTTTGGTTTAACCAAATATATAATAAGGATCCTATAAGGTAACCCCAAAAAGGAACTACAATGGAGACTACAGGTGAGCCCCCTAAACCCTAAACCCTAGACCCCCTCAGTAACCCTGAACTGAGCCTTGTGTGGAGGTGCTGGCGTGGGGGGCGGGCCTCCTCCAACGCAGGATAGCTGTGATGGCCAGCTGCCCGGGGGCTTAGACAGCCCCCAAAGGGTCCATGTACCTATAGATATAGTGAAGTAAGTATCGTTTGTTGTATAGTATATCAGAGTATAGCTTAGTGTATAGTCTATAGTGAAAAGTGTACAGGGTACAGTGTATAGTCTAGTATATATTTTGGCTTGCAAAAGGTTCCTATGTAGGTGGGATCTAAGTTTGAAGTACACATGTACGTGGACCAGAAGTGCAATGTTTGAGCATGTTTGGGCTTGGGACATAGGCTGCGGGTGGACGATTCGAGTTCACGTTGACTATAGTGCTGGTTGTCTGACGTTGGGTCTGTGCTGCTGTCGTCTTACAGTCAAGCGTTTACGCAGCATGAGTGTTTTGAGCATTAATTACTGTGCTCCAGGGCCTTCTAGCATGCACCATCAGAATGTCAATTTGTAATATAACACACTGACATCCAGAACAGACTTACAGTACAGTACAACTGTTTTCTTGATGTGTAGCTGCGCCTACGCCTATACATCATACGTCCAGCAGCACCGCCACGATTATGAGTGGTAAGTACTAGTTGTCTGTCGCAGTATCGCAGTAGGAGCAGACGTCGGAGTGGTAGCAGCCGTGGCTTTGGTCCTGGTCGTGCTTCTCGGGGTCGTTGTTTTTCTTCTCGTCTGCCTTAGCGTTACGACTGCTATTGAGATTGCCTATAGTCTCCATTGTAGTTCCTTTTTTTGGTTTAACCAAATATATAATAAGGATCCTATAAGGTACCCCAAAAAGGAACTACAATGGAGACTACAGGTGTGATCTGGTGAGGGACTGAGGGGCAGGGTTCCAGGCGTATTTTGGGTGCTAGAGTCCGCTATTGCCGGCCTTTGAACCCTAAAACTTACAAGCGACAAGCCCTGTAGCCCCGGAAGCCAGGCCCCAGATAGTGATATGGGGGCCTCAGTAATTACCTAAACTACTACGGGGTTCCTTCTGATAATTACAGTATGATAGGCCCCAAAACCCTATTCTAATTATTAAGGCCCCAGATAATCGGAATGTTACACCTCCAAGAGCTGGAAATCCCTCTCGCTTTGAGCCGAGACTGAGGTTACGGAGCCTGCAGGTTTGTGATGTCTCCTAGACGAACTGCAGATTGGGCAAGACGCGAAACCTTGCTTGAAGGGTCGGGGGACTTCGTGAGTAGTTGAAAAGTGGGGTCAGACGTGCGACGTTAACTCCAATTGTGGGGGGGCTCCTTTTGGGTGCCTATGATTCTATGATCTTACTCATTACCCATAGGCCCCAAAGTAGTTCCCTCTTGGGGTTCATATATAGTATTCTATAAGGGAATCCCAAAAAGGAACTACTTTGGGGCCTTAGGGTACCAGCCACCCTAAACCCTAAATGCCTGAACCCTGGGTCCTAAATTCCGAATCTTGCAAGTGCTCAGTCCTGAAGGCAGTCTCTCTGATACGACTTGACATCTCATCTTCAGGAAGTCGTCGAATAAATAAGCAAGATGCCCCAATAAATCGAAAGTTGCTCCTAATTTTGGCTCCTGGCTTGGCTTGGATAGTAGTTAGACTACAATACCGCGTCGTATTCCGCATTGTTGTGTGCATCGCCCGGAGTAGAAGTATATCCATGCTACTGGTATCCAGGGTCAGGCGTATATGGTTTAGCGAGGTGTCTTAGCACTGCCCAAGATGCAACGAAGCAGGATCACCGGAGGTCCACAGGCAAGAGGTCGAATACAGGTGGAAACAGGTTACACGATCGAGGTAGTGTTATCAACTTACATGAAGCAGCATCAACCCCGGACCCAAAGCCAGGCAGAAAGTCTTATTAGTGTTTTGCCCATAGGCCCCAATAGTACTTCCTTTTCGCGTTTCATATGGTTCTGAATATGAACCCCCCAAAAGGAACTACTATGGGGCCTGTGGGTAACCCAAAGGGTCCTATGTACTGTTATGGGGCATAGGACCCTTTGGGTAATGTTAATGAGTGCAGTGTGGCGGCTGCAAAGATGCGCAGCACACTGATGCGCGACAGCCTGCTCCAAAGCCTGCTTGCAGACATCAAAAAAAGATACTTTCGGGGCCTTAATAATTAGAGTAGGGTTCCTTTAAAAGGGGTCTATAAGGGGTACTGTAAGGGAACTATTATACGATAGGGGCCTTAGTAACTAGAATTGGGTTTTAGCGGCCCAGTATACGAAAACTATAGTTGAGGAACCCCCAAAACATTATTGGTAATTATTGAGGCCCCTATATTATCAGATCTGCGCTTGCAGCATGCCTTGGCAACATGTGCCTTTATCATTGCACGGGGCTAGATGGTTGTGCCTAGTTGCAGTGGGGATTTCGGGTCGTTTGTGGTAGTCTGTATCACCAGCTTTTTCTGACTTCCGTGGCATGATGGCATGGTGTCGATGCCCGGATGTAGGGTCGCATCTGGACGGTAGGATACACGCCCCTACCCCTTCGCACCGGTTTAGATAGGGCTTTAGCCATGAGCCCGTCGGCTCTGGCAATGTCGCATCATGAAAGGTCGACACATTGAGCCCTCAAGAGCAAAGCCTCAAACCGCCCAAGCCCTCAACGCTTCGAATCACTCAAAAGCACAGAAATCCTCTTGGAGAATAATCTCTGCAGGATGTCTCTGCCCCTGGTTCCATACACTCGCACCATCTCAGTCTTGAAAAGACTGCAGATCCAACCTCCCTAAACCCCTAAACACCCTAAACCCCATTATAACCTTAAGCCGAAACCAAAGCACAGCTTTTGCCAGGTGGCGTGTTGGGATTGTCGTAGGGCGGAGCACTGCATCATGGGACCTGGGTAAGCCGTACAGTCACGGTCTAGATATCCCAATCCCTACCTGACGGACATAGTTAGGGCTGGGTGACCTGGTTTGGTTGAGCCTTCGTTGTAAGGATGCTTGTTTGTACGGAGCACCAAACACTGGAGTTGCAACTGCAACACAGGACCCTATATCGTAGTTAGAAGCCATAGACCAAAGATGAACACTACCACCTCTGGTCAAGCCCTCACGCACACCAACTTCAGGAATGTCCCGCAGCAGTGAAGTCTGCCTGAGTTTCGGGTTGAAGCACTTATCACCCTGATCAGCTGCACAGAAACTTGCAGTTGCATCGCTGTTCTTTTCCAGCGCTGCGTGCAGCGAGAATTCAACAGAGTTTTGCCCAGGAAGAGAGCACCAGTTGGAAAGTGTTTCCGTCGCAGGCAGCATGAGACTGATTCATCCAAAACGGCGCTTGTGTCCCAATCGATTCGGGGGCAGTCTGCCAGGGCCCATTGCAGAGCGAGCCTCCGGTTCACGTGGAGTCAAAAGCGGTTTACTTTTTCGAAAAATACATGGCGGATTTACAACTGGAGAATACTCCGCCGCTCAATGGAACCGGATGCTTTGGGGGCTTGTTGTTTTTGGTATACACGGTTTGCCAGCACGTGGTAAAGCAGTCCTGGATTCAACACGGTGTAGCCAAAGTCCACCGGATGGATCCAAAACTGTTCATTACTAGCATTCGGAGTCAGGGTCGTAGACGTTCTGCAAGTAGTGCTTTACTGGTAATTGTGTCAGTGCAGTCGTGACACTGTAGTAGGTAGAACTAGGAGGAGAGCAACGAATACAAGTGTGGAGAATAGTTATAGTAGAGACACCGACAGTGACAGTTACCTTACAGCTTTCTCGGAGAGGGGCATTGGGCATAAATTGGAGGTTCCGGGAAGTGCTACGGCTAAAAGCACTTTCGTCCCTGTGCAGATGCTTGGGCGCGGGCAGTCAACCACCGCAGCGAGGTCATGAGAGGGTGGTCTTTACGTTACAAGGGACGTAGTTTTAACTAGGCAGTCAAGGCGAAGATGGCACTGAGCTACCACGACGGGGACGATGACGAGTATGATGGTGATGGTCATGATGGCGATGATGTTGTTGACGATGCTAAGTGCTGGGACGCAGCTGTTGTTGTTGGACATTCTGTCGGTGCTTAAGAAGGTATTCTGCATGGCGATGATGACGATGGTGCCGAGAATTCTGCTAGCGACCTGGACGATGGCGGTGCTGGCGAAAAAGATATGAGTGTACGCGATGGCTATGGTAATGATGACGACGATGATGATGCCTATATGAGTCGGCTACTGCTGATCAGCTGATCATAGCGATGATGATACTGGTGATTGTGACGACGGTGATGAAGGTGTGCATGTTGATGGCCATGAAGATGATAGAGCTTCGCATGGTGAAGGTTCGCTGGATGACAATGTTGATGATCTATGGAAAAGCGATACTGAGGGACCCTATACGACCCCCTGTCCCTAAGCCCTTGACACGCGGCCTGCAGGTACTAGCAGCAGTTGCTCTGTTGCAGCAGCGTCAGCTCGTTATGTCATGCAGCATGCTTGTCGTCAACCAGCAGTAAGTGCAATGGGAATGGAGCTGAAGGGTTGTGGTTTGGGCATTCTTGAGGTTTCGGAATTTGTATCAGTGTTAGCCAGCTCCCCGCCGGGCAATGCTACGCATTTGGAGACCTTCTGGGCAAGCGCTGGCCGTTCTGAGTGCCGAAGAGTTCATTCACGCAAGTGCCGTGAAGCAGCATTTGTTAGAGCTGCACGGCTTCCCGATATGTCTGCAGCAACTTGTGCACGATGGCAAGATCTTGGCTGATGACGATAAAATGGATGCAGGCATGGATTTGCAGCTGGTGCTGCTGACTATCTCTGGCCGTTCTCCAAGGTTCACTGATGCTGCTATCGCGAATCTAGCAAATGCTTCTCGACAAAATCGAATTGTGCCGTCCGTTGTTTGCTCGAAGCCGGTATTGGTGCTTATATAGACCGACGGGACGTTGACAGCAAGACAGCCCTCATGCATGCTTCTGAGAACGGCCACTTGGAGGTTGCACGATTGCTGGTCGAATCTGGTGCTGATAAAGATTGCTCGAGCAATCACGGCTGGACAGCCCTAATGTGCGCATCTGACAGCGGCCACTTCGACGTTGCACGACTGCTGGTCGAATCTGGTGCTGCTAAAGATGCCCGGGACTCGCACGGATGTTCAGCCCTAACAATCGCATCTCGAAGTGGTCACTTACAGGTTGCGCGTTTGCTGGTGGAAGCCGGTGCTGATAGAGACTGCCGGGACCGCGGCGGCAAGACAGCCCTCATGCATGCCTCTGAGCAGGGCCACTTGGAGGTTGCACGATTGCTGGTGGTAGCTGGTGCTGATAAAGACTGCTCGAACAATGACAGCAAGACAGCCCTCATGTATGCATCTATGAGTGGTCACTTCGACGTTGCAGGTTTGCTGCTTGGCTCTGGTGCTGCTAAAGATGCCCAAGACGGCCGTGCATGGACAGCCCTAATGCTCGCATCTCGATATGGTCACTCTCAGGTTGCACGTTTGCTGGTGGAAGCCGGTGCTGACACAGACCGACGGGACGTTGACAGCAAGACAGCCCTCATGCATGCTTCTGAGAACGGCCACTTGGAGGTTGCACGATTGCTGGTCGAATTTGGTGCTGATAAAGATTGCTCGAATAATCACGGCTGGACAGCGCTATTGTACGCATCTGACAGCGGTCGCTCAGGGGTTGCACGTTTGCTGCTGGGCGCTGGTGCTGCTAAAGATGCCCGGGACTCTCACGGTTGTTCAGCCCTAACAATCGCATCTCGAAGTGGTCACTTACAGGTTGCGCGTTTGCTGGTGGAAGCCGGTGCTGATAGAGACTGCCGGGACCGCGGCGGCAAGACAGCGCTAATGCATGCCTCTGACCGCGGCCACTACGACGTTGCACGATTGCTGGTGGCAGCTGGTGCTGATAAAGACTGCTCGAACAATGACGGCAGGACAGCCTTGATGTATGCATCTGTGAGTGGTCATTTTGGCGTTGCACGTTTGCTGCTGAAAGCTGGTGCTGGTAAAGATGCCCGGGACGGGCGCGGTTTCACAGCCCTACTGCTCGCATCTGAGTGTGGCCACTTGGAGGTTGCACGCTTGCTGCTGGAAGCTGGTGCTAACAAGGACTTCCAAGATCTTGCCGGAAAGACAGCCTTAATGCGGGCATCTGAGATGGGCCACTTGGAGATTGTCTGTTTGCTGCTGACAGGACAGTGCAGCCCCGCCCCACTAATCCTCAGCTCCGGTTCCAAACCTGAGCATCCCCTGGCCGCCCGCCGTGATCGGTGGGACTGCACCCCACAGGCTCCCAGAAACTCCGACTCCCAATATCCCGTGCTCCACGGCAGAAAAATCCCAACAGCCCCAGCGCTCGCAGAGTCGGACTTGGTGGCGTATGTAGAGCATGTTCTGCGGGAGTGTGCCCTCCGGCGCGAGAGAACAGCCCCAAGCACAGAAGAGTCTCAGACGGTGGAGCTGGTTGAGCGTACTCTTCGGCAGTGGGTTCTCAGTCACGGCAGAGCAGCCCCATCAGCCCCAGAGCTCTCGTATGCCACAAACCCCTAGAATATCCCGGAGGACGGCAAGACAGCTCCTTGGTAGCTGAGTGAATACACTTTAGACGTTTTGGGATAGTATGACCCACTATCGGACGAACAGTTTGCACTTTGTTGTCAACCCTAGACCCTAAACAGCTTTCCTGCCGTATATGAACTCAGCAACGAAGGCTTTGATGATCGCATATCAGCACGGTAGCGAGGACCTCGCATGCTTGCTTCGGCGAGCTCGTGCAGAGAGCCACTGCAGGGTTCGGAACAATATTTTAACTAACACTTAACCCTCGTAGATAGCAATGTGCGCGGTAACAACTGTAATATATACCCGAAAATCACATGTGGTGGCTTCAGTACCCTGGGAGGTGCTTGCTGTGCATTGAAGCAGGCTAAACCCTAAACCTTATAAAGTGAAGTGGTTATTCCAGGGAGCTTATGGCTCTATTCACATGACCTGCTAGTCCCATCCCGCTGTCTGACCTTATTGAAGTCATCTTCTACTCCGTCATCGCCCTAAACCCTTCGCCCTGAACTTGAAAGGCCCTATAAACCCTAATCCGCTCAGAGCTTTATGGTTCAATGAAGTTCGGAAGGGAGCTCCTGGCACACATCCGCCAGTGCGAATCCAGCTCCCCTCCTTGCGCCGGGGGCGACTATGTGGATTACAATGCGCTGAAGCAGCTCATTAAGCTCCTTTTATCGAGTTTAAGGTTCAGGGGAAGGGGACTATGGGGTTAAGGGTTTAGGGATTAGGGTTCTTGTGTTTAGAACGGTTGTCAAAGAACTTGCATGAACCTGCTTTAACTACGGGAAGATTTATAAATCGTATTCCTCATCGTGGTTGGTAGCTTGAAGTATGTTTTCTAGCAAGAGCCCAGTTTTTTTCTCTTACATCACTACAACACATTATATTGCCCAGGTAGAAGATGTCGAAAAGCACCTTCGCACTGTTGCACAAAGCATCACCAGCCCTGAAGCCGAAACTCTCAAACCGGTTACCGTGAACCCTATCGGTTTAAGGTTTAGGGGTTAGGGTTATACTTACCTCACGCAAGAACCCTTAACACTCCAAACTTTTGCCGTAATACCGTGCAGTGAGTTTTTGGGCCACTTTGTCCAGAAAGGCTCGCCGTCCGCCATAGGTGAAGGTTCATGGGTAGTTCGAAGTAGGGAATGTAGGATGTAGGACTTGTAATGCTCACGTACGAGTGTGGTGAAGCTGCTTGGGGTACAATTTGTGCAGAGAGCAAATCCCGAAAGAAACATGGCCCTATTATGGCACTCCAAAGCTCTATCCAAAGTCACTTTAAACCCCAAACCCGAAATCCCAAAGTCATTTCCGAGGGCCGGCTGCACAGAAGATGATTTTCAGAAACTCTATGACAGGCCAGAGTCATGAGGAACCTTATGCTTATGGGGGTTAAGACCGAGGCGTTCGGGGACTATTTCTCCTTGTTATCAGACCGTGCTTATACGGGGTATTACGGCCCCCTACCCCACTAAGGGTCCTTATGACAGAGCCGAGTTGAAGCTTCGCCACTTTATCGTGGCTGAGAGTCTGTGATTGGTTTTTAATTTTTGCGTGTAGGCTTGAGAGCACGGGGTTCAAGGGTTTAAGGCTGCGTGGGATATACAGGTTTAGGGCTTTGGGGTTGTTCTCCCCATAATGGTGATCGAGCGTGTGCAGCAGAAAGCGGATGAGAAACTCCTCCCGGCAGAAGCAGGAGCGTGAAAAGAAACAGGATAAGGGTGACGAGGGCGACGACGAGCTGTGCCGCTTGTGTCAGAAGTGCAAAAGAGGCGGCAAGAACAAGGAGTGCAACCTTTGCAAGTCCGACATCGCGGCAGCGGGACGCCATGCAGCATGGCAAGCTCACCTCCATGGCGTTGTCTTTACTCCCGAAAACGTCAAGGTGACTCCAAAGTAGCTATCGGCACTTATATCCTAAGTCCTTATAGCCATGAAAAACTGATAGCCAGGAAGCCCCGACCCCTATGTATGTTACCAAGGGCTCAGCTAAAACCCTCAGCCGTTGAAGGCTTCCGGGTGTAGGAATGCTGTCAAGTCCTCAGCTTCGGTACCCTAGACGGCACCTAACCCCTCCCCCCACTGATGTAGGGGTCTTTATAAGTAGAGTAGGGTTTTGGGGGTTCCTATTCTAATTATCACGGCCCCTATTATCCTCTAATACACCACAAAGGCCTTTTACTTAGGACCTCAAGCCCTACATTACCCTCTAATATACGCCAAAATCTTTTTATGTCGGACCATGAGGGCTCTATTACTGGGCACTGGGCAAACCCTGGTACCCCGAATGGGTTTGTCTGACTGGTTCCGGGGTCGGAGCCGCCAAACCGGAGGTCTGTTGGCACTGTAAGTTTCCGCAGCGTTTGGGGGTTGTAGGATTTGGAGCTGGAGGGTTAGGGTTTTGGGGGTTGTAGGTTTAGGGTTGTAGGGTTTAGGGTTTAGGGTGGCGGGGTTTAATGTAGGGTTTTGGGCTGTAGGTTTTGAGGGTTGTGGTTTTAGGGTGCTTGTAGACTTTGGGGTAACAATAATCGTTGGTGGATACATGATCTTTCAGAGCGATCCAGATATTTGATTGAAATTTTCACCGGAGCATCCGAGCACCCTATGGCCCAGGGCTCATAGGCTAGTACCCTTTTGGCCGTTTTGTTTTCTGGGTTCATTATTCAAAATCAAGTAGTAGCAAAAAAGGTACCGTTTTATTAGGGGGCTATTGGGGAACCTAGTAGGCGGTCTGTGCGCATGGGGCTTCGGGCTCACAAGCTTCAAGATCGGAGCAGATTACTGTCCACCTTCAAGCCCGGAACCCTCAACCGTATAAACCCCTGCGCGAGATCCTTTAATTAATCCGTAAACCCCCCAATAATCGCCTGAACTACTGAGTCCTGAACCGTGCCAGGGAGCTTGCCAAAGTGTCGGCGAACCTTGCAGCGGGTGAGGCGCTGAATCGCGATCCGAAGTACGCGGTTATCAACCGCCAGGACTGCCAAGGGTAAAATGTTAGCTGCTTTATGGATTGTTTTGGCTGTTGCGACGTCAAGTTTGGGAATTATAGGGCTTAGCCTTTAGCGTTTAGTATTCTTACACACCGGCAGAATTTCCACGGCAGGCTTTGGACAAGATCAGCTGCCCGGCTGACCGTCATTGTCCAGAGATGCATGCTGTAAGTCTTTTGGGTGCCCTAAACCCTGAACCTTTCTCACCAATATACCAAAAAATCGAGTTGGCTTGGGTGTAATATAGTACAAATTGTGTCTTAAGGGGGTAGGTTGTTTGATTCGTTTTTTGTTTTGAGTTCAGGACTGTTTCCCTAACATGGTTTTGGGCTTAAGGTGTTGGGGTGTTAGGCTTGATTGTGTGGGAGTCATCTTCGGTTTGGAGTTGACTGTTCTGATTTCGGAGTTTCACAGCCCTGGGTAGCTTATGGTGCTTCCCGGTGCGGTCCACCACATCAAGCTAGACGAGGTTAACAATAAGCCCATTGTTCACAATCAGGTGGTTGTGTAAGTGTTTTGTGCCGGTTGTTTAGTGTTTGGGGCTGTGCTTGACAAGTCATACACCCTGCGCCCCCTTCTGTGTAGGGCTTCGTGGTTTGGTAAAGCTTACCTAGGTTGGATTTTGGGTCATTTTCTATTTTCCCTATTTGGGTTTATAAGGGACACTATATATATATATATATATATATATATATATTTTTTTCAGGGTGTTTAAAGGCCAACCCAGTTACTAACAGAGATTACGAATTCCTGAATGCCAACCCTCTGGTGCCCCATACAGGAACCCCGGCCCCAGAGCCTCCAAGCCCTGATACAGCAGCATGAACGATTACGAATGTTGCTTCGCAGGGCTCCTTTGGTTTATGATATTTATGATGCCATAATACTGTAGTATAGTCGTATTATAGTATCCTAAATATAGTACCGTAGAACTGTAAAAGAATGGTATCTTACTATAGTATCATAGAAATACAGTATTGTATCAGAGTAGCACAAAATATATGTAGCATAATAACTATACCGCGAGACACCCTAATCTAGCTATTCAGGCGCCTACGTTGACGCAAAGCCCGCATAAGGTAAAAAGTTCGACAAGCGCTTGAATGGGCAGATCCGAGCCACGAACTGGGTCACCACCAGCGCAGAGTTGGCTAAAGCTTTAGGAGGCCGGGCTTCGATGTTTAGGGTTTAGGATTTAGGGGTTTAAAGGTTTAGGGTTGAGGTTTGAGGGTTCAGTAGAGTTTACGGTTTAGGGTTTAGGGTGGGGGTGGGGGGTTTCAGAGTTTAAGGGTTAGGGTCCGGGCCTTGGAAATTTGTAGTCCTCGGGTTTACGGCCTGGGGTTGCGTGCCACACGCTTGCGAAGGGTTTTTTGGGCTGTGAAGGCTTTTGTAAGGGCAGTGTTCAGAAGGGTTTGAGCTTGTTGTGCATGTCTTATACCGACTCAGAGGGACAGCCTGGTCTAAGTCCCGTAAACGGCACCAAGCGAGGCTGTGTTCGGATTACGGCTTAGGGGTCTGGGCAAGGCTTGTGGTGCGTGTTTGTTCAATATTATTTGTAGGGTTTAGGTTTAGGGGATGGTACGAAATTGGGGCATGGGTACAGCACCAAGTAGCTTTGGGACTTGGGTTTGGGGTGCCTTGGTGGGGCTTTAGAGGCTCGGGTTGTAGCAAGTTTTAATCGCCTCGCGGCTTCAGCGCTGCAGGGTTTAAGAACGCGGCCTAAGCCCCAAATCGAAGCCCAGGCCCCTTCGTGGCCTTAAGCCTGAGACCGCCTGAGCCAAACTTGAGAAGCCTCACATCCTGAAACAGTCAGGCCCGAATCCCAACATCCTACACGGAAAGTCTTTTTTCTTAAGCTTAGGGTTTGGGATGTTCAGTGCATAAGACTACGAGGTCTAAACTTCCCTAAGCCCGGAAGCCTAAAAGCCCTGAATCACAACTCCCGGTGAGGTCTGCAAATCGAAGATGCCTTTAACCCACCTGACCTTGAGCCCGCACAAAGCCCCGTGGCGCGGATGGAGCTTGCTAAGGATTGTAGAGTGGTTTGCTGAGTGTGGGTTGTGTTTAGTGTTGTTTTGTTTTCCCACAAGAGCTACTTAAAGGATCATGGGACTTAGTAACTAGGGTTGTAAGTAAGGCAACTATACTTATATGTACTTATAACCCTGATTAGGGGACTTATAACCTTACTTACTAAGTCCCCTGATCCTCCAAGTAAGGATAATGTAGAAGATTCAGATCCATTGGCCATGATTCGTTGTTGTTCCTATTCCAGAGGGTTTTGACGTTCGTCAAATCTAGGGGGTTTGACCTGGCACCTACGAAGGCTTTTATGGGGTTTCACACACTTGGAAGTCAGCGTCTTGGGCATGCCGCCAGACAATGTTGTGCTGCTGCGTTGGTGTCTTGCTGCTTTCAGCAGCTGAAAGGTTTAGGATTGATGGGGTGCAACTGAGAATTCTGTCCCCCCTTGCTTTGGCGTGGGTGCTTTGGGTTTTGTGGCTGCGGCTTCGAAAGGAGTGGTGTCGAGTTTCAGATCGGGGGTTCACTGAAAGCTGAACTCTAAGCCCTAAACCATACATCTACCTGGGCGTGTTTAGGCCCCATGGGGTCCTGATGCCATCGTCCTGCGACTTCGGTACGCTGGGGATTCAGCTCTAGATCGCTTGAGGGTTGCACCCTCAATGCCACAGCCGAAACTACAAATCCAGAACCCCAGAAAGACTTCAAAATCCTGCGACCCGAAATTTTAGGTTATCAACCCCAGCATCCCAAATCTCGAATTGCTATAAAATCTACCAGCCAGACCCCCCTCACGAGGGTCGGGTGCCGTGATTTTGTGCGCGGGCGCCTTCTCCGGCATCATGTCAAGAACTCTGACAGCACCTTTGGATGCTTGGCTCTCTAGTATAGTCTGGGGTCCTAAATAGTTGAAAAATGGTTTTTGGGCTTCTTTACAGTACGTTCATAATAGGGAACCCCAAGGAATTTGAGGGTTTAGGGTTGAGGGGTTGTAGTATAGTTGGTTGTTCTCCTCTTCTATTCCTGAGCTGGACAACCATGCCCTGGTTCCGAGCATCTGATTATAGGCTCGAGTGTCAGGGCTGCAACATTCGGTTCTGACGGCTTGTTCAAGCATCGGGTTTAGGGTCATAGGGTTATGTGGTTACAGGGTTTAGTGTTCAGGGCTCGATCAACCCTTTCGGGCATTTGTCGTTTGGAGTCCGAAGGGTGGGCACGCAAAGTTCCACTCGTGTTCTGTGGGGCTTGCCATACAGCCAACCCTCAACCCATATCCCCGACTCTTGAACACCACATATTGTACCCAACACCTGGAAATCAAATCCCAAACCGGAACCCGCATCTAATGCCGCACGCAAGGACCGCATCAAGATCATGATGCAGGCAGGCAGTATCTTCCGCAACCCCCCAATCCTCTGAAGCCCTAAACCCGTGCCCTAATTCGCAAGCAACCTCTCAACAGCAAGATCCTGATAAACCCTCCCCAGAACCGAAGCCCTATAAACCCAAAACCCCAAACCGTCCCGGACCTCGACCCCCTGCAAGGCGGGCAATGCACCTAAAGTCGGCGGTCAACGGCCCCCACACCGCTGGGATGCCTCCTCTCCGAAACTGAGAGCTGCCGCGCAGGCGATACTGCTCCGCGTCGGCACTGCTGCGGATTTTCGGCTCTAGGGCTTATAGAGTGCTAGTGTTCAGGGCTGCAGGGTTTATGGGTTTAAGGTTGTAGGGTCCAGCCAGGCGGCATGCTGCAAACTTTAGTTCCCCTGTATGAGAATCGAACCCCATCCCCTTAAGGCCTTCTTTACCTCTTCGTATGGTTGCTAACAAGCCCGCAGGCTCGACCGTAGCGGTATTCCGCTTGCACCAGGGAGGAAAAGAGCCTTCAACAACAAAAACAGACCGTTACAAACCCTAAATAAACTCTACACCTTCAGCAATTTGGGTTTAGGCGCTTTTTCAACTCGTACTTAGAGTGCCGACGTTGCATGGAGACCCAACACCATACTTGAAGGAGGGTATGGGGTTTGGGGTATGGAGGCTTCGAAGGAGGCTTAGCATCTGGGGTTTAGGATGTGGAGGCTTCGGGCTGACACAAGTCAAGACTGTAAAGGGAACTCCAGAAAGTTGGAATATGGAATAATGGCAGGATCCCCTATATTTTACCTTAAAGGGACTATGATAATGATATTCCAACTTTCTGGCTTCTAATGTATGATGTTGCCGTGATCACCGGCGAGTCCGGGGCCAAACCCCTAGCCCCCGGAGCCCCTGAACCCAAAAGTCCAAGAATCCAAAAGCCCAAACTCTGAACCCCGGAAAAAACCTGAAGCCCCCGGAGGGTTATGGATCCCCCCAAAAAGAAGTTAGATCCTAAACACACGCTACACCAACCCCTAAACCTCAAAACCTATACCCTAAACGCCCTAAACCCTGAACGCCCTAAGCCCCAAGCCCTAAGCCCTAAACCCTGGGATCCCAGGCGCGATGGAGGACCGGGAGCATTTTGGCAGGGGAACGGGGCCAACGTGTTGAAGGTGATGCCCGAGTCGGCCGTGAAGTTCCTGGTGTATGACAAGGCAAAAGGGTCTAGGCTTTTTAGGGGTTAGGGTTTAGGCTTTTAGGGGTTAGGGTTTAGGCTTTAGGGGCTAGGGTTTAGGCTTTTAGGGGTTACTCGTAGGGTTTAGAGTCCAGGCTTCTTGGTTTATGACATGGCAAAGAGTTTGGGCTTTCGGGTTTGAGTTTCAAGTTCTTGGTTTATGACAAGGCAAAAGCGTTTAGGCTTTTTACGGGTTAGGGTTTAGGGTTCAGGGTCTTTGGTTCATGACAGGGCAAAAGGGTTTAGGCTTTCGGTTTTAATTTCAGGGTCTAGGGTCTAGAGTTGAAGGCAAAGGGTATAGGGCTTGTTGTTTATGCAGGGTTTAGAGTTCAGGATTCAGGTTTAGGGTTTCGGGTTCCGGGTTTAAGGTATGCATGGGGTTTAGGCTTTATAGGCTTTATGACAAGGCAGTGCCCGTGCCGTAGCCCTGAACTCTAAACCCACAAAACCTGAGCCCTAACCCTTTGGGTGAGCTTGAGGTTTCGGGATTTGGGGGTGTAGGATCCAGCGGCAGAGGAGCTTTTCGAAAATTCAGGGATTGTCTTGCCCCCCAAAACGTATGGAAGTGTTAGAGAACCTCTGCGCAACCCTATTCTGGTTGTCCCTACATGGCACCATATGGTGGCCTCACCAGGACGCCATGGCTGGATACCATCCCAGAGCCCTGAACCGTTTGGGCTTTCGGGCTTGGGCCCTAAACCCAAGCCAATAAACTCTGAACGCGCCCAAACCCAAGAAGCCGAAGCCCGGGAGCTGTAAGGCTTCAGTCCTCAGATGACCCAAACAGGTTGGATCATTCGCTGAAGCATAAAAATGGCCCAAGCTGCAAGTTAGGGCTTATACAAGCAAAAACAACCAGCTTTCTATCCCCTTATTATAACCCCCAAAAGCGAGAGGTGAAAGCCGCCCTATCCAACACAGAGACCTTGCTGCCCGTCTCCGAGCGGCTCGTTGCCGGATCTGTCGCTGGCTGCATTTCCCAGGCCGTTGTCTATCCACTGGATGCACCTTGTCGGAGGAGCATAGAATTTTAGCGGAAATTGGGATTCAGAAATCGTGGCGCGGCGAAAGTGCAATAGTCAAGCATTTTGCTTGAGTTATTCGTGATTTGAAGGGTTTTAAGCTTGCGAGGAGTTCGAGCGTGGGTTTAGGGTTCTTTGATTTCGGGATTTGTGTTTCTGCACTTCAGGGTGCAGGGGTGGTAGGGAGGAGCAGCTAGGCTTACCGCCCATCTTGCAAGTGTGGGAGTGTTTTGATATTCTCGGTTTCTTGCAGCCCAATCTCGACATGCCCCCTCCTTGCATCCTCATCACAGATTCCGAAACACACTCCCCATACACCCATTTATCTGACATGAACTTGCCTTTTGAACCTATCCGACACCTTAAGCCCTGAGCCCCCAAACCCTAAATTCTACATAAACCTGAACCCTGAACCGTTTGTTGTGCTGCTCTCCTCCGGCCTGGCCCCTTGATTTAGGCGGACAGACATACATGCCACTTACATAGCTGTAAAGAAAATTGGAAAAAGAGGTACCTGCAGAAGGTACCTGAGCATGCTTGGATTCCTGGTAGAACCTCAACCCAAAGTCTGATCTCCTACGGTTGATGATAGAAATCCTGCAAACCCCCCGAATGACCCTAAACTACGGGAATTATGGTATATTCCTTATTATGGGTCATGCATGATTTATATCTCCAGAATCTAGAAGCCACCCGAACGCCCGGAAACCTCAGACCCTTAAGCCCGAAACCCTGGGGTCTCGGAACCCGAAACCCTGAACCCTCCGAGTCCTGGGATCCGACATGTCAGGTAACAAAAACTCGCCTCGCCGCCGCACCGTCAGGCATCAAATGTCGGCCACAGTTGAGGGTTTAGGGTTCATGAAGTCCTTCGGGTTTAGCGTTCAGTTTGGGGCAACAGAATCTGTATAAATATAAGGCTATCGAACGTTGCCATCGTGTTGGTGGGCTAGCTCTACTTTCCAAAGTTGACAGCGGGCTTCCTTTAATGGCACATGTATATTCTGGGCTTCGAAGGGGCTCAGGCCATCAGCAGTCTGGCTGTGGTGTCCGACGTAGCGTAGCACGGTAACTTGATATGTAGTGCTCAGTGCTCATGTCATTCTCTACGACATACTGTAGTTGGTGCACCTTCAAGCAGAGCATGACGGTCAGAGACGGGTCAACATTTGCGAGTTCAGGCTTGTTTTGACTTGTGTAGAAGCATGGCTCCGAGTGTGGGGGGAGTGTCCAAACTTGAGTTTGGCTGTCGTCTCCATTGTAGTTGGCTTGTTGCTTGACTTCTGTTGATATTGCAAAACCCCAACCATTATATAACTGGATAGCGAAGTTAGGTAAACAGGTTGGAGACATTTGGAGACTATAGGTGCAGATGTTTTGAGCTGGGACTTAGGTTGTGGGGGCCTTCGTGTATGGGAGTGTTGCCTTCAACTGCAGCGAATCGAATCAAAGGGGCCCCAAGGCCCAGCGACGGTGACGAGGATGACGTCGGTGATGCTGGTGTTAATGCTGCGGCTGAAAATTTTATCTATGGTGAGGAATAGGAATTATCATGCTAATGCTGATGATGCTCGTGCTGACGAAGGTGCCCTCAACCCGGAACCCTAAACCCTAAACCCAAACCGAAGCCCTAAACCCTAAACCAGCAGCGAAAAAACAGCAGCAAAGCCTGGCATGTGACAGGTACTTACTCTGGCATCTTGGACTGCCTGCAGCGCACCATCCGAGTGGAGGGCTTTCATGCGCTTTACAAGGCAACCGCTGGTGAACGGAGCGCGGAGCTGGACATCTTGGGGCTTCGGTGTTTTGGGATTCTGGGTTGGAGCCTTATGGGCGTGTGGTGTGGGGTGTAGGGCTGACGGGTTTGGGTTTTGGTGTTCCAGGTTGTGAGGCTGTTGAAATTGGTGACTGCGTTTGCCTCGGGTCGGACGGAGCGTGCGTCCCGGGGTTTCCTTGAAACCCCTATAGGTGCACATGACTGCACTTAGCACTGTGGTTTAGGGTTCACGGGAGATCGGGGAGACTTAAAAAACAACTCAGAGGTACCACTTTGTCGCGCCCCCCTAGCAGTTCTAGTTGTATCAAGCAAAGCCGGGGATGGTGGGTTCCATACTTTTTGGACTGAATACCCTTCGCCGGATTCCTCTGAATGTGTGGATACTCAGAGACCTAAGTTCTGAACCATAAATTACTTAAACTCTAGAATAAGCTTTGAACCTGAAGCCTTGAAGCCTGAGTCTTTAATCCGAAGCGGCCTTAGCCCAAGCCCACAGCTCAGGCAGCGAGCCACATATTCCGAGTATATAATAAGCATAACAGCAATATAGTAATACTAAAGGCCTTACTAGTTATTTCTAGAGGAATAAGAATCCTATAGTATACATCTTAAAGCAGACGATTTGGATTACCCTGTAGAATGCCTTGCAGAAGACCGCATATACTAATATACTAACAAGTAACAATACTAGTATTAATTTAATGGGAACAAAAATACTGTACTATCAGCCCAAAGGAAGCTCGCACGTCCTTGTCGCAGGGGATTTGGCCCGCCTTGCTGGCCATTGTCCCCGCCGCCGGCATCGATCTGGCTGTCTACAATACCCTGAAGGTGCCATGAATGTTATAGAATCCCTATTAAGCCTTAAACCCAGAACTAGAAACCAAAAGCCCTGCTTAGAATTAATCCCGAAGATCCAATGTTTGCTTGCATGTCAATCTTCGGTACACCTGCACCTTCACCCAGAAAGACATCGTATGCTGTCAGAACCCACAGATCCCACCTTAGCGTTCGAGCTGATCGGAATAACTTATAGCCTTGTCCCCGTATACATAAGTCCTACACCCTAAACCCTAAACCTATAAGTATTAAGTCCCCGACATCAGCCGCAGAGCAGGCAAACTATGAGCAGCCCCGGAATGCAGATCAGCGGGCGATGCCACTCACGTTGGGGCCCCCGGCGGGGAGGGAGGAAGAGAGAGAGAGAGAGAGAGAGGAAGAGAGCAGTTTGGTGTTTGGCCTGCTGACCAAGTTTTATGTCAAGTTGTTTTACAGATGTATGCCTGCCAGTAGTACATGTGTACACCTGCCTGCACGCATGTGTGCCATCTTTGTGCGTGCATGTTGGCACAGGCGTGCGCTTGAGAAGCTGTTTGCGTGCTTGGGTGCTTGGGTTTTCGTGTGTGTATGTATCCACAACATTTGGCTCCTCAGATTTCTGTATGTCGGTATATGTCCTGCGTAGTGAGACAAGTGTGATGGGGGATCTAACCCCAAACCCCAATTTAACCCATGACTGTTGAGACGCCAGTTGTTGGATGCGTGGTCTCCCTTAGAGGGCTTATAATATCGAAGTATGAAACTTGTGCACGCTACAGTCGGTTCACAATACCTACTTCGACTCAGTGTCGCGCACTGCATGCCTAACATGTTAGAATATTTCGCTCAGTACTGACGGACGTGTGGTACGTTTGATCATGAAGCAGATCCATGAGCGGATGGTCTAGTCAATGGTCCGAAGTGCTGTAATCATGCGAAGCTTTTCAAGCACCCCAACTTGCAGGGTCCAACCCGGAGCCGCAGCCTCCACTTTCGTCTTCATAAAACAACACCCTGAGGTTGGCTCTCTGTTTCGGCGCAGTCTCTGCCACTTGTGGAGCCGTGGTCTCGCGATTCAGCTGCAAGACTCGGAGTCCTTGTGTTCATAAGGTATGGTAAGGTATGGACGGTTTGGATTGTTCAATGCTCAAGTCAAGAGGAGACTAAACTCCAAAACCTTACACCGTAAGCCATAAACCAACCAGACTTGTGCATGCTTCTGCAATGAAGGTGTCTGGCCAGTTAGAAAAAAGCATCAACCCATATCATACCTCTTTTTGATCATATACTATAGCCTGCCCCCCCCAAAAAAAACAACAAACATAGCTTGACATATTTAGCCCGTGTGTCACTCGATTTCTGTTGGCGTCGTTGTGCTTTCCAACCTCTTTCACAAATGATTGGATCCTGAGGACCAGCCTTGTTTTCCCAAGCTTCTCCCAAAGGGTCCTATGTACTGTTATGGGGGATACTTCCCTAAGTCATAATAGTAATTCCTTATATAGAAACCCTACACTCTACTAGAAAGGTACTTTGGGCCCTTTGGGTCTGTAAGTCGAGCACGATAGGACAACTTTATTCTGCACCTCGACATTCCACCCCCGAGCACGAACACCGATAACCAAGAAAGTCTCCATGTACAATGCCCCTAACCTCACATGAACACCAGAGCCCGAAATAGTAGACAAAATCCAGGATCCTTATCCCCAGGCCCTAAACCCTTAACCCCAAAGCCGAAATCATACACCCAAAACCCTAAAACGGAAACCATAAACCCTAAACTCTGAGCCCTATCCCTTGAGTCTCGAATCCGTTCAAGGTATCCGCTTACGGTGGTCAGGACCCGGCTCATCGTCCAGGGCATGCCCGGGCGGCCTCCAAGATACGCAGGCGCTACGGGCAAAAGTAAGGTTTAGGGGTTTTAAGGCTTTAGGGGTTTAGGGCTGTGGGTTTAAGGTTTAGCTGTTCAGGAGTTGAGGTTCACTGTTCAGTGTTTAAGGCTGCTTTCCTGTAATCGTGGGCTTCATGGCGATCCAAAATTTCGGCTCTGCTAAGGTGCTGCGAAAAAAACCTTAAACCCTGTTAAACTCTAAACTCTCATCCCTGCAGGGCTTCGGGCAGTTGTAGTTGACCTACATGCAGTTGGAAAAGAGACCTTAAAAGCACAGAAAGCCACTCCTACCTGGCTTACTCGGCTTCGGTTTTGGTCCTCTGATTGGAGAAGCCTTCCGACATGAAGCTCAAACAGCAGCACAAGAAGTTGGAAACTCATCGCGCACCTCCACAGGCGTCAGAACGAAAGTTCCGAAGACCTAAACCCTAGACCCTCTAAAACCCTCAACCTTGACCCTACAGCCCAACTCCAAACGCAGAGTTCGACCTTGAAGCGGATCACACCAGATGCCCCAGACGTCCTACAGGCCTAAAGCAGCCCCAAAAACCCTTCAACTGCTAAAAAAAGGAGCCTAAATTATCACCATTACTATGTTGGGGGTTCCTTCTTATGATTATAGTATAATGGGTCCCGAAACTATTATGGCCCCTATATGGACGACCTTCAGCCCAAGTCCCCTCAGGTGTGATGGCGGCTTCGGCGGCAAGTGTGAGGGTCGACTTAATGAGTCAGTTTAGTTTACTTTCTGTGAACCCACCTCTAGTCTCCATTGTAGTTCCTTTTTGGGGTTACCTTATAGGATCCTTATTATATATTTGGTTACACCCAAAAAAGGAACTACAATTCAGACTATAGGTAGAGTTTGACCCTAGACGGCCAGCTTAAAGTCAAAGCTCCGAAACGTGTGTTCTGCCACCGTGCTTTTGCTTGTTCGGGTTTGCCTGTGACCCAAGCCCTATAGAACCGTAGGTTATGAGTTATGACCCCCTCAATGAAAGGGCCGAGCCCTGAAAACAATACGCTTTGACATTCACAGGTAGGGTCTAAGTATGTCGAGCGCTGCGGAAGGAGATGCTTGATCGTTTCCACGTATACTAGCATGAGATGGGCAAAATGGGTTTCGGATGCGCTCAATGTTTTCTCTCCGGGGCCTGTCCTGTCCGTCTACTCAGTCCGGCCGAGGATTGCGTCCGCAAGATCTTGGCCAACAGTGGCTTCCAAGGCTGGACCGGAGTAGAAGAGAGCAGCAGGACACGTTGCCAAAACCCTGCCACCGAATTCCGGGGTCTTCTCTCGGAGGCGGATCAGGGGTTCTTGTTGCAGGTCTCTATCGCGGCTTGACCCCGGCGCTCTTCAAGACCATCCCGGCACCTTTGCAACGGGAAAGGGTGGTAGCGCCGGACCTCCGGTGTAATATAGAAGATTCAAGCAAGTACCGAATCTGGGAGAACTGTTGATTTTTCCTTGCTGTGTCATTTAGAGCCCTGGTTATCACATGTTATAAATCGATTTGGGGATTATTGAAGTCGGCACCTAGTGAGTAGTCCTTAGTTAATCAAATTCTTCCTGAGAGGTCCTTGTTATCATCATACTATACGGTACACATTTCGTGTGACCCTGTTCCAATGATTGAGGCCCCTACAACGACCCTGAAGACCGGGTTTTAAGATTTAGGAGGCTAGGGTTAGGACTAGAACCGATGATCATGCTTAGACGTTAAGGGTCAAGAGTCAAGAGTCTAGAAGTTGAGGATAGAGCCTTTGTGCAACCGTTGGTCAAGACCTACTTTGAATTTGTGCTTGGGTTGCGGCTGTTTACAGGACTTCTTCGGTTTCATGGAAAAGTACCGATACCGTGAGAGTTCAATTGCTTTCGGTGTGGCTGACGGTTCTTATCTGATTGATTTGTCCAGTCGTATACCTTTCTGTATATTGTCAACCACGATCCAAGGGTCAGGGGGCCATACGAGTATAGTAGTACAGGCCCACATATCCTCAGGTCGGCTCGTACTGGTGGATTCCGGGGCTTGTGCTCTACGAGCTTTAGCCCAAAAAGCTAGCAGGGCTCTGGCAAGCTCTCGTAAACGCATGTACACATGCGTGCATAGGAAAGGGCATCTCTAAGCCCTATAGCCCTCAACCCCAATACACTTTGCAAATCTCCTGTAACACCCCTTTCGGGTTTAAGTTTTCCTAAACTCTAAACCCTAAACAACACCCAAAACTCAAAACCCTAAACCCTGAAAACAAGAAGCAACACCCTAAACCCTAAACCCTGAAAGGAGGGTTAGGGTTTCTGTAGATTTCAGGCGGTGAGCATTGGCTGGGCGGCATTCGAGTTTGCGAAGAGCCTTGCTGACACCTTCCTGCCGCTTGACCTTAGGGGAAGTCCCAAAGGGTCTGAGTACCATTGTAGTCATTATAGTAGGCACTTAGTAGGTATTCGGGCCCCCAAAGATTATATACTTGGTAGGTATTCGGGCCCCAAAAGATTATAGTCATTATAGTAGGTACTTAGTAGGCATTCGGGTCCCAAAAGTGTGTGCTATACTTTTGCATGGACCCTTTGGGCGTTCTGGGTTCTAGGGCTTGGGCTTAGGGCTTAGGATTTAGGATTCAGGTTGGGTTGTGGTTTAGGGTTCACTGAATGACAGTCGTTTCGCATGTCAATGGAAGCTCCACGGGCGAATCTTTGTATCGTGCTGCATGTGACGCGGGCATGTTCCTCAAAGCAGCTGACCCTGTGCGTGCGCAGGTTCTCCCTGGAACTATCCATGTAGCATACGTGTTCATTTGTGTGGATGCTCCTCTGCCGGCTTGCAGTGTGCGCGTCCATCCATTCATCCGCCCAGCCATTATGTGTGCTTATATATATATATATATATATATATATATATATATATTTATACACACACACCCATATGTATGTCGCAATATGTACCTTTACACAGAGAGAGAGAGAGAGAGAAAGCCCGCACACAGTATACAATTACATCTATGCAGCCACGTGCACATACTCGCGTATGTACAAGATGCGCCTGCATACACACAGACACACACGCAAGCGACTTTCGTCAACAAGCATATGCACAGGATGATCTCGATGATGATGATGACTATTAGAACGATGGTCATGATGGTGAAGATAATGATGATTATGACGATGATGGTGATGGCGGTGCTGGTGGTGGTTGTTGGTGGTGGTGCTGCTGGTGGTGGTGATTATATTGATGTTTTGGAAGATGGTGTTGAGGTTGGCTTGGATGATGGCGAAGATGATGCCAAAGGTGATCGTGTCAACCCGGACGATGCGTCTTGAAAACTTGTTTGCGGCACTTTGATCTCGGACTCTTTGTGCGTCAATCCAATGCGGAGGTAAACGCTGCGAGTTGCCATCGAGCCTGAAGTTCGAGCTGGTGCGATTTTGGCAGAACTAGCAGCCGAGCTTCCTGGACGTTCTGCATGGTATCGTATCCACCTGGCGTCTTCTGTGCGGGCTCTGTCCTCTCTCTCTGCTGGCCTGAGCCCAGATGCCAGCAGCTCCAAAAGCTCTTGAGTTTCAGGTGCGCGACGCTGGAGGTGGGCAGTGATGAAAGCCACACAACGGCAGAACTTCAGGGCACGCGAGGCGCGAGGCACTTCTCCGAGGAGTCGATGTGATGGCAGGGCCAAATTTTCCGAGACATGGCCCTCCAAATAAGCCCGAAGCTCGGACGAGAAGGCCTTCGCCTACCACTGCAGGCCCTAGGGCAGGCACCCTGGGCCTTCAAGAGAGGCTTCGCGGCTATCACCTGAGCAAGGGGAGATCTGTCTTCGGAACGGATCCCTTGCCTGCGGTATGGGGTTTATGTTTTTGACCGATCCTCAAAATGGGGACATCCTGATGCAGTTTTGGAGTGCCGATGCAGACATTGCAGAGCAGCGAAAAGAAGCACGCCTCTCGGATCCCCAAGAGCCCAAGAGCTTCACGGGAATCACCGGCATCACCGTTGTACACCCGAAGTGGCCCAAGCACACGTCCTGTGAGTGCTGTGGCCGTGTTGCTTTTTGTTAAGGACTTCGTAGCTGAGTGGATACACTTTAGACTTTTTGGGATAATAATAATACCCACTATAAAACTAAAAGTGTACACTCTTGGGGGGGCTTATGAACTCAGCAATTAAGAGGATGTGGGGCTCAAGATCGGATCGAGAGGTGGGTTGTTTTCTCACTGAAGCTGTGAGGGCCTCGGGATGGTGAAGGGTTTAGGGTCGTTTACCTAGACCCCCCCCCCAACGACTATCCTCTAATATACCCGAAGTACCCACTATTAGGGACCATAATGGGCCGATTACAGGGCGCTTGGAGGTCCTGGTAGGGATTAAAACCCTAAACCCTAAACCTCTAAACCGTAAACCGATGATTAGAGTTTAGGGTTCAGAGACTCTGAAGGATCCGAGCCTTGGCATGACGTGTCCATTTCTCATCGAAGCCTGGTCCGGGAATGAAGCTGATCTCTTAGGGACCCAAGAAATTTGAAAGGACATAAGCATCTTGTTGGGCTTCATATAAGGGGGGTTTATGTGGGACATCCCTGTCCTGATTTTTGCTTATTATGCATGTGTTTTTGTTCGGGCCCGGTTCTCGCGTTAACAGATCAGGCAGATCAAACATAGAGGTCGTAGCAATGAGCATGGGGTTTCCAGGGGTATATGTTTCCCTGACTATACTACACCACAACTTAAAGGGATCCGATCAACTATAAATAGTTTCGATTTCTACATTGGGTTTCGTGACAAATTCCTGCGCTGCCGTCTATCCTACACGATAGCCCGACGTAGTAGCTAGCTAGCCGTGAACATGACAGTGAACGGCATATTGGGATACCATCAAGCCCTGCCGAGGCATGAAATCAGGGGAACATGATCCAGCCAAGGACTTATAGATACCGCCCACCATCCTGAATCCTTAACACTCTATATCCTAAACAACCCTCAAGCTTTACGTCCAAAAGGCTGTGCAACCCCTGTGATACATTTGCGCAGCCGCTGTAGAACCCTATGGAACCATTCCTCCAAAACCTCCTAAACCCAGATCCCGAACCCCGAATCCCAAACTTTAGAACAAATGAAACTAGTACAGAAGCCTGAATAGTTTGTAATATCACCCAAACCCTCTTCTACTTGCCAAGGCCACTATATTACGGGCCCTATGGTCTCGAATTATAGGATTTCGAGAGCGGAGATCCGTCCGCCCTCATGGCTCCCCGCGCTCGGCCCCAAATCGGCGGGGGACCCTTGGGCCGAATTTCCCGGTACGTCCAGGGATTACCTATAGTCTCCATTGTAGTTCCTTTTTTGGTTTAACCGAATATATAGTAAGGATCCTATAAGGTAACCCCAAAAAGGAACTACAATGGAGACTACAGGTAGGGCTTCAGGTTCAGGGTGTAGAGCTTTGGAGTTCGTAAACGTCGGCTACATGTAACATATGTGGGTGGTTGTCAAAATTAGGGTCCCTTTTTGGGTCCTTATTATAATGCGGCACCTAATATTTAGGGTACCCAGAAAGGGACCATAATTTTGATACTACCCATGTAACTAGACTAAGCAACTTAGGTTGGTTGCCTTATTACAGGAGGAAATGGCTTCAGTTTGCGTGGTCAGGTATATGATCATGTCACTTTACCTTAGTCACTCGAAACAGGGAACAGGGGAAGTTGCTAGGGCTTGGGTTTAGCGTTAAGCGCCTGCTGAAGCCATTGGCGAGCGGAAGTTCGTTTAGGTTTGGGGTCTAGGGTTGTGCCGCCATGCCAGTTAAGAGCTTGCTGAAACCGCCAGTCAGGCTTCTATATCGCCGGCGTCAACCCACCATGCCACGAGACCTTACTGGTAAAGCATCAGACCCGCATCCTGAGCCCCACAGCTACAGCCTATGCCCCAAAGCTTAAAACCTCGACTCACAAAGCCTAACCCCTCAAACCAAATCCTGATGTAGATTACACGCCCCAAGTCGATTGAGCTCCAAAAAGGAGATGACGTATAATGGAAAACAGAAACTGCAGAAGCCCTCCCCAGAGTTCAAGAACTGCCAAGAACTACCTGTAGTCTCCATTGTAGTTCCTTTTTGGGGTTACCTTATAGGATCCTTATTATATATTTTGTTAAACCAAAAAAAGGAACTACAATGGAGACGATAGGTACGACTCTAAGAGGAACTCCCCCCCTCAGCAGGAACACTGCAACAATGGCAGGGATTCCATGATAAATAACCAGACAACCAAAACCACATCAGTAACTTTTATCGAAACCTTCTGGTAAGCGCGTATCAACCCTTACCTAACCCTTCAGGAACCCTTGCAGATACCTACACAAAAAACCTTCAGTCCCTTATTGAACTCTTACAGGTCCCTGGGCCCTAAACCCGCACAGAACCCTTGCAGGAACCCTTGAAGGAAACCTTAAACGGGGCCCTGTTGTGGAACCCTACTGTACCCCTTCAAGGAGGCCCCTATTAGAGAGCCCTCCAGTACCCTTTAAAGGAACTCTTAAGAGGACCTTAGCGGAGCTCTTCAAAGGAAGCCTAAAGAAACCCGACTCTTCGAGGAACCCTTAACGGAATTCCTGCAAGGAACCCAATCCTTAAGCAAGGTCCCTTCCGGCAACCCATCAAGGATCCGGATCCCGTATAAGGGATTAGGGGTTAAGGGTTTAGGGACCCCAAAGGAGCTTTGCCTTTAAAGGAACCCTTAAAGAACCCCTTAAAGGAACCCTTAAACAACCCCTTAAAGGAACCCTTACAGGAACCCTAAAAGGAACCCTTAAAGGACCCCATACCGGATCCTGAAGGAGCTTTAAGGGAATCCGTATGTCAGGAAGAGGCCATGAGCTCTGGAAGCGAAAGTCCCGCTGCGGAGCCTGCGGTCCAAGAGCTCAAGGCACTTTGAGGGTTTCGGCTCTCGGCTTCGGGTTTAGGGTTTAGGGTTTTGGGTTTAGGGTTTTGGGTTAGGGTTTTGGGCTTGCGGATTGAGGCTTTAAGGTTCAGGGTTTAGGGATTTTTTTTTTTTCAGGGCTTGGGTTTTCGGGTTGAGGCTTAGGGTTTGGGGCCCAAGGTTTAGGGTTTAAGCTTAGGGTTATGGGGCGGGGGGTATAGGTTTTAACTTTTAGGGTTTAGGATGTTTAGCTTCTGACTTTGTATTTCATTCGGGGGTACTGTAAGGGCTCTCTTTTGTAATTCTGGTTGCTATACGGGCTACTGCAAGGGTCACAATATAGGCCTTACACGGGTGTAATCTTCGAGCTTTATCCATGTGTTGGGTTTATGGTGGTTTGGGAGTGGAGTTTTCGGATTTTGGGTTGCGGGGCCTTCTAAGTGTCTTACGGTTTTAGTGATTTAGTCTTACTGTAACATTTTCGTAGCGTCTTTAGTGTAATGGTTGTCGTTGGTTCAGTCGGGGTTTAAGGTTTGGGTTTTGGGGTGACGCAGGGCTTCTAGTTACTTCCTAAGTTTGAGGCCAGTGGCAGTTCACCACGAATCCGGGTATCCCAAACTGCATGACACCGTCTGTCGGAAAGCAAGACATGGATCTCTCTGTAGCTAGCCACGCGAGACGATATTCTTCCCTACAATTCCAATATAGGTATACACTACACCGCGAGATACTTTCCCCCCCACACAAGACCTTGTTCATACATGGTATTAAGGCCGCTACATCAAGCAGCGTCGATCTGAGTGGGAAGGAGTATCGCATCTACAAGGAGATGATCCTCAAGCCGCTCTCCGTGGATTCTTTGCAGGCCGAGTTCAGGGTTTAGACGATCATGATGTTGGCATCTAAACCCATGGCGACAGTCTAAGGGCCCATACGGTATGGCAAAGTCCCCATACGTTTCGCTGTTCGCGCTGCAGTGACTGGTCATTAGCATTGTCATTGTTATTATTGTTCTTGCTATGATTCAAAATCTCTAAGCAGGGTTTTGGTTAGGTCGGTTAGGTCTGTCCATGGTTTAGGGGTTCAGGGTCTTATGAGGATTTTGGGATCAGTACAGTCTGAGCATGACAAGCCGTGGGCATGCTTGCGCTGGCCAAGTCGCAGGCCAACCAGAGAAGCCCCAGCGCCCAAAGCCCTGAAGTTGGCCAGAAGCCATGAGAGTGAGAATCCGCCCTAAACCCTAAACCCGAAACTAGGCCCGAAACCATGAACGCAAAACTTCACACCCGAAGCCCGAAACCCTGAACGCCGTAAAACCCTGAGCCCTCAACTCTAAATACGGAGACCCTAAATCCTAAATCCTAAAGCCCGAAACCCTCGACCCTATCTATCTCCATCCCTTAAAGGAGCCCTATCGGAAGACGTTGAGGGTTCCCTCTAGGGTTTGGGGTTTAGGGTCTAGGGTTAAACCCCCCAGGGCTTGATGGAGAAGTCGGGCTCTGGGCGGAAAGCTCTGGAAGCCGGCTTGGTGATGTTCATGCAGGCAGGGTTGTCAAGCGATACTGGAGCCTCAACAATTGCCTATACTATTTTGCTAATTTGCGGTTTCCTTACTGTATTTACAGTATAATGGGCCCCTTTAGGGGATTGTCAATTAGTAGACGGCCTAGCGTTTAGGCTTCAGGGGTTTAGCGGTTTCGGGGTGCAGGCACGATTAGTAGACAGCTTAGGGTTTATAGGGCTTTGCAGCTTTCGGGTTTTTAGGGTTCAGGATTTCAGGATGTTAGGGTTTTAGGGTTTAGTCCGGTTCAGGTTTCCGAGAGTAAGTGTAACCTTAAGCGTTAGTTAAGCTTTTCGGTTTGGGTGGTTGGTACTCTGTTCCTGATATACTCCCAAAGGGTTACTAAACTCAGTCTTTCCAGGAAACTGGACCAGCCGGCAGCGTCAGTCGAAGAGGGGCTAAGGATCATTCCTAGGGCCTCTAGGAGTTAGGATTAGGGGGACGCTTGGGGATATAGACCCTCTGACTAAGGTTCCTTTTAAGAGAGCCAGAAGTAGGGTTAAGAAGGGTCTCCCTAATACCATCTAGGATCCGGGATCCTGTGTGTGAAGACTCTGATGCTCCCAAGCTCCCTTTATCCAACGGGTCCTAAGTGCCTATCACTGTAGCAAGTAGGGTTTCTATCGATTTGAGTCAGTCTGAGTCTCCTCCAAATAGGTGCTCAGGACTGCTTCAGTAATTGAAAGAGTATGGAGGGATGCTTGCATCCCTTGTATTGTTACCAATACTATTCCTTAGGGCTCCTTATGAACATTATTGTATAGAGGTTCCCGTAGATACAGATACATATCGTCAATTAGCGAGATAGTTCGGTAGAGAAGATGGAAAGACAGATAGATAGCTATAGACAGATGGATAAATAGATGACGGATAGATAGATATATAGATAGATTGATATTTAGAGCCGACCGGCCCAGAGAGAATCGACATGCCTACTTCGAAGCCCTATTCTCGACACCGTAAGGCCAGACACGCACATCTAAAACCATGGCCTTGAATCCCAAACCGTAAGCCCTAGCGCACAAAGGCCCATACCCTGAACCCGAAGTAGTCCCTGTACCTGTTACCTACGATACTAATCATTGTCCTTGGGTGTCTTGGTAGGAGCTCAAGAATTATGTCATGGGCTGCGACGACCGCAAGTTCAGCAGAGCGACGATGCGACGTGCCAGAGGTTCACGGGGGGTTAGCATTTGGGTACAGCATTTTGGGTTTGGGGTTCCAGCGCGTTACAGAGACAGACAGACAGATAGCCATGCAGGCAGGCAGACAGACAGACAGACAGACGACAGACAGACAGAGAATGACAGAGACGCATTCCTGCGCAGGTGTGGAGAGCCAACTTCTATCTGTCGCAGAAACAATCCTGGTTGTGCCGTGGCGAGCCCGTGTCCTCTCTGCCGATGACTTGCATGGGGCCCCTCAGTGCAGAAGCGGATGGGCTCTGGGGTTCAGTGTTGCAGGGTTCGGGGGGGGGGTTCAAGCGGCTTGGGTTTTTTGGGGGACTGTGGGAGTACGGCCTCCGGGCTTAGATAACGGGTGTGTTCGAGGTTTTGGGGTTTGGAGTTCATTGGGATTGGGGTCGATGAGGGTTACGACTCGGGGGGATGAGAATGAAGATCCTGCTTCCCACGAGGGCCCTGAAGAAACAAGATGAATCGGGGGTTTGCATCACCCGCAGGTCAAAATGGCCCGACAGCCTTGTAAAGTTTGTGGTCTGCGTGAGGGTTAATCAGGATCTGATGTGCTGCATAGATTGCTCTAGCGTCTCTTAGGGGCTATGATGCTTTGCACAAGCTCTTAAAGGCTTTTAGCGCTGTTTCTCGGGGTTTACGAGGCTTCCCAGCAGTATCTTTTTGTTTCGACGAATGATTGACATCCCAGGTGTGGCATGGCTTTGTGGCAATGAGAGGCTGGCGCGACTGCCGCGTGCCCCAAGAATGCCTCATACGCTTCCTATCAGGGGCTCTGGGGCAGTTGGATGAGTCGGTGGCGCAGGACCAGGGTCCACGGTTTAGGGTTTGGCCTTCTTAGGGGGCATGATGGGAAGGCCAGTAGAGCCTAGGCTACCTGCCTGGACCTAAACGTTGGAAGTGTTTTTTGAAGCTTCGCTACAACCGAGGCCTGTCAAGCTCGGTGCCTGAAACTCCACCCTCTACTCTAGAACTCCTGACAAGGCCATCTCCAGAGCATCTCACAAGGCATTCTAAAGCCTGATTCCGAGCACCTCACCACTTGTATTATCAACTCATGAAGCTTCACTTGACAAAGCCCCTTCTAAAGCCATAAGCAACAAAACCAGAATGAATGAAGCCATTGATCCCGATACCGTAAAACCTAAATCCCATGCCTTTTCACCCTCACACCCTCAACCCTCTCCCGTTTCACAAAGCAGAGAACCCGTGTAGAGGGCTCTGTAAGAAACCGACCCCTCGACAAAAAGCTCCCACTCTAGAAAACTGGATACCCAAACTAATCTAGAACCCTCACGTCCTAAGCCCCAACTCTCTTGCTAAATTCCAGTTTGTTTCCGATATTCCTCGCAGGAATGGAAAGATCATGCTCTGAACCAAGAGCTGCCTTTAGTGCTGCATGGCTGGTTTGAGGGTTGTCCGCCTCATGGTGCTATTTTTGGGTTGTTTGCGTTCATGCACCGAATTCTGGTTTCAAGTTATGCCCAGGTGTCCGGTGATTTTGGAAACCAGAGTTGTGTGTGTCTTAGGTGTGAGGAGCTTTCGGGTTTCAGAGTTTGGGGTTGCGACGGGGTTGCACCCTTAATAGTAGGATCCTTATTACAAGGACCCCCCAAATAAGGTACTCCTAATTTTCGGAAACTCCCATATTCCTTAATTTTTCGAGAAGTGTTGGAGGTTTTGGGGTTCCGGTTGGGTGGAGTTTAGGATGGATACTGCCCAACTCGGTAACAGTTGACTAATACAACATACAATGCAAATATATCAGGCCCTTCATAGTAGCCCTAATATGCATTGTGGCAGAACCCAAGGTTTAGGAGGGGTTTAGGGTTCTAGAGCTTGTAAGTTTGTAGGCCTTGAGGGTGTTCCACTGGCCAGCCGGTGTTTAGCCCACATAGAGGTGGGAACAACTCGTACAAAACTACTACCTTATAGTTCCTTCAATGTGGGATCTATTTGGCATTCGTCGTGTATAGCGCGAAAAACTTGGGGTAGGTTTGGGGGTATTTTTATGTTCCAGAAACCATTCCAACTAGAATATTTGGGACCGAATATCCTGGTAGTTGGGTAGGCGAACCTTCTGGACAGTATCTATCACGTTGAAATCAAATTTCGGGTGCTTTGATTCTATAGTCTTTACTCGGCCCCTACTGATTTGAGCAAGCGCCGATGGAAGGGCAGCAAGTCGGAGCTCATTGGAGTGTTGCAGACGATTTCTGGCATTGCTGGAACGTCGGCATTGCCATCTCGCTCCAAGCAAGTCGTCCTTGAAGAGATGCGACAGAGGCGGCCTGCTTGGGGCCAGTCGCTCTAGATCCCGAGCCGTGACCTCGGTTCAAATCTATGAAATGAAGAACTACATGCACTTGATTAGTCCTTCACAAACGGACCCAACTTGCCGAAACTGCCGAGACGATGGGAAACATGATCTTATGTTGTTTGCTTTCTGCTCTTGGTCGTCGCTTGCGTTGCGTTTACATGTCTCTGATTCGTCTCTTCTGGATTCAACAATACATCGAACCGCTTCGGTGCACGAAGTGCCGTAGGATAACTTGAAAGCAGCAAGTCTACACGCTTCGAAGCCCCAGAGTTTAGGGTTTACATAGGGCCGCTTGCTTCCGGCACTCGAAAGGCTTGGTCGTCTAAATCGTGACCAGCTGCCAAAAGCAGGTCAGAGAGTATGCAACCACCCCGGCCGGAATAGTTGGGAAGTAGTCTTTGTAAGGGTTTCTGCTATAAGTGCAATACAATCTCCCCCAAAACACTAGACCAACCATGTCAAGACAGCGATCGGTTTGTAACTGGCAAACCGAAACCTACGAAGTGCCTAAATCCGAAAAAGCCCATAGCCTTATACACGAAGGCCATGAAGCCCTAAACCTGGGCACCCTGAGAGACAGAAGCCCTAACACCACCCCATCTGCACTTCTTACAAAAACTCTCCAAACCCAGACTTCAAACTCCCTTAACCCCGAGCCTTTGTATAAATTCCCTTAATCCGAAAACCTAGACCCCAAACCTGAAACCAAAGGCTCCCTTAACCCTAAACCCCCCAAGCCCTAAATCCTAAACCCTGAAACCCTAAAGCTCCCTTAACCCTAAACCCTGAAGCCTAAAACCTAAAACCCCAAACCCCCTAAACCCCAAGCCAAGGCAGCGATCGATCTCCGTTGCGGCCTGGCCCGGGCTTTGTCAGCTTTTGGGGCAGCTTCTCGGCTTAGGCATTTAGGGGTTTAAGGGTTTATAGGGGTTTAGGGCTTTAGGGTTTAGGGGCTTCTCGGCTTAGGCATTTAGGGGTTTATAGGGGTTTAGGGGTTTAGGGCTTTAGGGTTTAGGGTTTAGGGGCTTCTCTCAGGCATTTAGGGGTTTATAGGGTTTAGGGGTTTAGGGTTCAGGGCTTTAGGGATTTAGGGGTTTAGGGGAATGGGCGTTAAGCGTTTAGGGTTTAGGGTTTGGGGTGGGAGGTTTAGGGTTTAGGCACTTTAGGGCTCTGGGTTTGGGGTTCGGCTTACCAGGATCCACCAAGTGTGTTTTGTCATAGGGCCCTTATGGCCTCTACTAGTGGGTATTTAAGATATAGTGGAGAATAATTTGGCGTCGAGGTAGGGTTGGCTGACTTGGAGGATCACGAGAATTCGCAAGCAAGGTGATAAGCACCCTCATTGGGGTTACGAAGTAAAACTAACTATAGTCACTTTATTTGTAACCCTAGTCTAAGTCCCAGGTCCTCTGTGTAAGATTTAGCACTCGGCCTTGGAGGCTTTGGGTTTATGGTTCAAGCTTCGGGATTTAGAATTTGCAGGTTTCTGGGCAAGTGCTTCTTTCTTGGTTGAACTGTTACTGTTGGGGAGCCTGGACCGAGGCAAGGCTTAGCGCAGAGCTGAAGCTTGAGTAGTGAGGGGTCTGAAGGAGTTTCGGGAGGGACCCAGGGATGGTCGGAGTGAAGCTTCCTTTATACCTAGCCAGGTAACCTAACCCCGCACATCACAAGCTCCCGAGGATAGCAATTTGGTGAGCTCAGTGGTCTATTCTTGTCTACATCTCAGGTCCCTGTTCTTCGCAACCCTCCACCTCCTCTGCCTAAGCTTTACACTCTTTACACCATTCGAAGACCCGTAACAAACATCCCTACACCCGAAATGCTATCCGGCTAAGACACCAACACCCCGAACCTTGAACCCCTAGACCTTGCCCGCACAACCCTGAATCCCTGCATGTGGCAACGTGCTGATGCGAGCAGCTTCTCCTGAGTCTGAAGAAGCCGAAGTATGACCTCGGGTCCAGCATGTTGCAGAATCGATTTGCACGTTGAGTCTGCTACACACAGTGCTCATGCTGACTACGTGCAGCGGCAGCTGTGCATCGCCACGGGGACGTTGCCCAGTGACAACCACCTGCATTCCGGTTGCTGCTAACGTCTCTCCGGTGTGCGACCCAGACCTTCCAAAATCCCTTAATTAAGGAATATACCTTAAATGATATTAGGGATCCTACTATAATTTAAGGTATATTCCTTAATTAAGGGATTTTGGAAGGTTTGGGGATCTCCTCCGGCTTGTTGATCCGAGCTCCCCTGCTCGGGCCTGCTGGGGTGCGCTGGAGGGTCTGGGGGATTGAGGCGGCTCCAGGCCCTCCGGCCCCTTTAAGCTCTTGTTTGGTACCCTCATAGATCTCTTGCAGAATCTTCGAAGGATCCTCACAGAAACCCAAAATCCTGAACTGCAAGGCCGTATAAGGAACTTAACCCCAACCGTCAACATTGTTCGTAACTATAGAAATAGGCTTGTCCAGAAAACCTACTAGAAAAACCTGGCTTTCTTGACCTTTTAAAGGCCTCCTGATTCCCTAAAGGATCCTTTCAACCAGCCCTGAAAGGAGCTCTTACAAAGAAAACGAAACTACAACGCCGTGTAAAACCTCTACGGCACCCTGGAGCAACTCATGATCATAAGACCCTAAGGAACCCCAAAACCTAAATCACGGAACCGTAAAGCCAAGACACTACACCAAGAAACCCATAAACCCAAAGCCCTAACTGAAAGTTCGAAGCCTCGTGCGCTCAGGCTCCCAGCTTGCGTAACGGCACAGGAACTCCGGGAAGCGCTCTGGAAGCAGGCCCGTTCTGCTTTGAGGGTCAGAGGGCCAGAACAGGGTTTAGGGTTCTGGGTTTAGGGTTTACAGTTCTGCTTTCTTACCTTTGGTTAGTAGTAGGGAATGGGAGAATGGTAGCAATAGTAATTATAATGGTACCCCATCCCTCCATTCCCTACTAACCAAAGGTAAGCTTTGAGGGTTAGAGGGCTTGAGGGTTACAGGGGTTTAGGGTGTAGGGTTTGGGGTTTACAGGGCTATAACAGGGTTTAGGGTTTCGGGTTCTGCTTCCTAGGGTTCTACATGGGGCTATGATGGTGGAGTTAGGGTTTGCAAAGCAGGCTAGTTTCCCCAAACTTGGAGCCCTTGAACTGTGATCCGGAAGTCCCGAAACCCGAAGTCCGAAATCCTAAGCCCCCCCCCAGCCCCCGTAGCTTCCCTCTATTGTACTCCGAATACCCTCTATTAAGGGCCGTAAGGGCTCCCTTGAAGGACACTTGGGGGTCCGTGCAACCAAGTACCGATGAGTCCTTAAACCTTAGGGGTACTCAGACTTTTTTTAAAATTTTTGGTTATTATAATCCCTAAGAAACAGCTAAAATTATATTTTTTGCTATGATTCTATTTTCAGTATAGAAACCCCTGGACCCTAAACCCCACAATTTTAGGCTTATGTTGTAAGGACTTACAACCCTACAGTCCCTGAGCCCCAGGCATTTGTCGAGAACCCGACCCGTGCACCAGACCATCGGACACTGGGCTCAAGCTGGCGGTGAGCAGCATAATGGGGGTTGACAGGATTTGGATTCGCAAGGGTTGTATAGAGTGCTTCTAAGGGTTTTCGTAAGCGACGGGGTCTTGCAAAGACTCCATGTTCATGAGGGTTTTATACTATGAGGGTTTGGTGTTAGAGGTTTACAGGAGTTTCTAAACGTTGAAGTTTAGACGGGTTTGGTGTTTCAGCTTTTCCACTTACAGGGTGTCGCCTTTACGGTCGAGGCTCAAGGCTGCAGGACCTGAATCGGGACTCTGCAGGGGTTTAGGCTTTTGGCGCGAAACCCCAAACCCTGTGGCACTCCTAAGGAGCTCGAATGAGGATCCAATCCTCAATGATTCGGATTGGCTTTGTCCCAGCTTGATACTCCTGAGGCCTACACGGAAAACCACATGGGTAGCTCTCTATCTTCGTAGAGTGCCACTTCTGATCCCCCAAAGCCTGAACAAGAGAGCAATGCCAAGAGCCGCTAGGATCCCTTGAACCTTGAAGTTTAGAGAACTCGGCATCATGGCGTGGTGTATTTACTCTGGTACATTGATGAGGGTGGTTGTCAAAACTGTGGTTTCTTGTTGGGTACCCTAGATATTAGGTGCCGTACTATATTATGACCCCCAAAGGGACCATAATTTTGACAACCACCCATGAGGCTCTTGATTGCCATGTTGGGGTTTTGGGATTGGGGGCTTTCAGGTTTCTTCTTGTGAGAGTTCAGGGTCTTTAGGGGCTCAACCTTCAGGGCTTTGCTGTAAGATTTCGGGGCAACTACTAAGCCTCCTCCTACGACTACTACGTACTACGTATGCTGCTACTGCTACTACTACTACTACTACTACTACTACTACTACTACTGCTGCTGCTGCTGCTGCTGCTGCTGCTGCTGCTGCTGCTGCTGCTGCTGCTGCTGCTAGTGCTAGTGCTAGTGCTACTGCTACTGCTACTGCTAGTGCTACTGCTACTGCTACTGCTACTGCTACTGCTACTGCTACTGCTACTGCTGCTGCTGCTGCTGCTGCTCCTGCTCCTGCTCCTGCTCCTGCTCCTGCTCCTGCTGCTGTTGCTGCTGCTGCTGCTGCTGCCGCTGCTGCTGCTGCTGCTGCTGCTACTGCTACTGCTACTGCTACTGCTGCTGCTGCTGCTGCTACCACCACCACCACCACCACTACTACTACGACGACGGCGGCGCCGACGACGACGAAGACCACGACCACGACCACTACTTCCTAGTGTTGCTCCTTACTATTTGCTGACTTTCTACTTCTACGATAAAATTTCTATCTCATACCTCGCGCTTCCTACCCACCACTTACTACTTGCTATATGCTGCTTACTGAGTACTGCTTACTGCTTACTGTCTACTACTGTAACTACTGCTACTGGTACTGCTACTACTGCTGAGACTACTGCTATCACGACTGCGACGACGACGACTACTACTACACCACTACGATTGCTACTGCTACTCCTGCGCGACTGCTACTGCTACTGCCACTTCTATCGCTACGGCTACTGCTGCTGCTGATGCTGCTACTGCCAGTGCCACTGCCACTGGCCACTGCCACTGCCACCGCCACTGCCCCTGCTACTGCTGCTGCTACTGCGGCTGCTGCTGTTTTACTTGCTGTTGATTACTCACTACTTGCTGTAGGTACTATTATCTGTTCGGCTTCCGCCTTGGCACCTGCTACTTTGTACTTCCCATTCCCACCTGGATATTTACCACTTGCTACCACTGCCAGTACCACTGTCACTGCCACTCCCTCTGCCCACTACCACGATGACGACTTCCACGACTACTACTGCTAAATTGCTGCTACGACTGCCTTTTGTGCTGTTACTGCTTCTGTTGCTCGTACTGCTTCAGCTTTGTTTTGCTGGTCACGTGGTTGAACCGCCAAGGAATTACAAGCGCTTTGCATTGCTGGCGGCGCAGATGATCGCCATCGGTGTTGAGCTGGAGTCAGACCGTGCGGAGATGTTGATTCAGCAGGTCTTGAATTTGGAGAGGCACCGCAATTGCAGTAGAAATAGCCCTTGTCAGTTTTAGTGATCAAGCTCTATCCAGTCTTAGCTGCATGATGCAAGCAAAGGGGGCTCAGTCTTTCAGGCTCGAATGATGTAGAGCTTGAGACTCGGAAACTGAAGGTCCAAAATGCCAAACTCGCCCATAAACCTTGAAGCTCTGCGAGTAGCTGGTTTCATAGACAGGCCTGAAGTAGTTCTACAGTGTATGGAGAGGCCCTGGCGAGAGCGAAGGGATATGCTGAGTGGCATTCTATCTGCTGCCTCCGTGGCGGACAGGATAAAGGCGTGCCCCCAGCTAGGATTTAGGGTTCGGGGTTAAGGGCCCTAAGGCTGAGACTGAGGGTTTGATTATTTGCCAACGGGAGGCTTCGGGATTGTGCATAAGGCTGCGGAGCTTTGGGGGTTGGGGTCGTTTAAGTGTGAGGCGCTCAGGCTCTGGCGCCTTGAAGTGCTGTAGGGCTATAAAACTGTCAGGGTTCCGGGTTTAGGGTTGAGGCGATTGCACGGTGTTGCTGCGACATGTTCGGACTTCGTTTCGTGTCGTTTGCTTGTTCTGCAGATTCCGTTGTCCTGCGATGAAAGGCTAGGGTTTTGGGGATCAGACGGCACATGACAGGTGGTACAAGATGCGCTCCAGGGTCTATACCCGCTGAGAAGGACTTCAAGTTCTCTGTCCGGGATCGTTTCAGCTGGTCCTGGCTATCTAAGACAAAGCCTGCGAAGATCCCCTTAAGATGCTAAGTTTAAAGGCCCTGAACTACTTCACCCTATGGGCCCCCATGTGCCCAAATAGTATATACCTTCGCCCCAAAGTACGTATATAGCGGCGACTTTAAGGCCAAAGTACATACTGTTTGGGTACAAGGACCCTTAGGGTCGAATGTATACTGCCCAAACCCCGTAGGGTACATTAGTTCAGGGCCTTTAAACTTAGCATCTTAAGGGGATCGGTTTAGGGTTTAGGGTTTAGGGACCCCAAACCGTTTTGAGAAGGGGTTCGTCTGAACGGTGATCGAGCCCATTCTAGCACTGATGCGCGTATCGCGGTGGTTGCAATTTACTGGACAGCCTATCCCTGAAGGGATACGAAACTTACAACCAAGACCCTAAAACCAAAAGGTCCCATCAACATTTTGCAAAAGTCTCCACTAAGCCCTAAAAACATCTACCGTCCCTAAATTTACATGCCAAAACCTACAGACAAGCCTGCTGCTTCAAACAACATCGGGGCTCTTCAGAACAAGCTGTAAGAGGTAAGGCCCCTACATTAGACAGGTGGTGCAGAATCTGGACCAGCGTTTCGAGGCCCATGCGGACCTCGACGACTTCGAGATTGTTTCCTGGTCCTTGCGAGCTTCTAAACCCTAGACCCCTAAACCCTAGACCCCTAACCTTCTTGCCCTCCTCCGAACCAAAGCAAATCCGGAAATGGCGCTCAGTGATAACTGGGGTCCTGCTTCTCCGGGCTATGTGGGTCCATGATATTCTGAAAGAGGGTACTATGAGTGACTATGAACTGAGTTTCTTGTTGCCAGCGTACCTGGAATGATCCTTTTTGGCAATGAATTGCAGCAATGAGCAGCAATCGCTAAACTTGACTTGCTGCCAAAGGATGCCGATAGTCGTCCCGCCACTTCCTGCCAATCTTGTTAGTTGGTGTACAGGATGCTGGAAGCGTTGCTACCATAACGTCTTGATAGCCATGTTTACGTTTAAGCATAGTAGACAGGCCTAAGTCGGTCATACTTTCCCTGGATACCTGTGATAAAGTTTAATTACGCCAAACCACTGTTGTAATCTTAATTAAAGCCCTCATATTTCAAGCGAACGGACGAACAAATGCTGATTCGGACAAGCCAAGGTTTGTGGCATCGCCGAGCATATCGGCGTGGAGATACCGAGGTCGGGTGTAAACTTGGGGCCCCCACAAGAAGACTATTCAAATCATTAAGTCCCCTCTACTCGGCTTGAGAGCTTTGGGGGTTTGCAGTGTGGGGTTTAGGGCTCAGGGTTTGAAGTTGCGGCTCTCTGAGTGATGAGGCGTTCTCTTTCAGGGTTCAGGGTTTATAGTGCAGGGTTCGTTTTCCAGGTCCGCTTGGGATTTTTGTTGTTATTCTTTTGGATGTTAGTAGCAGGAATCCTCAATTCTGTTTCCCTTGCATGCACCTGCAGGCAAGAAGTAGCCATGGTCTTTCCCTCATGACCCTTATCTTATATGGTCATATTTATGCAATCGCCAAAAGATATCTGAACCCAATTTCGTAAATCTATACAATTGCAAAAAATATCCAAACCCAATTTCGCTTGCAACCTCGACTTTCCGACTCCCTTTCCCGGGTCTTGATCCCAAAAACGACCCATTACGACTTCCCCGATGAAGGGCCCCAGCTTTCAAATGCATTTCATTTCAGAAGGTGCAAACTGGGCTTAGGATTAAGGGTTCACGATGTATACTTAGGTGCCACGAGGTCGTGGCTGTCGGACTAAATCCTCCGAACGCCAAATACATTGAGCCCGAAACCGCCTAAACCTCACGGCTGAAGGCTAACCAGCTTGAAACCGAAGCACACGCCCATAGTGTACGTATCTTGTATGTATACACATATACACATACACACACACACACATATATATATATATATATATACATGTATATGTATAAGTACACATACACACACACACACACATATATATATATATATATATAATATAAACATATAGATATGCATACTTCGTATCTGCACATAGAACTCTAAACTTCTAAACCTGAGGCCAACGCTTCCCAACTCACACACGAGAAAGTTGCAGGGACGGCGCCATTCGACGATGCGCGCTTCGACGATGGGCTCTGGACTCCAGCTGAGGGGCCGAAGTGATCGGGCGAAGCTACTAGAGCGTCCTGAATAAGAACCTATACTATTCTTTTTTGGGCAGGGGGGGGAGGCGTTCCTTACTATAGTTATAGTATACTGGGCTCCAAATCCCTATTCTAATTATTAAGGTCCCTTTATGTCTTCAATCCACTGTTTGGGTTCAGTCTTGAGGTTTAGGGGTTAGTGTGACATTGCTTTTGTTGTTGCTACGGCGATCGTAGAACATGAAGACGCATGTATCCCTGTCCCAGCATGAGTGCAATGACATGGCCATTTCTGTTGTTACTACACTACACAACATTTCCCTTGTTACAATTGTTCTCGGGCTCATATCCCTCATAGTACGGTCTTTCTTTAGAATACGACTTCGACGAAGACCACGACCACAACCTAGCAGTACTGCTGCTGGCTGCTGCTGCTGCTGCTGCTGCTGCTGCTTCGTTAATCTCACTACTACTACTACTACCACCACCACCACTACTACTACCACTACTGCTACTACTAGCTAGTACTACTCCTCCTGCTGCTGCTATGCTTTGAGAGTGACAAGGTTCAGGCAATAGGAGTACTGAGCAAATCCTACCCAAAGCCTCGCAGGACACCAAGCGTGGTGGGGCCTTGCCCGTGGCCCGTCTGATGGTCGCCCGGCTTCATAGCATGTCTCTCGTCCTTGTGCCGCTGAGAGAGGTTTGCGCACACAAAAAGATGGTATGGTTTCCCTGAGTACTCTGCAAACCCCACCATACCCTAAACGACCCTAAACCCTGGACTCTAGACGCAACTAAACCTTGAACTGAACTGTGCCGTCTTCAAAGAAGCAGAAAGTTTGAACATGAGGCTCAGCTTGGAACTTGGGGATTGTCAATAATTGAGACTTTGCAACAACAGACTCAAGACCTTGGCACCTTTGTTAAGATAGAACATATATCGCTTAATCCTTAAACTTCTAAGCTATAAAACCGTAAACCCAAATCTTTCACCTGCACAGTGCGTTGGCCAACCAGAAGCCTAAAAGGCTGCTACTCGTGCTATGTCGGCGCTGCGAGTATTACATCGGACCTGCGCGGTGTTGCTACAGCCCCTTTAATTTGGCACCTGGGTTGCTTCAGGCTCTTCGGCAACCTACCCAAGCCCGTACCCTACTATGGAAGCCTCTTAGGGCACCGTATTGAAATTGCAGGTACCCAAAATTGCCAACCTGAGTCTAATTATCAAACCCAAAATGACAGTCTAATTATCAGCGCCCATAAGTTACGGCCCCCGAGGATTTTGTCGACTGCGATGCGGCGATCGGTCAGGATGTGGCATTGAGCCTCCGGCAACGTGGCCGGATAGCTGATGCCGCGATGCTGCGCCTGGGCCCAGTTTGGGTGTAGGGCGTGCATTTACAGGTGCTTCCGGAGTTGTTGCAGCCCTCTCGCGTTTAAGACAAGAGACTCTAAACCCTGAGCGCAAGGAAAGCCGGTTCACAAGATGGTTTCGAGCATGCCAGGAATCCCAGGACCCTTTGACGTGCATGTGTGTGCGTGTGTGTATACCATGCTGGCATCTAAAGGCGAGGAGCTGTATACGAAAATTGTAGACACAAATTTACACATTACAACAAATCAGCAATCACATGTACAAGTTTCGTCCCCTCCTCCAACACCTTTCTGTTAATCTTGCGCTTGGTTTCGGCTATTTCCCACGCGTACAGCATAATATAGTATAGTATAGTGTCTTCAGTATAGAATGCAATTGTTACATTAAGACGATATTCAACATAATTGCTTATAAAAAACGACACAGTACGTAACATGTGATTAACTCGTTTTCTATCTATACGGAGAGTAAGTGCTGAAGAATAAAGAACATGTAGTATACAATGGTGTCTACAGATATATGTATATATATGTATATATATATATGTACATACATATATATATATATGTACATATATATATGTATACATAGTAGACGCAACATCTAATATGATATAATATAACATACTATATTTATTATAGTATAATACAATATAACAATATAGGCAACTCCGACACCCTTGCAGTCCCACTAGCTCCAGGCTGTCTCGACTGCCCATCCCGGATCAAGGCAACGGCACAGTTGCGGGCCAGGTGGGCAGACTCCATGGATCAGGGTTTAAACTGTGTACAGTAAACCCCATAAAGTTGGAAGCCGGATAAAGGCCAAATAGTGCTGGGATTCCCGGTAAATTACTCTTAAGGATTGAGGCTATTGGGTTTCCAATTTTTCGGCTTCTACTGTAGGGCTTAGTGGTTTGTGTGAGTATGGCTGCTGCTTGGCGATGTTAACGGGATTAGTGTGAGTATGGGATCTGCTTTGGGGGGCTTGCTTGAAGACGAGGTTTCAAAGGATTTTTGTCCAATGATTAGGATAGGGTGGTCCGGGGGCCCAGTAGTAGCTACAAGCCGCCCCCTGGTTGGGATTGCCCGATTATCCCGTTTTGACCCAGGTTTACGCTTTATCAGCCTGTTAGCAGCATCATTGGTCTCGGGCATGAACGTGGTTTTGCAAGCTTCCTGCTACATAGGCTGTTCAGGGTTTAGGTTTTCAGGGTTTGGGGTTCAGGGTTGTAGGGGCTTTGTGTTTGCTTCAGTCTCAAGAATCTCTCAAATGTTAGCTTTGCTGTTCCAGCTGCCGGGGTACCCTAAACCCTAAACCCTAAACCGTGAAATGGCTGTACGGCTTATCGTTTTGGAATCGTGTCAGAGCGTAGTTTATGTTAGAAGCTGCCCCCACCCTGCAAAAAAGTGACTATAAGGATTATATCAGGGCCCCTATTATATTCCTAACCACTATTACAGGGTGGGGGCCCCTTCTAAAGTTTATGGCTTTATGAGTTGGACCTTGCGGTTCGACTTGCGGCTGCTTCTTCGGAACTCGTCTATGATGCAATGGTGTGGGGTTCATGAGCCAAGCTTGGTGGTCGCTTCTCTTCGAGTTGGCTTGTAATTTTCAACTTGGCTGGATTTGTTGTTGCATGTTGTGTTTTTGTGGGAAAGGGGGGGCAGGCTGAGGGCGCTGGGCCGGGATCAGGAGTTCGACTTTTTCGAAAGTAGTTTGCAGGGTGTTGCCACGACCTATCCAGCATGAAACTCCAGCCCTAGCCCAACCCGCCCCCGCCCTGACCCTACCAGAACCTTTAGCCCACAAGCCGCATCTAAACACATACATCCCAAAGCTTAAACCTTAAATGAAAAATGCACCCACGGTACAAGGTATTGCAAGCCTTATAACGGTACGAACAGAAAGAGGCCTCATAGTAAGAGGAGTGTTGCCCGCTCATCAATGACACTCAACACAGACAGGAACTTTCCAGGAGCACTGTAGTCCGTCATACGTCCCTTGCAGGTATCCTGCTAATTGTCGGCAATGTAAGCCGATAATTCCGTAGGAACCGAAGGCTTATCTCCCGTACAAGCCCCGAAGCGTTATACGAACCGCAACACCACGTAACACCCTTGTAGAGCCTTTATAGAAATTATCGAACTCAAGTAGAACCCTCGTAGAACCCTTAACTAGCATAAAACTTTTACCAACCTTGACAATTCCAAGGCCTAAGTCTTGAACCCTGACATGGTGGAGGATAAAATCCAGAATAACCTTGATTAATCTCACAGAAAGGGACCAATGGGCAAGAACAATGCAACAGATGTTTGACAACAACAACTACTAAGATTTATATACATAGCAACTTCACAAGACCACACAAGGTGGAGATGGCCCTGGGGGATGTGGAGCTCGAGCGGCTGCAAGAACTTCTCGCACTTGGAGACGATGGCGCAGAGGGCGGACAAGGATGGGCTGGGAATTCCCTTTTCGTTGTCCGTGGTAGTAGCAGTAGTAGCAGTAGCAGTAGTAGTGGAAGTAGCAGTAGCAGTAGCAGTAGCAGTAGCAGTAGCAGTAGGAGTAGGAGTAGGAGTAGGAGTAGGAGTAGCAGTAGGAGTAGGAGTAGGAGTAGGAGTAGGAGTAGCAGTAGCAGTAGCAGTAGCAGTAGCCGTAGCCGTAGCCGTAGCCGTAGCCGTAGCCGTAGCAGTAGCAGTAGCAGTAGCAGTAGCAGCAGCAGCAGCAGCAGTAGTAGTAGTAGTAGTAGTAGTAGTTGTTGTTGTAATAGTAGTAGTAGTTGTAATAGTAGTAGTAGTAGTAGTAGTAGTAGTAGTAGTAGTAGTAGTAGTAGTAGTAGTAGTAGTAGTAGTAGTAGTAGTAGTAGTAGTAATGGTAGTGGTAGTGGTAGTACTAGTAGTAGTAGTAGTAGTAGTAGTAGTAGTAGTAGTAGTAGTAGTAGTAGTAGTAGTAGTAGTAGCAGTAGCAGTAGCTTCTTTCATCATAATCAGAGCAGTATTTGGTTGTATGTTCAGCTAGGGTGGTCATCAACTAGGTTATTGTGATTGTGAATATGAAAGTTACTACATATGTTCAGGATAGTTGTTGAGGATAAGTATAGTAGCTCTATTGACTTAGATGCAACATGGCAGTATATGATATATGTGCGGTATGACAAAGCCCACTACATTATTTCAAGTGTTGTGGCCCTTGTGTTGCGAACCCTTAGCAGATGCGGGGATTGCGTTTAGAAGCATATAGGACTTCTGAAAAGTAATCAGGAGCCAGGGCTTAGCAATCGATGTGCTGGCCGTTAATCAGGTGCACCGGAGTCTAGCATATATTACAGCGATGCAGCTTACGGCCCCTGTGAGGGCTCTTATTCAGGACTCCTGCCCTTCTGATTTGTTTATCCCCCGCACTGACAGTAGCTCTTCTGGGATTGTTTTATGTCTGGGTTTTGCTTAGTGTCTAGCGAACTCCACAATGATGTCCTGCAAGGGAGTGGTTTGGGGCCAAATTCATCGCCATCTGATGCTTGAAGTCGCAGTATCCCATCCTCCGCCCCACCCCCGGCCCCCTCCGGCTGAAGGCCGTCATGTGAGTAAATCAGCACAAAGACGAAGGCTAATGCAAATGCACAACAGCCTGTTCTAAGTTACCCTCGTACAAAAACGGGTAAAACAGCCTGACCGTTCATAAATTCTTTGTGAGACCCTCTCAAACCCTCATGACATACCGTAAAGCTCTATGCGACCCCCATTACCAAACCATGGCCCGAGGGGAACAGGTTGCACCCTCGACCATGTAATGTAGGCGCCTTAGGTAATTTCCTAATTATTTTGGTGGTTCCTTATTATATTTTAACGCATGATAGGTTTACACCAGAAAATTACTGGAATTGTTGCGGCCCTTATATTGAGCCCGGAGTGCGAGGAGAACAGGTCGTGTTTGCGCCGGTGGACTCCTCCGGCTTCCTTCTGCCGTTCCAGGGTCAGGCCAGGGCGGTTCCTTGAGAGTTTTGAGTGTTTAGGGTTTAGGTTAGAAGGGGCCCCCTCCCTGTAATAGTGGTATAATAGGAATATAGTACGTCCCTAATATAATCCTTATTTATAGTCACTATTACAGGGTGGGGGCAGCTTCTAAGGTTTCAGGTTGTTTGTTGACATCATAAACCTACCTTGAGGCATTTTGCACCTTTCAAGTGCCTTTTGATTGGTTTCAGGAAGTTTCTTGCCAGGAGTTGTTCGAAGGGTGTTGATCGGCTTCGAGGTGCTTTCTATAGCTTAAGAGGATGTTTGTAGGATTTGAGAGGCTTGTTGCAGGCCTTCGAAAGGGCTTGAATAGGGTTTGAGAGGTTCTTCTTACATCGATTTGCATGGGGTGTTTATAGCATGTTGGGAAGGTCATCGAGGGGTCAGGATCCCTGCTAGAGGTTGGTATATCAAGGCTCCCGCTACTTCGACACGGCCTGCGGAGGTTTGGGACTCTTTGGGGTTCTGCTGTGTTCGGAGTTTGCCCGGTAAGGTGTACTGAGTCACGGGTTCAACTTCAGATATGTAAAGTTTGCAACCTCCTGAACTAAAGCAAGACCCCACGTTGAGGATCGAGCTTTTGGGGTCTGGCTTAAGGATCCGGCGCAATCGATGTTTAGATGCAGTGTGCCGGATGGCAGACTCAAGGTCTACAACTACATCTAGTTATATAGCATGGTAGCACCTTGTTTGGTTGCTTTGCTTTTGACAAGTCTAGCCCTATGGATATGGAGATAGTAGCTTGCAGAGTCTATGTTTAGGTGCTTGATTTGGTTCCCGGAAATCTCATTAAACGCGGTTTGTTTAATTGAGTAGCTCGTCGAAGGTTCATTTCTTGGGCCGCAAGACTTGGCGGCGGCTCGAACAGGCTGACTTCAGTCTTCGTGAGCCAGGCTATAAATAGATTGTATGCTAACCGCTAATCTGTACCCTAAACCCAAACCCTGAACCGCAAATCTGGGTGGCGTAAGACTGGCAATGTGACACCCAAAGGGTCCTATGTACTGTTATGGGGGATACTTCCCTAAGTCATAAAAGTAATTCCTAATATGGAAACCCTACATTCTACTATATCGGTACATTGGACCCTTTGGGACAATGCTTCATGTCTGGAGCACTTCTGGGAAAGAGCTGGCCGCCATTGGCGCAAAGGAGCTCGAGCATGCGCAGGCTCTGAAAGAGCATTTGCGTGGCCTGCATGGCTTCCCTGTGGCTAGGTTCCTGAGTAGTACCCTTTTGCCCTTTTTTCTTTTTGGGTTCCCTTCTTGAACCCTAGATATTAGGAAAAAGGGTAGCCTTATTATTAAAAGGTTACTCAGGAACCTAGGTGGTTATGCAGCAACTTGTGCATAACGGGGACATCTTGGTGGATTATGCCAAGCTGGAGGACACCATGGATCTGCAGTTGGTGTTGCTGACCACCGATAGCCTCTCGCGAAGACAAACTTCAAGTGTTGCTAAAGAAGATTTAGTCTGGGCCTCTCAACGTAATCGTGAGGACACGCTTCGCTTCTTGCTGGCAGCTGGTGTCCATCACGATTGCTGTCACCGTGACGCAATGACAGCCCTGATGTTCGCATCGGCCAGTGGTTGTTTGGAGGTTGCGCGGCTGTTGCTTGAAGCTGGTGCTGCGCCGGATTTGGGAAACCGTGATGGCAAGACACCCCTGGTGCTCGCATCCGAGAGGGGTCACTTGGAGGTTGTGCGCTTGCTGTTGGGAGCCGGCTCTAATAAAGATTACGCAGAGCGAGGCGGCAAGACAGCTTTGATGATGGCATGCGTCGAAGGCCACTCGGAGGTCGTACGCTTGCTGCTGGAAACTGGTGCCGAGAAGGATTGCACAGACCGCGGTGGCAAAACAGGCCTAATGCTCGCATCGAGCCGTGGCCACTTGGAGGTTATACAAGTGCTGCTGGAAGCTGGTGCTGAAAAAGATTCTTCTGACCATAACGGTGCCACAGCCTTAAAACTCGCATGCGAGGGGGCTCACTTGGAGGTGGCACGCTTGCTGCTGACAGCTAGTGCTGAAAAAGACAGCGTATCTCCTGGCAGCAGGACACCTCTGATGGTCGCATCTGACCAAGGTCACTTGGAAATTGCACGCTTGCTGCTGGAAGCTGGTGCTGACAAGAACTGCTGCGACCATTTTCTCAGGACAGCCCTAATGTATGCCTCTAGGAGTTGTTCCTGGGAGGTTGCCAGGCTGCTCCTCGAATCTGGTGCTGAGACAGATTTCCGGAATTCTTGGGGCTGGACAGCCCTAACATACGCATCCCAGAGTGGTTCCTGCGAGATTGCACGTTTGCTCCTGGAAGATGGTGCTGAAGTTAACTCGACAACGAGTGATGGCAAGACACCCCTAATCCTCGCATCTGAGAGGGGTCACTTGGAGGTTGCACGCTTGCTGCAGGAAGCTGGTGCTGAGAAAGATTGTCGGGAGGACAAGCGCGGCTGGACAGCACTGATGTTCGCATGTCAGAATCGTCACTTGGAGGTTGCCCGCTTGCTGATGGAAAATGATGCTGACAAGAATTGCTGCGACCATGAAGGCATGACACCCCTCATGCACGCGTCCAGGAGTGGTTTCTTGGAGGTAGCGCGCTTGCTGTCGGAAGCCGGCTGTAATAAGGATTGCGCAGAGCGAGGCGGCCAGACGGCCTTGATGCTTGCATGTGACAAAGGCCACTGTGAGGTTGCACGCTTGCTGATGGAAGCTGGTGCTGGGAAAGATTGCACAGACAGTGGCGGCAACACAGCCCTCATGCTCGCATCGACACGCGGCCACTTGCAGGTTGTGCTCTTGTTGCGCGGAGCTGGTGCAAAGAAGAGGCTGTGCTGACGATTTCGGCACGACAAGAACCTTAAAGATTACTAAGGCACCCTGCTGGGAGGGTCGCAGCTGTGAGTATGGAATTACAAATTCAACCTGCCCCGTAACTAGTGTTGAAGGCAAACCGAATCCTGACTTCCATAGAGACTGGAGATAAGAGGTAGGCCACTAGCATATGGCAATGAGGCAAAAGCTTCGCTTGGCTGACACGCGTTATCAGTTTTGTTAAGATATCGTGAAGACCACGCGTAGATGCTAAAATTTTCCCGGAAAGCTTGACCCTGAGAAACGATGAAGCTTAAAGTCTCAAAGCCGTAACCGCTTGCTAACACAAAGCAACAAGACAACGGGCAGAAACCTAAAACCTCAGACAAAAATACAGTAACAAGTGAGCCAAGCAACAACAGCAGCAACAACAACAACAACAACTGCGGCAACAGCAAACGAAAGCAACATCCATTGCCAAATTGCCATCGACCAACGACCAACAACCAACAGCCAACTACCCCCAACCACAGCCACACTCACGAGACGATGGCAGCGACAAACAAAAAGAGTACACAGGCCATCACCTCAGCGGAAGAAGCGCTGGAGGCGTGTCAGAGACTGTGGGATGCACCGGTGCTCTCAGCTTCCCGGCCTTCTTCGCAAGCAGTTTTTGGAATGTAGTCTGGGTCTAGGGCTTAAAGGGTTTATAGGGTGCAGGGCATGCTTCGGGATTATGGTCTATAGTTCATGGTTCTTTTTGTTAGAAGAAGGGCTGTAATCTCAGGATATCTCGGTTTAGGATATGTGCAAAGCCCTGCTTCCAAACTACTTACTAAGTCCCTAGGTTTGTGAAGATATAGGGCTTGATTCTGCGCGATTAGGACTCAGTGTTTAGTGAATGGAGGCTGGGAGGGTGCATGGGGGTGAAAGCTTGTCGTCTGCGGCGTCTGTAGTGGTGCAGGTATTTGGCTCTTTCGTCTTCGGGGTTCAGATTTATAGGCTTTTGTGGATATGACGGTTGGTGGTTTCGGGGATGTCTCTCCCTTGAGCCTACAGTCTAGACCCGTAAGTGTCAAACTCCGTTCCGATGTCCTTTAGCTAGACGCCTTTTTGGTATGGCCCACCCCAAACCCAAGCCCTTCAAACCCTTTTTCAGAAGATCCTTCAAAACAGGTATGTGAAGATGTATATTCCAGGCCATATAGCACTTCCACCGTTCAGCAGCAACACGGCAACCTCACATATCAGTAGGCACTGACCTCAGACCCTGAATCCTCATGCACCCGTAAGGAAAGCTTCAGAACGGTGAGCCCCAAACCCTTAAGCTCCGAAACCGTCAAGGCCTGAACCCTGATTCTTCAGGGTAAACGCCAAGCCTCAATCCTAAGCTTTCGACCCTAAATCCTGCAGCCCCAAGCATGCACCCAACCTAAATTTTGAACCTTAACACCTGAGACCCTAAACCTGTACCCATCCCATGTATTGCTGACGCCCTCTGCACGCTAAGCCCCAAACCCGAAACCATTGTCTAAGCCCTAGGCCCTATAAGCCCTTTCTTTAAGGGCCCAACACCTACCCCCAAAAAAGTTCTCAACCCTAAACTCTTGCTTCTGGTAATGGCACCCTGTCAACCTTGAGGCTCTAAGCACTAGACGCTGACCTGTAAACCCTGTGCGCGATACCCTCAAAGGTTCTACGACCCGCTTCAGTAGACCCCTAAACCCTGTAAGCCCCGCAACCCTGAACCTAACCCCCGCCTGACCCTCAACCCTAAACGCCCTGCACCCTAGGCCCTGAACCCTAAACCACCAATTCCGAAACCCCACACCTCCAAATCCTAAACCCTCAGCCCGCAAACCCAAAGCCCTAAGCCCCCAAACCCCAAGCCCCCCAAACCCTAGGCCCTATGCCCTGGCCCCCCACAGCCTCAACCCTAAACCCTCAAGCCCCCACACCCTTAACCCTAAACCCTCAAAGCCTAAGCCCTAAGCCCCCACACCCTCAACCCTATAAAACCTCAAATCCTAAGCCCTAAGCCCCCAAAAGCCCCCACACACTAAACCCTAAACCCTCAAACCCTAAGCCCAAGCCCCCAAAAGCCCCTTAAACCCTATAAGCCCTAAGCCCCATGCCCCAAACCCTAAGCCCCTCACGCCCTTTAAGGTTCAGGTCTTCCGAGAGGAGGCTCCCTTCTGGCACTGCCCGGCGAGCATCCTCGCGGTTTGCAGCGACGACTCTGCCGAGCTCCTTTGCTTTATGTGTATATCTATATATATATATATATATATACATGTATATGTGTTCATACATATGCTACATACATATACATATACATATACATATACATATACATATACATATACATATATATATATATATATATATATATATATAATAGCAATGTATATGTGCATGTGTGGGTATAGATGTATACACACACATATATATATACACACACATATATTATGTAATATGTACATATCATTACTTACGAGCTGGTATGCGTGTATACATATGTGCGTACAGGTATGCGTAGATATTCAAATACATATAGAAATAGATATAGTTATAGAACTACTAGATATGGGCACGGATATGGACAAGGATAAGGATATGTATGTATGTAAGTGTGTAGCTACTGGGGTCTGGGTTTTTCAAATTCGGGTTTAGCATTCAGGGCTGTGGGTTTGGGTATGGGGTTTCGTGTTTGGGGTTTCGGACTCATTCTTTTGTCCAGAATTTCGGGTTTGGGTTCAGCCATTGGGATTACTATCCCGATTACTAACTTGCTTTGTAAATCCCTACTAGGCATTTAGGACAGTTTGCTCGAGGCTTTTCGACCTCACTGCTCTTCGTGCCGAGTCTAAGCCGTCGGAACCACGCGATGCCACTGAGACGAAGCCTGTGGAGAAAGCACCACTGACACTTGGTATGCAATGTTTTAAAAGCTTAGGGCTCGTTTCGATGCATGCTTTCGATATCAAGCCATTAGCTAGCAGGCTTCATGCCGCTAACGTCGTACTCACTCAGAGTGTCGACGCACTTGCTTCTGTGTGCCAGCCTTCCACCGCAGGAGCACGAGATCTTGACAACAGATGCGTTGGGTAGTAAGACAGGTCGACTTCTAGACCCAAACGAAAGATGTCGACTGAAGTTAATGCATTGGGTTCTTGGGGCCTCAGCGTCGAGGCCGTTCAACGTTTCTTTGGGGCAAGCTAGTCGAAGATTCAACCCTCCTTTCCACGAGCATTGCAAAGTCTGATGGCAGACGTTAACCTCTACCCTGGCAAAAGCCTAGAAGCAAAACTGACAGTAACTCCTGAACCACATAACCTAGAAGCCTAAGAAATTGCCAATGTTGTTCCGTAGGGTTCGTTATGTATATGTATACATATAGACACACACCAACACATGTGTATCATGAGGCCCCTAGCTATTAAGCCTGACGCATGAGCCCCAGAAACTGGTATCCCTAAACCCTATCCCAGCTTCCACATCCGATCACCTCAACCTTTCCTCGCAGAATGCCAGATACCGAGGCTCAGGGTCTCAGGAATTCGAACTCCAAACCGCAGAGCCACGGTTTAGGGTTTAGGGTTTAGGGTTCCTAAACCCTAAACCCTAAACCCTAAACCCTAAACCCCTAAACCTTAAACCGGGTTTAGGGTTAGGGATTATGGGGGTTCAGGGTCTAGGGTTAATGTATTAGTAACTTCGGGACTTCAGCCTTAGTCTAAGACTTCGCCCAAGATCACTTCTGCGAAGTTTGAAGCAGCACCAACCCGCCACACGAGACTGAAAGCCTCGACACTGACGTTCGGCAGCATAATCTATGCTAACTCCACAGCTATACTCGAACCCGGCTTAAGTTTAGTTCCTAGATCCCGAACCCTCGAAGTTTCGGCACGTCCAGGACCACTTTTAGCTTCAATCTTCCGACCGGCGCCGAAGTCTCCATTGGCTGGCCAGATGCTGCTGCGCGCCTGCGGGCCCTGCTGTCCCTGTGGCATGTGATTGATTTTGGTTCGGGCAGTTCAGCGTTGCGTTGAGAGGAATGGTTACGAGGATCGAGGATCCTTCTAGATAGTATAGAAGCTTGAACTGGTGCTACTACCCCTCCTCCTCCTCCTCCTCCTCCTCCTCCCTCTTAGACCTCCGTATTACAATGCTATTACAATATACCTAAAAACCCTGCTGTTTCTAGTGTGATATGCCTCAAAGCCCTGATAATTCTATAATAGTATACCTCAAAGCTTCGTCTTGGTTGTTAATGATCAACGCAAGCAGCTCCTTCTCCCAGGATTTTGGGGTTATCAGGCAGATCTTGAGACGTGATGTTTGGGAAGCAGTGGGAGATTCGGACATGGGATCTGGGCCTTAGAGTTTGGGGTTGTGTGGGGTCTAGGATCTACGGCCGCAGGTGTAGGGTTAAGGGTCTAAGTAAAACCCAAGCCCTTAACTAACCCGAAACCCGTACACCCGAAAGTGTTTCACGGTGCCCGGAAACATCCGAAGCATCTCTTGGAACAACAAAAGGGCTCAGCGGGTCCTTCTCTGTAAGGGACTCACCTTCGAAGGATGGTATGAAACTCCGACAGACTCGTAGAGAACCGTATAAAGCCTGTATAGAACCCACCGAGACCTCATAGAACGCGTCGAAGGACCGGCTAAGTGCTCCTACTGACCATTTCTAGACTCCAATAAACTAAGAAGCAACTAACCCAGAGGGTCCACAGATACTACCATTGTGGATTTAGGTCCCAAAATACCATGGTTTTGGGGGCCTAAGTCCATAATAGTAGTGCGTATGGACCCTCTTGGTAAGTATTTTGGAGACTTGTTGAGCATGTTAAGTTCCCTTAGGTTCTTACCGAGACAGATGCTTGGAAAACACTCGACAAGTCGGTGCCCATAAGCTGCACAACCCGGCAAACACTTCTAAGCCGTATCACGCACACTCGTCTTGATAGAGCTATAAGTGGCCAAATCCTACAAGCCTCAAAGGCCTAAACCTTCAATCGCACAAATTATGAACCCTAAGCCCTATAATATACGGACCTGAAGAGTTAGTACTAGTTTGTTTTAGGGTTCCTCAGTATAGCTATACTCTATTTCATTACTGCTGTAGAAGGGCTCCTATTTGGCATCTTGAACCCTAAATTCCAAACACTACCTAGACCCCGCTGCTGCTGCTACCCTCTATTTCCCTCCCCCCACCAATACCTGCTATTAACTATCACAAGGGCCTTGTTAACGGGCCCCATCCCGCCTGGCAAGCCCCTAAAAAGTAATAGCCCGGGGAACTGGAGGTCCGACCGACGAAGGCTGAAATGCATCTGGGGAGGAGCCCAAGAACAGTGACGTCTCTGGGAGTTCAGGGTTTCGGGTTCAGGGGTTTAGGGTTTAGGGGTTCCGGGATTCAAGGCTAGGGGTATAGGAGGATTTAGGACCCGATTTAGAAAGCAGGGTGTAGGGCGTAGGGCTGAGGATTTTAGAAGTCCAAGGCATCAGGGTTCATGTAGGTTGTGACTTAGTGTGAGTAGGAGTCAGTTTTTTTCGGCTTTCACTTTCCAGGCCTACGTGATGGAGTGGGGAATCTGCAACTAGGCTGTGTCAAAGGCCCTGCTGGGTGTCTACAGGAACTATCGTGGCACCTTAGCAAGGGGAGTTTTGTCTTCTGTGGTTATGGGTCGCGGGAATAAACGCTGTGGTTACATGGAAGTTGAGCTCAGAATGCGAAACCAAATCCAAAGCCTCAAGTCCGGAACCTGGCGTCAGACCCTATTCCCAACAGGAGAGGAGGAGATCGTGGACATTGCCTATGAGTTGGGCCTCGGCGTTGCCAGCACCCTCAAGCCCGGTGACAAGGACAGGTGTTTTTGTTTGCTCATGAGGGTTCACGATGTAGGGTCTTGCGTTTTGTCGGGTGCAGGGTGCAGGCAATGCCATTGTGGAGTCCGAGGTTTGAGTGCAGGGAAGATGCTCTGGGCACTCCAGCCCACCCTAAACCTCTATGAAGACCGCTTTTCGAGGCGAAAGCTCCTAAACACAGCCTTAAGCCTAAGCAAGTGAGGCGAAAACACAAGCGCCAACACTTCGGTCACACACTCGTTTCCGACCATCTGCAGACCAACCACCTCGACACTCTTCAATCACCAAGCCCTATGTTTCCTGCTTTCTGCGGCCCATCTCTCTCCCGGACCGTGAACCCACGAAGCCGCGCATTCCGAGCCCCAATGCTGGGCCAACAGCCCCTAGACAGTTTGAGTCATAAAGAACCCAAATTTCAAACACCGGACTACAACAACAACATCGGAGCAGTAACGAGAGCAACGAACTTGCTTGAAATGTCGGTAGCTGGAAGCATTGCGGAAAGAGCAAAACTCGAGAGCCAGGTTCACAGCGCTTGTCACAATTATCTGCAACTCGCCCAGCTGCCCCTAAACCCCACACCCCTACATCCCGCAGTAGACTAAATAGAAGACGAACAGTGCTCTTATGGTGCCATTCATGATCGTGAGTACAAGTTAATTTATAGAATAGACATGATAGGTAGAGGTTGTCATGGAAGCAGTCACTAGGTGTGACATGGACTCGAAATCAGCAAAACAATTGCCTCGATGATGAGAACCTGATAGCATTTGCAATCACAGTGGTGCAGATTTCGGTCATAAATCCCTTAAAGATCCTCATGGTAATCCTTATAGACCCCTTTACAGGGAATCCATAAAGGAACCCTGTTCTAATTATTAAGGCCCCTATATGAGCCATCAAGCGGAACGACGAAGGAGCCCTTGGGGCCTGTCTTGGATACGGAGGCTCTTTTCAAGAACCTGCTGGATGCCGAGGACGTCGGATTCGGAAATGTAAGCCAATGCAATTTAGGGCAATGTGGTGTAGAATCATATATAATGTCGTGCAGTGATGCATAATGTAATGTTATGTTAAAGCAAGTTCTGGTATGAGATATAACGCACTACATGGTACGGTTCCTGTGAAATGTGCTGTGACGTGAAGCGATGCGATTCGTGCGCGTATGTGTACACACACATCTTATATACATATATATATATATATGTATATACACATACACATCGACATGAAATATCCGTGTGTTTGTGCATGTGTGTGTGTGTGTGATTTCGAGTTCATAATCCTGGAAAGGAGGTACAGTGGCCGGTTGTCCTCCGCCGGTTCCTGGGCTTTCGCCTCTGCACAGAGGAGGAAGGCAGCAACTGGGCGAGGAGGCCGCTGCGCCATTCGCAGCTACACCACAGTGCAGTTCCTCTGGGCTAAGAAGCTCTTAGATGACCGATTCCTCTCCATAAATCAGGGGCCTTAATAGTTAGACTAGGGTTTCGGGGCCCAGTATACTATAAGTATAAGAAGGAACCCCCAAAATAGTATTCGTAATAGTTTCGGCGCCTTTATTATGTCATTTAGATCGGTTTGATATGTCGCCAAAACCAAACAAAGGTTCTGACCTGGACCCAGCTTCTCATGGTACGCGCCATCTGCGGCCGCGGCCTCGTAACGGAGCCGTTTCTGCGCTCCCACGTTTGTGTTCAGCCCCTGGGGCAGCATGCGGAGAACGTCGGAAATTACGGAAAGTTCAGTAGCAACAAAAATAAACATGATACTAATCATCATGTTGATGAACAATATTCAGAATAGCAAGAAGCCCCAAAGAAGACAAGTCTGAACCCTGAACATCTTAAGTTGTGCTCAGGATGCCAGAGTACACATAAGGTGTATTTCCTAGAGGAGGGAAGTTTGTTGTCTGCCGGCACTTTAAAAGAGGGCTCGGATTTGGATTTACGGGGCTCCCTAGATTTGACTTGTAGCACGGGCTAGGACCTTAGGGTTTGGAGTTTAGCACCCAGGATCTCCCGGGATGCAAGAAAATGGGGTATGGAAGGCGTAAAGGTTCGCAAGAAGAGGATTTAGGGTTGGGGCTTTTGTAGTTTAGGGGTTTTGCTAAAGGGTTTAGCGGTTTAGAGTTCAGGGATTCCGGGACTCTGCATGTCGATGGTCCGTTGTCCTAGGAGTGCATCGTTATGAAGCGTAATCCTGCAAGGGGTCGCACGATTTCGATTGTTTTTGGGGCCCAATGTGCCCACTGCCAGCGAACGATTTGCTCTTACATGGTTCTATTGGGGTTTCGGGGGTTCCTGCTATGGCTCCGGATTTCGGTGTTTCGGGGCTTAAGGAACAGTACCCCCTAAACCCACACCCCGCTATGTAGGTAGCTGGGCTTCTACATGGAAGATTCCAACTTCGTGAGGTGCCGTCCGCGACTTTTTGGCCGCAGCCGTGGCGTGGGAAAGCACGCGCCACGTCGCATCATTAAAGGTCCAGGTATTGATTAATTTAGGGTTTAGGGTTTAGGGTTAAATTGACAATGTATTTGTTAGTTACAGTACTGTAGGGGCTAATGGCCAAGATGTTTGATTAAATGAGGTGCTGCAGGGTTATTTTTGTGTTTTATCGGGCTGAATCAGATGAGCACTACAAGGCGATAACTTCGTACGTTTGCGCGTCTCCTATTTAGGCCTTCAGGGGGGAATGCCAGGAAATGCGAGGCAAATCGGCAGACCTAACTGTAGATGATAGGGAACAAGTAAACCCTGAAACTCTAAATTAAAAACCTGAATAAGCCGCACGACTCTTCACACTAAAACCTTATTCCTTATAGTGTTGATCACAGGCTTTCCTTGCATTTGCCTGCGATCAGAGCCTCTACGCCCTAGGACCCTCAACCCGACTCTGCAAACTCTGGAACCCTGACTTGCTGTCTCGAAAAGCGCCCCAAGAAATACAACTCACACAGTAACGGTTGATGATAAAAATCCTGCATGACCCATAATGAGGAATATACCATAATTCCCATAGTTCAGGGTCCTTAAGATAATGCAGGATGTGTATCATCAACCGAAGAAAGCCCAACAATACAGGTGCTGGGCCAGCTAGCGCCTGCAGGGCGCCTTGCGGCATCTTGGCTTTCACTCCCCCGAGTTTTGCTCTGTTTGGGTTCGGACTGAGAGGGTTGGGGAGGTTCGTTTAGTTTGGGCCGAGGGCTAATAGGGTGCTTGTAGGGTTTTGATGTGTTGCACAAGGTCCCAGCTAGGATTTCTACATGTCTATTGTTGTAACTCCATGGACCCCCAACGATAGTGGGTCTAGGGACGAAGCTTTATAGTATCCAGGCAAGCCCCAGGCACCAGAAATAATGCACGCAAACGATTACTGGCTCCCATCTTTTCTATTAGGAGACCGAGTCGAAGCCTTTACGGGTGTGGCCGGATATCAATAGAAGGTCCACATTACCAAATGACAGCCCTCTATAAATACAAACCCGTTTATACAGCATGCTACCATCATCACACACGAACCTTCTTTTTTGAAAAGAAAGAAGAAAGCCCGAGGTTTCTTTTAAGCCCCATCCGAGAGACCGAAGGCCGAGAACGAGATCTCCGCGGCTCAGAAGCCCTGGCTTTGGAAGGGCCCCGCTGTGACGACCCGATCTGGGCCGGTCTCCACCAGAGTGGTTCTCCTCTTGGGGTGGCCTGGAGTGTTATATGATGTTAAATGTACATATATACATACAATATTATATATACATATATATATATATATATAATGTATATATATATATACATATATAGATAGATAGATAAATACATATAAATATAAATAAACAAATAAACACATACATGTATATTTTGTTTTTGTTTTGTTTTTGTTGTTGGGGGAGGGGTGTTGTTAGGACGGGTTTAGGACTTGAGGGTTTTGGGTGATTGGAGGATCAAGGTTCGGACTTGTGGGACTTGAGGTGCAGTAGAGGCTTGCCCAGAAGGTGTTTGGTGGGTAATCTCTACCAGTGGTTTGCTATGGGTCGGAGGGGCTTCTATTATGGTAGACAGAGTTTAGGACTTAAGTGTGCTACAGTAGAAGCCCCAAAGTTGGAAACCCCATAGCCTCAATCCTTAAGAGTAATGTATAAAGAATCCCAGCACTATTTGGCCTTAATCCGGTTTCCAACTTTATGGAGTTTACTGTAGAGCTTGAGACTTAGCGTTGTTGTTACGGTTTAGGGTTTAGGGTTTTCAGGGTTTAGGGTTTAGGGCTTTCAGGGTTTAGGGTTTCCAGGGTTTAGGGTTTAGAGTTGAGGGTTTTCAGGGTTATGATTCAGGATTCAGGTTTTATGCTCGTGGGTGTCGGAGTCGGGTTTCCGGGCTCACCCAGGGATGTCGGGACGTGCATGGCATTTAGAGTCAGGGGAGGTTCATGATCCAGAAACCTCTTGACTTTCCGGGAGGGTGCTTCCATGAAACCCATACGATCACAGTCATGGGATCGCACGGTGTAGGGTTCACGGAAGAATCCTGTGTCGTCAATCCTGTGTCAATTTGCGTGTGCGTTTTGGGGTCTAGGAGGGGCAAGCAACAGATATCCAATTTGGAATCCAGATTTGTTTTATTTTTGCACCACCCTCCCTCCCCCCCGGCCAGGGGCCAGAGCACAAGGGCGCGCAGTTCCTCCTTCCTACTATCTAATTAACCTACGATATTCACTTTCTGGTTTACTCTACGCCGATGGGGACATGGTGAAGTTCACTACGCTTGTGGTATTTGAACGAAACCACCAGAAAGTCAATGTTTGTGAAATACGACACAATGGGGCCGCCGGGGCGACGCTTTCTGAATAGTTAATGATACCGTAAAGGAGCCCCAAGCCCTTTCTAATCAGTAAGGCCCCTACATCAACTTGAATCCTCTTTCGGCTGCCAATCAGGAAGCAAGGGGAAGCCGATGAAGTTGTCGAAATGGTCGGCGAGTTGGCCGGCAACACGGCGCATGTGATTCCGCTTGGAGGCCCTCTGGAAAAGCAGGCGCGATGATGTGGCTTGTTACTCCCCATAATGTGTGCAAGCAGGACTGGTAGTCAGTAGTGCACCACCACGTGCACCACCCTAAATCCTACATCTACAAGCGACCTGGACCAGTGACGTCCTCAAATCCTTTCTGCAAACAGCTCGTTTAAAACCGGATCCATGCGCATAACCCTCTACTGCGCAGCGTCGCTGTCCCACTAGAAATTGACTCCTCCTCCTCTTTCTTAGCACCAGCGATAGTAGTGGCGGTGGTGGCGACTATTTACTATCATCAGTGCTGCATTTTTCTTGCTACACACAGGCCCTAAACTTAAACCCTAAACCCCGAACCCACGGCCTTAAACCGTACACCCCAAACCCAAACATTGAAGCCCCTGGGCTACAGCAACCCTCCAGCCTTCGACTGGTGTCCCAAAGATCCTGTCTCCTGGTGGAGGGTAGGGTGTTGAGTGAATACGGTTTCAAGCCGAGGACGGTTTGGGATTACGAGCTGAGGGGGAAATGAAGAACCGATTTACCACCCAGTTTGCAAGCGATGTCGAGTTGCATGCATCGTGGGGTAATAGAAACCATTACAGGAATGGTTTCGGAATATGCCGGAGACTGGCAACACGTGTGGAAGCTTCGGTACATTCAGGTGCGACACATTCGGCCTAGCCAGCTGCGAAGCTTGCACCTTGGAGTGAGAGAAGAGCACTTGTAACATGACTGGGGAGGCCAAGGCTGAGTAAGTAAGGTACACACACACATATAATCTTGTATATACATATATGTACCTATGTATGTGCATGTAGTTACATGTGTCTATGTCTGTATGTGGATGTATGTCTGTCTGTATGTATGTATGTGCGTATGTATGTATGTCTTCATGTATGTACGGACTGAATGCAATGGAGTGGAGTGGAAGGGAATGGGAATGGGATGGGAATGCATGCATGTATGCACGTACACACCGACATGACTTTGTAGATGGGTCGATTGAGGGAGACTGTCAGACACACGGACAGGGAGAGCAGCATGAATCTGTGAGCCTATGTAGGAAAGCTTTGCTGCCAACACTTCTCTCTCTCCGTGTCTCTCTTTGTCTTATGTGTGTATGTCTGTATGTATGTAAGTGTATGTGTGTATGTATGTATGTATGTATGTATGTATGTATGTCTTCATGTATGTATGGATTGAATGCAATGGAGTGGAGTGGAAGGGAATGGGAATGGGATGGGAATGCATGCATGTATGTACGTACACAACGACATGACTTTGTAGATGGGTCGATTGAGGGAGACTGTCAGACACACGGACAGGGAGAGTAGCATGCATCTGCAAGCCTATGTAGGAAGGCTTTGCCGCCAACACTTCTCTCTCTCCGTGTCTCTCTCTCTCTCTCTCTCTCTCTCTCTTGTTTGCATCTGTGGCCAATCCTGGAACCCCAAGCCCGAAACCCGGACTTGAAACTCCCAAACAGTACACTGCAAGAAAGGAACTCCTGGGACTATCCTGAGTGGATCAGCCGCCTCCCGCGCGGAGATGCGTGCCCCGAGCCGGCGCAGCCCACGCCTGCGCAGCCACATTCGGAGGTGCTGCCGGCATTTGCAACGAGGCTGACGCCTTCGAACAATGCCTCCGTTGCAAGGACCCGTGCGTACCTGCTGCATCTTGCTGCGCAGTACTTCGATCAAAACCGACAATAACAACAATACTTACAATAACAACAGTTCTAGCAGTAGTACTAACTAGTATTACTTCTAGTGATACAGAGGACGACCCAAGATCTCACTGTCCGGTAGGACAGTGGCCCTCCCCGATCGCAAGCAGCTGCTGCCGGCGCCGGATCGGGAAGACAGATGCTTCAACCTTTGCCGAAGTCGCTTGGGTGATGAGCACGGGCACATCTAAGCTTTGGGGTTTAGGGTTTATGATTATGAGGGCTCGATAATAGGGTCGCCTTGAACCTCTTCCAGATTCTAGTCACTTTGCTACAGCCCTCGTGAATACAAACAGTTAACATTTTTTCCGAGGGATATCTCAGACCGCAAGGCTTATTCGACAAGGAGGTCGCCAAGAAATTGTTGAGTTCAGCCGCAGATGCTCAGCCACGACATCTACTTGGCTGCTATGCATCTGTGGGTGAAGACTCGGCAGATGCAAAACAATGTGGGTGCCAAAGCTGATGTTTTGTGGTAAGTGGGCTTTCGAAAAGCAAGCAATAAAGCACCAAGCACATGGTCGGCATGGTCCAGCTTGCATCGAAGGAACAGAAAATTCACCAAATTAAGAGAGGCAAAATGCAATCCCCTTGATTAGGCGCAGCGGTTCCACTCAGGTTCGCCGGTTTGGTACCCCAGACTCTGAACTGTCACCCCGATGCTTGGGCTTGAGTAGGGCTAGGCTCACTGACGCAGAAAGAAGAATCGTGGAAGTGGTGTGATGAAAGTCCTAAAGCTTCACCGTCTCACATTATGTGACATTGCGCAAGAACACGGGAAGCACAAACGACCATCGCGTGCAGCAGTGACCTTCGGAGACCAGCCTTTCAGAATCATAAGAAGGATCCCAAGCAGATTGCCCTCATTCGGAACGACTCATCGAAAGCCACTTCATTTCATCTGTCGTGTTTTGTGCGACACCCCGTATTAGCCCTGAAACCTGAAACCCCCAACCTCGAAAGCTTAAACTTGCTCAACGTTTCGTGAGCCCCGCAGAGCACAAACACCAGCTTGCATTGACGGACGATTCCCAGCTCCGTAACAGAGAAGCCAAACAGTACTTCCCGATATTATTCCTTCAGGTTCTGTATGCTAACTATACTACAATATGCCTCAAAACCCTGTTCTCCTTGTTAAGGCCCCTACATTGCGCCTCAAGCCTTGGCTCAGCCATGATGCATGTAGCACTACAGGCTAGCTGCAAAACCCGAGATGGCAGGATCGGCCAGGCAATATCTTGAAGCTTCAACAGCTTTCAGCAAAAAAGGCTGAGTCCCCCCACTCTCAAATAGAACTTGCTCACCGTAAGGCCAAGCTGACTTGCACCCTGCCTAAACGTCCCACCCCCGGAGCAGTAGTTGCCTCTGTTATGCGGTCGGTTGAGTGTTATGCACGCTCTACAGTCAACTCATCGAAACGCACACCCGGAACTGAGTTCCTAAGCAATAAACCCTACCCGCTCTCTAGCTTAAGTTCCGTAGTTAGGTTGTCTCATTTTCGGTTCATGGCACCCACGGACACGCCACCTCTGGCGCTGGAACCGGAGCTCGAGTGGGAGCCCAAGTCTTGGGATTTTGGGTGCAGGTATGGGGAATTTGGAGGTTTTCGGAATTTTAGTTGTTTAGGGTGTAGGGGTTCTTGAGGTTTAGGAGTATTAAAGTATTAAAGCTTTAAGAGTTTAGGCATGTCGAGTTTGGCTTTAGGGCCTGTGGGCACAGTGGGCTTTGGGTCTAGGGTTTAGAAAGCCAGCTCCCCTCAATGAAGGGCTATGCAGCAACTCCTAATATCAAGCTCCGTACAACTTCAGGAAGCATCCGAAATGACGGTGTATTGGTTCCAGGGTAAGGCTTCTAGAAAAGCTCGATGCAAGAAGTCAGACCTTCGGCACTGCCGAAATACGCATGTGTCAACTTCCTCAGTACTACACTTAAACTCCTGCTACATCGTTCAGGCCATGGCGTCAGCAACTCTGTGAGGGCCGCCGACTTCGCATCTGGAGTGCCAGTGGAGGACGGTCACAGGGCAATGCCTGCCAACATCTCCGTTTCGAGTTGTGCGTGCGAGGTCTCGGGATTGAAACTCTATGCCGACCTCCTGTTAGACATGCGAGAAGCCGCGTAAAAAACTGGTTGGGACGTGAGCGAGCGGCGATCAGACAAACATAAGTTGCAGACACAGTATTCCTGTACCGATTTTCAGTTGAGAGACAGGTGCTGTCCTACAAAACTGGATGCACGTTGTTGTGACTTTTCTGCCTGGCGATCCCGCTTGATAAATGTTAGCATCAGCGTGGAAGTTAGGAGTTATTTGGGGCCTGGATTGGGTCTAGATCCCACAGTTATATCCCAAAAAGTTCATGCTGTGTGCTTAGCCCTACACCCACTATCCTCCGACCAACCTTCAGCATATAGCGCCTTTGATTTCAACAGGCTGCTGGGCTGGGGGCCTTGTTATCGATGCCACCGAATCGCGTGTGAAGGCTCTCTTGGGGGTGCCGCGGTCCAGTTCTTATAGGGTGCATGTGGGTGTTCGGGACGAGGGTTTAGATGCTTTTTATTGTTGCATTGAGTATTTCTGTACGGGGGGACACTGCGTGTGGACTCAAGACCCTGCGGTGACGGCAATGCCATTTGTGAAGTGTAGTGACAGTGTAGTAGAGACTTTGTGTGCGCTTGGTGCATCTCCGAAACTCGTTTATGAGAAGCCAGCAGAGGTCACAGAAGCAAACCCCAGCTTCCAACATCTCGCTCAACACCCCTCCCAGCAAAGCCGCACAGCATGAGGCCTCAACTGACAAGACGTTGCTCAAGCTCCTGTTGCTTAGTCTCACTTTCAGTCTCTGCGGGCAGTCTATGTAGCCCTCCAGGTGAAGTGTCTTCGTGCTTCATATGCGGCATCTACCCGCGTTCAAATTGCATACGTTCGTTGATGCTCTGACGCAGGTGGAATACACTCTCAATGGCGAGCGCGTGAAGCTTGGCGCACGCTCTGGGTCGAGATTGAGGGATTCTCGGGCCTCATGATCGGGAGGACATCGAACTTCTTAATGGGGAACTATTTGCTCAGTCGGTTGGTTCGCACGGATATTACGACTCAGAGATGGATGGACCTCAAACCCTTCCTCGAAACACGACCGTCGAAACCTATGCAGCACAGTCCCCAACCAGACTTAACGATCGGAGCCTTGCCATGCCGAAGAACCACTTCCAGGAGCATGCCTGAGGCTCCAGATACGCAGGGACTGACACTAGCGCCAGTTGGAGACTCCAAATGTGCCCAGCACCCCTTGAACAGCGGGATTTCGAGACCACATCGACGAGTCCGGCAACTTCAGTTAAAGCGACTCAAGTAAAACTGCTAGTTTCATTGGTACGTAAATTCGCTCGAAATGAAATGAACAGCGGGATGTTGACAAGAGCACGATAATCATCCACCCATGGCAACACCCCAGTATACATGCTGCACCGTGGCAGGGTTGCGATCCAATAAGGAGGAGACCGCGACAGCTTTGGGGGCGCATCGCAGCATCACACGTCCATACTCCTTCTGCTTCCAATGCCAAAACCTCATGTAGTGCTGCATTATTCGTACAGTATTAATAGTATTGATTATTGAGTTTATGTGTTATTAAGTATTATTCGTATTGTGAGTATGATCCCATTGTTCAGGAAACAACATGCCAAACCCAGGACTCACAAGACCAAAGGCATGTAGGTTTCCACGAACCTTGGACACCAAACCCTCATTGTGTGAGTCTGTCTGTTCCTTGTTTGTTGAGACCGTGGCATGGAACGTGAAGAAGCCCACTTGGAGGTCAAAGTAGGTCAGACCTCAGAACTCTGAAAGTCTGACATCGCAAACGGTTAGTAATTCGATATCAGTTCAACTTAGACCCGTCAGTCAGGCTGTGACAAGACTCTGCTTCGAACTTCTACCAATCTGCGCCAGGACCGGTTTGAGGATTTGCTGCTCTGTTTGGCTTTAAGCTGAGGATTTTTTCAATATGTCCCATGTCTCCATGCCTCGGGGCTAACAGGTAGGGCTTGGTGTGATTTCAGGGCAGCGGCGTTTTCAATCAGCCCGATGTCCTGCAACCCTAAAGCCCTGAACCCACAAGCCTGCAAAGGATAAACTGATAAACCCCAACACCCTCAAGCCCTACCCATGGGCTCCATAGTAACTCCTTTCATTGATTACCGTATAGGGTTCTTAATATGAACCCCGAAAAGAGAAACTCTGGAGCCTATGAGTAAACCGTAAAATGAGTAAACGTAAAAAACTCCATGAAGGAGCTGCACGTGGCCGAGTCCTCAGCCGTTCTGAGCGAGTTGTCTACCCTCTGGTGCAAACCGATAGGCTTGTGGTGAGGCCTGAAGAGTCAGTATTACGTTTGCTGATACAAGTCCTGCATTACCTTAAGGACCTCAAACTATGGGAATTCTGGTAAATTCTTATTATGGGTGGTGCAGGATGTATATCGTAGTATCCTATTTGGGTTCCCTGATACAATACAATTTAGGGTTGATCGTTCAGGGAGCATAATCATTGTTCTGACAGCTATGAATCCCACATAGTCCTCTTTCAGTTGGTACGGTCCTTGTATTATGTTCATAGCTCCAGACATGTTTCAAGGCTCCGGATATTCTCTTTCCTCCGTCTCAAACTATAATTCTCCTGAGATGGTCCCCAAGAGTTGTATCTGGGTAGGTTCTTTTATCATAGTAAAGACTCCGGTCTCACAGAGTCCGAACACTGTAGCCTTAAGCCAGAGCCAGAGCCCATACATCCGGAGGCATTGGTAATGGAGGCGCCATTGATCGCATTTCTCGCCTAGTAGACTTGTAGACTGGTATTACCCAAAGGCCCTAAAGTAGTTCCTTTTTGGGGTTCATATATAGAATCCTATAAGGTATTCCCAAAAAGGAGGCCGATGGGTAGAGCTTTAGGCATCTGTGCAATCAGGCTTTCAGGGTGCAGATTCTACTGCATGGGTAGAGTTCGTGTTCCAATCTCGGCCAGGTACAGCATCCTCGATTTATAGGTTTAGAGTCTGGGGTTTAGGGTTTAGGGTTTAGGGGTTTAGGGTTTAGGGCATCCTCGATTTATAGCGGCAGTAGCTGCTGCCTGCTTTGTCATTCCTTGCCCCCTTTGAATCCCAGGGGCAGAAAACCGAAACAACTTGTGTTGCAGGCTGGGTGCGTGATAGCTACAGCTACATTTGTAGTCCGACGCTTTCGCGCTTGAGCACTTGCAGGGGTGTTGCGGTGGGTTGCATGGCGATGAGCAGCCACCTGCTCTCTCGCGGGCCAAGGCTCCGATAATGGCTGCACCAGTAGCGCCCACAGCCGTGGCGGTGTCGCCACCTGTCGAGCCCTCAACAGTCCTTAAACTAAAAGGCTTTGAAGGGTTGTGGACTGCCTAAACCCTGAGGGTTAGTTGTTTGTATCCTGCTACAGCTACATGTGGCTTCGCACTTGAACAATTGCAGGAGTGTGGTCTTGGGTTAACCAGCCACCTACCCGGCAAGTTCATGTCTGTCCGCATCGGATACCTTCCGCAGTCTCTAAGCGTTCAGACTGCCAGTCCCTAACCCCTAATTCCCGGCCAAAACCTCGATGCCCCAAACTAGCTGATGACGGATTTGGTTCTCTCGTGGGCCAAGGCTCCGATAATGGCTGCACCAGTAGCGCCCACAGCCGTGGCGGTGTCGCCACCTGTCGAGCCCTCAACAGTCCTTGTCAGACATCGTGGTTTGCAGGGTTGGGGATTGTCTAGACCCCAAATCCCGTTGTTCTAGGTTCTATACCCTACTATACAACAAGGGGATCACGCCCTGCTATTTTCTAGGGTTCGGGGTTATGGGTGCTAGGGCTCAGGGCTTAGAAGTATTCGTAGCTTCGTAATCAGACATACTGGGTTTAGCGGTTCCGAAATCCTTGCTGTTTTTGAAGCGTCAGAGGACGTAGTTCGCAGCAGGTCATGAGTGGAGCCATCATTAAACACGCTGAATACATGGGTTCTCCTGATTATAACCCGGGCTACGGGGTTCCTAAACCCGAAGCCCCTACGCCCTACACCAGTTCCCTGACCCTTCAGCACCGCCGAAGATGGCACGCACTTAGACCGAGGCGGTCTGCCGCATGGCTTTGCCAGGCTGGTTCGGGGACATGGGTGCCCCTTAGTTGAGCAATCTGGGGCTTATGATTAGCTTTTAAGGGTTTAAGGGTTTAGGTAATGCTGATCTATACTTATCGACTTATAGGGTTCAGGATTGGGTTTCTTGTTTATTGTGTCGGCTTAAATTAAACCCGAAACCCTGAACTATATTCGGGGGTCCCTGGCAGGATTCAAGGTCTGTTCCGCAATTCGGGGTTGCTGTCTTCGAGTCTCTGGGTTCTCACAAGGAGGGTTCCTTGTTCATGCTTGACCTTGTGGTGTTCCTATCAACAAGCAACCCCTGATTGAAGGCTAAGCTCTGGCCCCTTTCACTCTGAAGCTCGCAAATGTAAAGGTAAGGGTGTAGTATGTAGGGGCCTTGAGAATTACCAATGCTTTCCCCTTAGTCCCTGAAGATAGTGATGCCTGTTAAACTGCCATATACACCCTAAAACCCTACTCGAATTAGAAAGGCCCCCTATTGCAGAGTGTTTAGACAGCCAGAGATGCTTAAAAGCGCGACAGGCGTCGGAAGAATCACTGCTTGTGGTCAGTGGCCCCTCCACAAGTTTATTTTTGAATTTTCCGAAACCCTGTTCAAACTATCAATGATTATTAATGCCTCTGTTGTACTTGGGATCCTTCTTCAGGTGCGCCACCCCTGCCGTACCCGCAGGGCATGCCTCAGTCTCAGACCGGCACGACATGTACACGCGCTGTCGATCATGTACGGGCTTGAATATACGTACGATCAGTATTCACTTTGAGTCCTCCATGTAAACCAAACTCTGCTCTACCTCGCTATACTATATGCTCTAATTACTGCTCGGAATTTAGGCCTCAAAACCGGCCTATAATCTGAACCTATAAACCGTAAACCCCCGAAACCCAAAACCTAAACCCTCAAACCCTACACCTTAAACCCCCTAAACCACCCAAAGCCCCAAAGCATTCCATCCAAGGCCGGGCCATCCTCGGCCGGTTCCTGCGCAGCTTCCGCTGCCTCCTGAGCAATGTAGGAACAGAAACCGTGGGCTTTTGAGGGTTCTGTAAGGCTTCCTTTAAAAGGGTACTATATTGGGGTGTTTGATATAGGAACCTCATTAAGAAACCTTGGGTCTTTACTAGGGTTCCGTTTATGATGAACCCTACTGTTTTGGGGTCATAGGCCCAGGGTGTCTTAATCAGGTTCCTACATTATTCTGATCTCGGGCTTGGGGTTGAGGGGTTTTCGGGCTTCAGGGCTTTAGGAGCTATAGGGGTTCTAGGGGCATGAGGGGTTTAGGGATTAGGGCTTTAGGGGTTTGGGGGGTGGGTTTGGGGCGTTAAGGGCTTTGGGGGGTTTGGGGCTTTAGGGGTTTAGGGGTGTGGGGGTTTGCAGAGCTCTAGGCTTTAGGGAGTTTTGGTGAGTTCTTTGCACCCAGGACTGGTATCGATCGACGCACATCTTTGCATGTTTTACATAGGACTCAGAGGGTCGGGTTTGTGGGTATTTTGGGTTTTCAGGGAAGCTAGGCAGAGGGTCAGCGGCAGAGCTCCAAATCAGCAGCCTTGCTGTACTTCACATGTATACATATATGGGTACCCATATGTATATACCTGGAACCTCCTGCGGCAGAAATTTTCGCCGCAATGCATTGCGGCGTTTATTTTTGCCTCATTTGTTTTTTTTCTGCCGCAAGCGATTGGGAAACGCCGAAAGATTTTTCGAGGAGAAGCCCAAAAAGAAGAAACGCCGCAGCAAAAGAAGAAACGCCGCAACTTATGCGTCTTCGTGCGCTTTTACCCAAACTTGTGGATGAGACTGTAGCAACTACCACACTTCGTCGTCGTCATCATCATCATCAGCATCATCATCTTTGCTATCTTTGTCTTCATCAGTCTGCATTCCCATCAACTTCAAAATCTCACATTTGACAACATGAAAACCATGGTGGTATCACGATCACAACTACTATGTGCATCTTCGTCTTTGTCTTCATCAGATTCACCAGCAACAACACCAATGACCAGTATCTTCCAAAAACGTATCATCATCCTCACCCACATCGAAGGATCCAGAAGCTGTCGTGTCCAGCGGGCTTTTTGTTGTAGGCGGGGCGTAGCACAGCAGAACGCTCGAAAGTTTAGCCACAAACTTCCAAAGTTTCAGGTACTAGTAGCAAAACATACGAGGTCCGTTGCTGCTAGCAGCCCCAAACACAAGCCTAAAGGAAGACAAAAAGAACAAGCGGCCAATAGCCGCTCCTTCCCGGAGAATGGGTCAGCATGTGCTGCATCACGCTCTACTGACTCTACTGTTCGGTTCGATTAGGTAGAAGCGGACATGTGTAATCTGCGGAAATTCCCGATATGCCTGCAGTATAACGAATCATAAAAAAAACATTATAATTTTCGATTTGACTGCGGCGGCTCTCCGCGAAAAATATATCTTCTCTTATTGTGTTCAGCAAATGGTTGTGAATTGCGACCGCACGGTTTTCCCAGGCATGTATTTTTGATTTCGAGGCTGTTTCTGATTTTAACATGCGGAATTTCGGACGCCTTATAAAGGCCACGGCATGGGAGAGATTTGGTTTCTGTCTCGCATGGCGCTACAAGCCGAGGTTAGCGTGTCTTATCGCGTAAATTTTGCAATATGTGGAAACTGAAAGGCATGTCATCTAAGGAGTCTAATCCAGTACCACAGTAGTGGAATTCAACCCGGTTAACAAAGTTTCCTCAACAACCGGCGCAGTAGGACGTAATGCAGTTTATTGGTTCGACTCACTGTGGCTGGAGCACGCCTGAACGACGCGCGTGCCTGCAAGAACGACGTGGTCCGGACATACTGCGCAGCATAGAATCAAACCTGCCCTCAGAAAAGAACACGAGGGAAGGAAGCAGCAGGACCTGAAACTAAAAGCGCTTCATACAATACAGAAGGAACAACGTTTAAACTGCGGCTTCTGCTTTCCTGGTGACACAGTGGCCGCAGTGGCCTGTATTTGGGGCACAATGCGGACGTCGCGAAAAATCTCTCTGTTTTCTTCAAGTTTCCAAACAAGGGGTTCGTCTACGTAGTTTCGGGTTGAAGTTTCCCTGTTTAAGGCTTCTGCAGTTTATGATTCAACCTGCTAAGGTTTAGGATGCTGGGCATGCCTGCGCATGAGAGTTGAGTACGAACTTGGCCCTTTATTTGTCAAGCATTTGGCGTACACTAGGAAATGCACGAAGTAGGAAGACTTGCGGTTATTGTCAACAAGTCTTGTCGTCTGAGCAGACATATTATCTACATCTGCACCTCGCAGTTCAATTTGCGACCACGACATGGCAAACCCACGACAGATGCTAGCACTGTGCTATACTTTCGGTGCCCAGCACAAGACTATCCCGATGCTGCATGATGCTGCATGGCTTTCAAATCCGGATGCATGGACGAAATTGCAACAAGAAGCTTCTGAAACCCATCGGCACACTTGTTACCGGAAGGGTGTCCGCATCTTTCCGCCGCAATGTCGGGAGTTTCCGCCGCAATGTCGGGAGTTTCCGCCGCAATTTTGGGGCACAAAAACCATCATAAATCGCATCCGAAAGTGTTTTGGAGTCACAATTCTCGCTCACCCAGTGTTCTGGCGACAACACTGGCCCAAAACGAACATGCTGTGCTCTCAGTTCCAACATCCTTCAGACTTGTTTTGGCAAAGGTCGTTCGGCGAAATGATGTGGGGGGGATGCAAGTCTCAACAGAGCTCCTCGTTGCATTTTCGCACGCTCGCACCAAAAACCTGTTGAGACTGAGAACAGACCGTGCTCGTCCTTGGCCAGTGCTGTTGCTAGTAGTAACGAGGAGTGAAGCTTGATTCCCGAACAAAGTCTAGATGTGTTCTTGCGGGTTTTGTGCATCCCGGAATTGCGGCGGAAAACCCCGTCATTGCGGCAGAAACTCCCGACATTGCGGCGGAAAGACGCGGACACCCTTCCACTAACATGTACACAATTGACCCACCTGCACAAGCATTTTTTGCAATTTCGTCCACCCATCCGGGCTCGAGGGTGTGTTCATGATGCAACACCTGGATAGTCGAGTGCTGGGCATTGGAATTTTGTGCCAGGAGGCTAGCACGTCGCTGCTGATTAACTGGCTGGTTCATGACTGCATAAATGTGTTTCTGCATGTTGGCTTCCATGGAGTCGAGGAACCGCTTGCAACTCCAAGTTCCCTCATTAGAACCTGGTTTGAACTCCAAAAAACAGATAAAAATTCAAACCAGCACAAGCTCCAAACCCAACCTGAAGCGGGAATCACGCCCCCAACCCTAAACGCCATCAGTTAAATCCTATACTAGAGAAACTCGAAAATACAGACTTTCTACCCGAAGCTGGTTATTAAGTGTGCCTCCGGAGGAAATGAAGTTGTTCGCAAAGAAGCACAACAATGTCCGTCCCAAATAACTGCCGCAAAGAAAATCCATCATGTCCCTCGGACCGGCTGTTGCTGCAGCTTTAGATAATTATTTCGTCTTTATCACAGTCTTTCTACTGGGGCAAGCGTTTAGCAATTAGGTCCTGCTGAGACCCGTACTTCCGCATCTTGTCGTAAAGCCAGATCTGGAGCTGCACGTCGGCATGTCTGTACTACGCCTGTTGTTGAAACCACAAGGTGAGCTCGAGCCATACTAGGTCTGCATTATCTGATGAGCGTGCAATTGAGCACCTTAGCCCGATATTAGGCTCATCCCTCATCGCCAGTTCTGCTTACCAAAAACGGCCCAGTTGAAGTTCTCTTGTTTTCAATTTTTGAAATTCTCGCATCACATAAATGTTGTTTCCACTTTTTTGCACTTCCGCAATCAACTCGGGGGTGTGGGCTTGGGCTGCACCGAAAGATTTGTAAAATTGACGCCATGCAAGACAGAAGCCAAATCCATCCCGGTCCTTAGACATCCTACATGCTGAAACAACCTCGAAATCAACCACACCGTGCTTCGTAACACCCTATCGTTGCAACGAAGCACGAACAGCATCCACATGGCTTTCAAGGAAAACCGTCGCAATGATATAACGAACATAAACATGAGATAACTGCACTCTTGCACCCGAAAGCAAGTTATAGGCGCAAGTTACAAACTTGGTGTTTCAGTCTGCTATGAACATACCTCGGTTTATGCAGTTTTCATGTCCTTATACAGTCTAAACCGGCCGGCCAGCACCATGTCACTGCGGGAACGTTCGACCATAAGAACATGGAGCTGCGCGCTGGCAGCAAAACCAAAATTCGTTCGTGAAAAACAAAAACGCCGCCGAAATTACAATTCTGCCGCAACTGATGTGCTGTATACTGCTGGATCTAGGTTTCTGCCGTCAGACATGTCTTTCCGCCTCCGATTGCGTTTCGGCGCCGCAACCCTATTGCGGCGGAAATTTTTGCCGCAACGGAGTTTCCAGGTATATATATATATATATACCTAAGGCCTATGTACATAATATATATATACCTGGAACCTCCTGCGGCAGAAATTTTCGCCGCAATGCATTGCGGCGTTTATTTTTGCCTCATTTGTTTTTTTTCTGCCGCAAGCGATTGGGAAACGCCGAAAGATTTTTCGAGGAGAAGCCCAAAAAGAAGAAACGCCGCAGCAAAAGAAGAAACGCCGCAACTTATGCGTCTTCGTGCGCTTTTACCCAAACTTGTGGATGAGACTGTAGCAACTACCACACTTCGTCGTCGTCATCATCATCATCAGCATCATCATCTTTGCTATCTTTGTCTTCATCAGTCTGCATTCCCATCAACTTCAAAATCTCACATTTGACAACATGAAAACCATGGTGGTATCACGATCACAACTACTATGTGCATCTTCGTCTTTGTCTTCATCAGATTCACCAGCAACAACACCAATGACCAGTATCTTCCAAAAACGTATCATCATCCTCACCCACATCGAAGGATCCAGAAGCTGTCGTGTCCAGCGGGCTTTTTGTTGTAGGCGGGGCGTAGCACAGCAGAACGCTCGAAAGTTTAGCCACAAACTTCCAAAGTTTCAGGTACTAGTAGCAAAACATACGAGGTCCGTTGCTGCTAGCAGCCCCAAACACAAGCCTAAAGGAAGACAAAAAGAACAAGCGGCCAATAGCCGCTCCTTCCCGGAGAATGGGTCAGCATGTGCTGCATCACGCTCTACTGACTCTACTGTTCGGTTCGATTAGGTAGAAGCGGACATGTGTAATCTGCGGAAATTCCCGATATGCCTGCAGTATAACGAATCATAAAAAACATTATAATTTTCGATTTGACTGCGGCGGCTCTCCGCGAAAAATATATCTTCTCTTATTGTGTTCAGCAAATGGTTGTGAATTGCGACCGCACGGTTTTCCCAGGCATGTATGTTTGATTTCGAGGCTGTTTCTGATTTTAACATGCGGAATTTCGGACGCCTTATAAAGGCCACGGCATGGGAGAGATTTGGTTTCTGTCTCGCATGGCGCTACAAGCCGAGGTTAGCGTGTCTTATCGCGTAAATTTTGCAATATGTGGAAACTGAAAGGCATGTCATCTAAGGAGTCTAATCCAGTACCACAGTAGTGGATTTCAACACGGTTAACAAAGTTTCCTCAACAACCGGCGCAGTAGGACGTAATGCAGTTTATTGGTTCGACTCACTGTGGCTGGAGCACGCCTGAACGACGCGCGTGCCTGCAAGAACGACGTGGTCCGGACATACTGCGCAGCATAGAATCAAACCTGCCCTCAGAAAAGAACACGAGGGAAGGAAGCAGCAGGACCTGAAACTAAAAGCGCTTCATACAATACAGAAGGAACAACGTTTAAACTGCGGCTTCTGCTTTCCTGGTGACACAGTGGCCGCAGTGGCCTGTATTTGGGGCACAATGCGGACGTCGCGAAAAATCTCTCTGTTTTCTTCAAGTTTCCAAACAAGGGGTTCGTCTACGTAGTTTCGGGTTGAAGTTTCCCTGTTTAAGGCTTCTGCAGTTTATGATTCAACCTGCTAAGGTTTAGGATGCTGGGCATGCCTGCGCATGAGAGTTGAGTACGAACTTGGCCCTTTATTTGTCAAGCATTTGGCGTACACTAGGAAATGCACGAAGTAGGAAGACTTGCGGTTATTGTCAACAAGTCTTGTCGTCTGAGCAGACATATTATCTACATCTGCACCTCGCAGTTCAATTTGCGACCACGACATGGCAAACCCACGACAGATGCTAGCACTGTGCTATACTTTCGGTGCCCAGCACAAGACTATCCCGATGCTGCATGATGCTGCATGGCTTTCAAATCCGGATGCATGGACGAAATTGCAACAAGAAGCTTCTGAAACCCATCGGCACACTTGTTACCGGAAGGGTGTCCGCATCTTTCCGCCGCAATGTCGGGAGTTTCCGCCGCAATGTCGGGAGTTTCCGCCGCAATTTTGGGGCACAAAAACCATCATAAATCGCATCCAAAAGTGTTTTGGAGTCACAATTCTCGCTCACCCAGTGTTCTGGCGACAACACTGGCCCAAAACGAACATGCTGTGCTCTCAGTTCCAACATCCTTCAGACTTGTTTTGGCAAAGGTCGTTCGGCGAAATGATGTGGGGGGGATGCAAGTCTCAACAGAGCTCCTCGTTGCATTTTCGCACGCTCGCACCAAAAACCTGTTGAGACTGAGAACAGACCGTGCTCGTCCTTGGCCAGTGCTGTTGCTAGTAGTAACGAGGAGTGAAGCTTGATTCCCGAACAAAGTCTAGATGTGTTCTTGCGGGTTTTGTGCATCCCGGAATTGCGGCGGAAAACCCCGTCATTGCGGCAGAAACTCCCGACATTGCGGCGGAAAGACGCGGACACCCTTCCACTAACATGTACACAATTGACCCACCTGCACAAGCATTTTTTGCAATTTCGTCCACCCATCCGGGCTCGAGGGTGTGTTCATGATGCAACACCTGGATAGTCGAGTGCTGGGCATTGGAATTTTGTGCCAGGAGGCTAGCACGTCGCTGCTGATTAACTGGCTGGTTCATGACTGCATAAATGTGTTTCTGCATGTTGGCTTCCATGGAGTCGAGGAACCGCTTGCAACTCCAAGTTCCCTCATTAGAACCTGGTTTGAACTCCAAAAAACAGATAAAAATTCAAACCAGCACAAGCTCCAAACCCAACCTGAAGCGGGAATCACGCCCCCAACCCTAAACGCCATCAGTTAAATCCTATACTAGAGAAACTCGAAAATACAGACTTTCTACCCGAAGCTGGTTATTAAGTGTGCCTCCGGAGGAAATGAAGTTGTTCGCAAAGAAGCACAACAATGTCCGTCCCAAATAACTGCCGCAAAGAAAATCCATCATGTCCCTCGGACCGGCTGTTGCTGCAGCTTTAGATAATTATTTCGTCTTTATCACAGTCTTTCTACTGGGGCAAGCGTTTAGCAATTAGGTCCTGCTGAGACCCGTACTTCCGCATCTTGTCGTAAAGCCAGATCTGGAGCTGCACGTCGGCATGTCTGTACTACGCCTGTTGTTGAAACCACAAGGTGAGCTCGAGCCATACTAGGTCTGCATTATCTGATGAGCGTGCAATTGAGCACCTTAGCCCGATATTAGGCTCATCCCTCATCGCCAGTTCTGCTTACCAAAAACGGCCCAGTTGAAGTTCTCTTGTTTTCAATTTTTGAAATTCTCGCATCACATAAATGTTGTTTCCACTTTTTTGCACTTCCGCAATCAACTCGGGGGTGTGGGCTTGGGCTGCACCGAAAGATTTGTAAAATTGACGCCATGCAAGACAGAAGCCAAATCCATCCCGGTCCTTAGACATCCTACATGCTGAAACAACCTCGAAATCAACCACACCGTGCTTCGTAACACCCTATCGTTGCAACGAAGCACGAACAGCATCCACATGGCTTTCAAGGAAAACCGTCGCAATGATATAACGAACATAAACATGAGATAACTGCACTCTTGCACCCGAAAGCAAGTTATAGGCGCAAGTTACAAACTTGGTGTTTCAGTCTGCTATGAACATACCTCGGTTTATGCAGTTTTCATGTCCTTATACAGTCTAAACCGGCCGGCCAGCACCATGTCACTGCGGGAACGTTCGACCATAAGAACATGGAGCTGCGCGCTGGCAGCAAAACCAAAATTCGTTCGTGAAAAACAAAAACGCCGCCGAAATTACAATTCTGCCGCAACTGATGTGCTGTATACTGCTGGATCTAGGTTTCTGCCGTCAGACATGTCTTTCCGCCTCCGATTGCGTTTCGGCGCCGCAACCCTATTGCGGCGGAAATTTTTGCCGCAACGGAGTTTCCAGGTATATATATATATATATAGGTGGAGACCGAAATCCCCGAGCCAGAATCGGGATCCTTTGGTTTGGTGTCTTGGGTGTCGGGTTCCCTTACCTGTCATGCTTCGCTGTTTAGGCTACACCCAAAGCCCGCAACCCATGAACATTTAACTGAAACCTGCACCCTGAGCTCTGGACCCTAATCCCAGAAAGCTCTCAGCTTCCCCTACACCCGGAGCTTACGGAGCCCCACAGCCCATAGGCTCCATGTAACTCACGTATATACATTGGCCCTACTTTACATGAGTACATGCACCCTTAAGCCTTAAACCTGAACCCTACAGATCTTTTGTTCAACCCTTATGGGAACCTTAACCCTCCAGCTTCCGAAGCGCTTCAGCGCTGTGCAGGCCGCCTCCACAGGCAAGACAACCTCTGGGCGTGGGTGCAGGCGCCAGAGCTCTTTTTTGTTTGAGGGTACAGAGTTTATAGAGCCACAGATTCTTTAAAGACCCTATAATAAGCCCTATCCCTAACCCCCCCCCCCAAGAAAGAATGACCTTCGTTGTTGGTGGCGGCCAGGCACCATGAACGAAGATGAACAGATTGAGGGTCGCACTCGGCCTGTGGCCTCGTTTAAACTTTTACAGGTCCCTAAACCGCCTAAACCATGCGGGAATGTAAAAATAGACCAACCATGAGACCCAAGCTAATAATCGAATGCCGAATCCCAGACAGCTACAAATTAGCGTTAGGGTTTAAGGTTCTAGGATGTATACGGGTTTGCAGATTTAGCGTTTAGGGCAGGGTGTTGGTTTTAGGGCTGTTTTTTTTTGTCTGAGTCGTCTGGGTTTTTCAGTACAGCAGTGATGCTGCTGTTGATCTGAATCTTAGTTGATACTGCTGTTGGATAGCTGTGAACTTCTAATACTAAGCCCCAAATCTTATCAGCCCTGGACACTTGAACTCACGCACCAAGCACCACAACTATCATGAGCATCAGACCCCACAAGCCCACCGGCCCCTCAAGCCCTGAAAACCCAGTATGCCCTGAACCCTCAATCCCACAGCCCTATGAAAGATCCCAAGTTCAATGCCCCAAAACCCCTTGAGCCCTCAGGCTTGCGTACAGCCTGGACTGTATCTTGGGATACCTTCTTGTCTTACGGCTACTTAGGCAACCCCCAAAGCTTCAACCTTAGCGGGTTGTCCTCATAAAGCCCTGCAAAACCCTATGAACCACTATTATCGCAACAAATACACCGATAAAATCATCTGCCCTAGACCCTCAAATCCTGCGTGTTTAAGTAAGCCTATCGATATCTATTGTTAATCTTGTTGCTTTCCCCACCCTAAACCCTAAATCCTGAACCTTGTTATCTAACCTGCGGACGTCTGCAGTTGGAAAAAGGAGCTCAAAACAACACCCTATTATTACTACTGCCATGATTGTCGACAGGCCAGTGGCTTCGGCTCGTAGACCTCCAGTTCGGCGAGGCTTTGGGAATCTACAACCGTCGGGGCTTTAGGAACGGTGCAGGCTTTGGGAGTTTTAAGGTTTAGGGTTCAGGAGCGGTTTAGGGTTTAGGAGTTTTAGGTTTTCCCTGGCTTTTCGGAATTGTGGGTTTGGGGATATGGGTCTATGGTCCTGGCATGTCCTGGCTTAAAATGGCTCCAGCTTTTGGGTTTTACGGGCTTGGGCTTCAGGACACTTAGTTACTTTCTGTTTGGTCTGGACATTGTCGGTTAATGACGCAAGGCCGCGAGCCGGGCGGCTTCATGCTGACATAATCGTAATCGCTTTCCCGCGAAAACCGGGCCTCCTCAAGCTTGGCAGGGGGTATAGGCCTATGATTCTACGCGAGACCCATGGACCGTACCCGTTTACGTTTCTGTGCATGATTTCCTTGCATATCTTCGCGCAATAGCCAAACGCACCTTCAACCACCCTGAACCTGAAACCCTAACCCCTAAAACCCTATACACACATAAACCCTAAACCCTATAAGCCTTCAGCGTGATGACAGTTGCTGGGCTCCGGCGGCTTTGGCGCTGTGCACCGCGGGCGGCTGCGGGGCTTTCCGAAGGAGGCAGAGCTCCTCTCCGCAACATCTTGGTCCTTCGGACCTTTTCGAGAGGGTCTATAAAGAGTCCCCCTGATCCTAACTCCTAGTCCTGAAGTACCAAAACCCTATATACCTGTTCGCAGAAGTTTACCAGGAATTCGAAGCTTAGTGCTCTTTGCGGAGGGTTCCGTGCTTGAGGCCTACAGTCGACTAGGAAGTTGCCGTTTCCAGCAGTGCATATTTCAGAAAAGGCAGGCGGCATGCGAGCTTCGGGGTGTTTGGATTTCAACTTCGGCCTTCAATGTTAGAGGGACTCCGGTGCAGGTCTTGCCTTTGGAGGTGATAAGGGCTCTGCTACGAAAGCTCGAGGCGTTCGAGGTGCAAAGACAGGAGCTCTAGGATGTTTTGTTTTCTGGACTTTTGATTCTTGTTGCACTCCCAATCTTGCGACCTGAGCCCACAATTCAAAGCTCCACGAAACCTTGAGTTCTCGAAGGCTAAGAGGAGAGTATCGAGACCCTCAATTGCTGTCATTGGTGCCTTGTTGCTGGCGATTTTATTGATGAGAAGGAGTGCCAAGTTGATTAAGGTGGTGATAACAGGGAGCACGATAATGATCATGGTGGTCCATGATGACTATGACGATGCCAGGGATGCGTTTGACGAATGTGACGAAGACGTTCCCATCACATGGGCAACGTGCACGGCGGGGCGGTTGCGATGGTGTTTATTATACTACTTTATACTTATGTAGTGGTCGTGCTGGTGCTGGTGGTGTGCCGACAGGAACAGTCATGAATGACAGTCTGAAGTACCAGCCGCTGACAGCTTGATTTCTGGTCATTGGTAAAAGCCGGAAACCTAAACCCTGAACTGTTCGTGGCAGCAGGGGAAAGGCCCATTGCATTAAAAAAAAAACCTGAGCGGTATACCGCTCTGTTTTGCCACAGGTCGCCATCAAAAAGCTACACGTGATGCAGTCCGGCGGAGTCTCTCAGGCTGTTGTTGTTTTGCAGGGCCTCGCCAAGAACCCTAAATAAACCCTAAAGCGTTGTGTATGGTTTTGCAGGTTATTTTTCATGGGCCTCCAAACTTGGAAGTAAAGTGAACTGGTCAGTGTTAGTGCGAGGCGCCACGATGCGACCACCTCCCAGTCTTCAAGAAGCTTTCAGCTTAAGACTGCCCTGGACATCTCTGTTTGTAGTTTTGAACATACGGGTTTGGGGTCATGACATGAGGCACTATAGGCCCTGAATTTGGAAAACTTCTCTTCGCTTTGTGTTTTCCGTAGCTGCCTACCACGAGCTTGCATTGGGTCCAGCAGCTGTGAATTCAGACATTGCGCCCCGGCTTAAGCCCATACTTGCAGGATCACGGGTCTTAGCAACTAGGGGTATGCAGGTATCTATAATGATAATCACTTCTATTTCCAATTAGGGTACGTATATCCTTACTTGCTAAGTCCATTGATCCTCCAAGTAGCTTTTGACACCCTGCTCCCCAAGCCTAGCCATCAGAATTCTACAATGGTTCCATAAAGGTTCTTTCGAGGTTCTCAGCTAATGGTAGCATACACAGTAGCAGTGTTAAGTCGTATATAATCGCCACAGCGCAGCAATAGTGTATTTAGTTGCAAGTAAACACAGATCATACAGCCCTTGCCCAATGATGACCAAGTGGGAAAGGCATTCGCTGCATAATTGCAGTCGTAAAATATCACGACCATAGGGCGTACAGGGACTCGGGAGTGCCCTCTCGATTCAGAAAGCCCATTGCCCTTCAATCATTCGTAGTAGTAGTAGTAGTAGTAGTAGTAGTAGTAGTAGTAGCAGTAGCAGGAGTAGTAGTAGTAGTAGTAGTAGCAGCAGCAGCAGTAGTAGTAGCAGTAGTAGCAGTAGTAGTAGTTGTTGTAGTAGCAGTAGTAGCAGTAGTAGTAGTAGTAGTAGCAGTAATAGACTGTAGCAGTAGTCGTAGTCGTAGTAGTAGTAGTAGTAGCAGTAGCAGGAGTAGTAGTAGTAGTAGCAGCAGCAGCAGCAGTAATAGTAGTAGTAGTAGTAGTAGTAGCAGTAGTAGTAGTTGTTGTTGTAGCAGTAGTAGCAGTAGTAGTAGTAGTAGTAGCAGTAATAGACTGTAGCAGTAGTCGTAGTAGTAGTAGTAGTAGTAGCAGCCGTGCTGCTAGCTGGCGGTGTTTGAGGTGTGCAGGCGCACGCTCGCATCTACGATTTGTGCTCGCACTATAAATAATGATTAAAGAATCCCTGGCAAGCACAGTCAGGAGCATAAGAGTGCTACTAAGGTTTCCCTCCCGTGCTGAAGACATTCTCCACCAGAAATCGACTCTCTCGGTCGAAGGCGAACCTGGCCGAGTTTCAAAAGGAGGTCAACAACCTTCAAGCGCTGAGGCGTGCGCGCGTGCTCCTGCGATTGTTTTTTTTGTATGCCTGCTTGTAGGAATCTATACAATCTTCAGGCTCCCCCACCCCAACCCTATAGACCCTATAAGTCCAACACCGTCTAGCCTGAACCCTGTAGTACCCTTGAAGAAATGCTTTGGCACCTTTAAAGGCGCTTATACCACCGTTCAAGGAACCTGCAAAGTACCTTTGCAGGAACCCTTTATTATACCCTTAGCTAATTATAAGGGGCCCCGTAGAACGGCACCGCAAAACTCAAAAATCCAAAACTCTATGTGCAGCCTAATCCTAAAACCCCTTATACACCCTCATCCCTGTATAGAGCACGGTATTATAGAAGCCTTGCTGAACCCACCCTCAGACCCCCGAAACTGAACCAAAGCTGCTCTAACCCTTGCCGCGCGTGGAACCCTACCAGGGTCCATGCAACTTTTTCGTATATACTGTGGCCTTGAAGTAGTCCTTGGATCGGTCCTTTAGGGCCAAAGTTGCATTAGTTCTGTCCGAAGTACCTACATGGTATAAAGTAGGGTTTCTCTATAGCAGGAGTTACCATTACGGTTTAGGTAAATAACCAGGTAGGTACTTAGGAGCCTCTGGGCAGGCACGACCGCCTCATTTGTCTCATCGGAATTGCGTACGAGCCACCCGTGCTGTGCATCGTTACAGAGGCAACGTCGGGTGAGTTTCTGGGCTTGGACTTAGGGTTTCGAGTTTCTCAACTCGAATCGCAAACACTAGATCACTAAACCTTATAAACCTCAAGCCCAATACGTAAAACCTCAAAACAAATAACAGTATATAAATCTTAAACTTTGCGTTTCTCAGGAGCAGTAGGACGGGGTTTAGCCTCCATGTTGGGCTTAGCAAGGACGAGGAGGCTTTCAGAGTAGTTCCGCTCGGGATTTAGTCGTGGCGGGTCTAAACAGTTACCCATTCTACGTTGGGGCTATTTGTATTCATATTTGTACATATATATATATATATACATATACATATATATATATATATATATATATACAGTGTAAGATGCCACAAAACCCGTTCTAATTATTCAGGCCCCTGTATTACGATTCGTGTCTAGGGTTTAGGGCCCCTGACACGTTTAGGTTTGGAGAGCCAGCAGCAAGAACGATGGCATACCCGGCATGGCCCTGCAGGTCAAGGATGGTTTCACGGATTACGGTTTAGGGTCGAGGGACTAGGGTTTAGTGTTCAGGAGATCCCGGTGGTGGTGACCAACTTTACATGTAGGATCTACAATCAGAGTACAGGTAAACCTTAAACCCAAAACCCTAAACACTAAATAAACCTTAAACCATCCTAACCCCCCCCCCCCTAAAAGTCAAACCCTAAAACCCGAGACCTTGGTAAACTCTTATGAGCCTTTATATTTCACGTTTATATATATATATACAGATATAGATAGATATTTATTTATTTATCTACCTATATATACATACATGCGTACGTACATACATACCATATATATATATATATATATATATATATATATGGTTACGGATATTGACTTCAAAAAACACGCACAGGCACACATACATATTTAACCCCTAGACATCCCTGAAGTTTGGTCAAAAAAGAGTTGAACCTCGCAGCTGGCACCGGGGGGATCGCTTCACGACCTCCTCCATCTCAAGCGAGTCGCTCTCGCGGAGGCCGCTGGGATTGAGCGGGCATTTGTTACATATGTGATATAGTCAAAATAAAACAGTATGATGTATTAAAGTATAATACTATAACATGAAAGAACACTTCAGAGTATGACCAACTGTTATTTGCATATATGCATGCACATGTATATCGAGGCTTTGTAACAGGGGGTTAAATGGTGTTGTTTGTCTAGGCTTTGTGTTTAGTCTCGTTGAAGCTTTGGAAGTGCTAGAGCTGTTCGAAAGGCTTGTTGCTTCCTATTGTAGGGTGTATAGGCATACTAAAACAGGTTTACAATTGATCTTCAGAAGCTTCAACAATTTCTTGCAGGGTCGGTCCTTCCTCAAGCCGTCATATGGTCTGGAAAGTTTTTGTACACGCTTTCTAGAAGCTTGCAGGATCGTGCAGATTCTTTCAAGGGTTCAGGCCTTTGGGGTAATAGTTTGTTGGGGTTGAGGCTGTCTTGAGTTCCAACGGGGTGACAGGGGGGGGCGGGGTGTTGGAGGTGCTTTTGGGGTGTTTAGTGGTGTTTAGTCGTTCGTGTTCGTGTGTGTGTGTGTGTGTGTGTGTGTGTGTGTGTGTGCTTTGATTTTTGGAGAGGGGGGTAAGGGCAGGGAGTAGGTTTAGGGCCTTCAGTTCAAGCCAACGAGCTCAAAGCTTGGAAAATCTCAAGCCTCGGTGCTGCAAGTGTCGTGGAGCTTGGTTCAGACAGCAGTTTTGTATAACGTAGAATTTAGAGGATCAGAAAGTACCCCCGTGTACCTGGCAGATTCTGAGAATTTGTTTGCTTTTTGTTACCGGTTGTTCGCCCCACGATGTTTCTAGCAAGGCGTGGGGCTCGAGTTGAGCTGAGCAACACTGCAAAGCTTAGCTGCTAGCTGACCACCTAGCCAGCATATCCCACAGACATGTCGGCAAACAACCCTGAACCCCAGAACCCTAAGCCCTAAACTCTATACAACGCATAAGGTCCTGCCACCCAACATGCCTTAACTTGGCTGAGCCGCACCTGCACTGGGCGCTCCTGTGGCAACATGGTGCGGTCCATGGCATGGCGGGTTCACCTCTCGTCCTGCGCTGGCCAACGGCACCGGCCGCGCTGCCCGCTGCTGGGCGCTGAAACAGCTATCGGTTTAGCTTACCGCTGCTCTATCTATCCAGCTAGTTATCCATATACATATATATACAGATAGACAGATAGACATATAGATAGATAGACATATAGATCTACAGATAGATGTTTGTTTATTCGTTTACTGTGGATGGTAGTTTGTAAGTTAGCTTTCTCAACAAGAACACATGCAGGATGCGAGCTCGAGACTTACATGTGTGCGGGTACACCCGTGGTTGGCCAGGGAAGAGCCTTGGCATGTCTTTTTGATTGAGCTAGGGTTCAGGCTCAGGGTTTACAGTTTAGGGTTTATAGGGTTTAGGGTTTAACGTTTACGGTCTAGCGTTTAGGGCTTAGGGTTCCGGGTTCAGCATCAGTGGTTTATGTGCCAGCTCCACCTTGTTGTGATATTGATATGAATGTCCTCGTCAGAACCAGACAAGTGCATACCAAAGTCAGGGTGGCAGAAAGCGAACCTCGAAAGTTGGCTTGGTCGCCTCAGGGTACCCATCCCGGTGAGTCCGTAACATATCCAAAGATGAATTTACCTTCTTGTGAATACTACATAGTTAAACAACACACACACACACAACATTTGGAACACCACAGTGGACCGCTATTTGCAGCAAGTCCAATTACCACCCGGATGATGCAGGCTAGAAGCCGGAGGAAAGATCTCGTGCACTAATTTAACGCCCTCTGGTTCCTTATAAGATAGTGAGTAGCTGTGCTAAGTATTTAGGTTCCATGTTCTGCCTATCCAGAAGACGTAAGAGACATCTCGAGGAGTGGCAGGATTTTCTTTGCGGCCTCTCCTTGCGAAAGAAGAACCGAGAGTTGCAACAGGAAGAAAGAAGGCAGATGCTCGTCTGCAAGATATGGGTTTTAGACTTAAGGGTTCTGAGAGCTGATTTCTAGCCTGGTGTCGTTCTGCTTTTAGCTTCCGGGCTGATTTGAATTCGGTTCGACCCCTTTTTTTCGAGACTTCACGCCACCTCAGGGCGTCCGAAATCTAGCCAGTTGCCTTGTAAACCCAAACCCCAGTAGATGCGGCTCGGACAGTGTAGTCACGCGTCGTCGTGTCGTGACGTTTCAGGGTTCTATGCCACCATGGAAAGACAATATCCCTCCTATAATGTCGTATCATCAACATTCTCACCATCACTTGACTATCATCGTCATGGTCTTTATCAGTACTTAAAACTATCAATCCGGTTGCCGTTGTCATTACATACTTATTATTATCCCGATCTGATACTTTATTCACATTATGACTTTCAGAATATTAATACAATACAACACATACAGCTGCTGAGCCTGGGAATTTTAGACGGCACTTAGTCCCGAACCCTACACCCTAAACTCAATGACCATGTTGACGACCTGGACAATGAGGCCTCAAGCCTAAACGCAGCCAGCAGCTGTAATTATGCATGACAACGTCCACAAGACACTGGCTGCTAAACCCCAAAACCTGTAACACCAATCCCCTAAACTCTAAATCCTCAACTCCCGAAGATCCTTCTCAACCAAGCCGGGGAGCAGTTCAAAATCGATGCGAGGACTGCTCTCCGCCTGCACAACCTTAGTGGCTCGCGCGCCGAAGCCCGAAAAGTCGCGGGGCACTGTGATTGCTATCGTTTGCAATATGCACAGAAGCAATACTACAGAGCAATGTTCTTGTTGTTATCATGGCTAACATTTTTACTGCTAGTGTTCATGTTCTTTTGCTGATTTTTCTTGTCATGATTAGGACCGACTAGAAATGCAACTGCAATTGTGGTTGCTACTAACCCTCGACTGCAGGGTGCTTGTAGTTTTGGGGTTTGAGAGGTCGCATTACCACTAACACTATCGGAATTACTATGTGATTGTTATATGCTGAGTATTATGATTGTTGTTATTTGTCGTGTTACTATTGCTACTCTACGTCTTCCTCCAGCATAGCTTCGCCCGTCTCGTCACCATAGACCCAAACGGTCTAAGTAGCAGTATAGTATATGTGGCCCAAACATCTACCAAGTAGCTAAACATTTTGGCAACCCCTAAACCTTAAACCCTAAATTGACGAATTATATTGGCACTTGGATCCTTTGGGAGAGTTGTTTCGCGAGGAATCCGCGTGAAAGCTGTTCTGCTCCCGCTCTGAAGGGTGCAAGGGTTTTTGGGGTATCATGCTACGTACCTGCCTGGCATTGTCTAGGTCCTTCAACGGTGCTCGGGGCGAGAAACTCGAAATCGCACTGCTTCGTTGTTTTTTGCCTTCTTGCAGCGGCGAATTCGAAAGAACCTGATTTGATCAGGACACAAGATGAAATTTCAATGGGTTCAAGACATAAAGCAGATGTGAGCCTTGTTTCTCGGGCGAGGCCGCTGTAGACTGTAGGTGCATGGTACTGCATGGTCTCTGAGCCCTCGAACCCTAAGCTCCGCAAACTGCGAACCCACAAAACCACGTAGGCCCCTGTAAATCCCGAAGCCCCGAAACCCCTTCAACTGCATTTAGCATTGAGGCTTGGTCCTTCGCGCTGGGCTTCGGGAAGCCTCTCCCAGAGAGGTCCGAGAATCCAGGCCATTCCTAGGGTTTCTCAGAGAGCCCAAGACCCCTTCGCTGAATATAATCCTCACACTACCTGGGGCCTCTAGTATGATGTGGCCCTAAATCCTAGACCCTAAACTCTAAACCCTAAAGCCCCGAAGCCTCATAAGCCCTAAAGCCAGGAACGTCCATAATCACTCCCGGACTTTCCTATGTCATTCTAGCGGTTCCTTCAAGGGACACTTTAAGGGCTCTTGTTTCACAGTTCTGAGTTTTGGGGCATCGAGGTTATGTCGGAGGCTTGGGTTCAGGATTTTGCGGGCTCAGGGGACTGTTGGGTTGCAGGGTTTAAAGTTTAAAGGTTCCCCATACATCCCTAAACCACAGCATGGGGGACAGATGTATAGTGCTCTTCTCCTGAGATGGCATCTATATACTATATGAGCAACATCCCGAAACCCAAACCGCAGTTCCTACCGTTTTAGAGCTCAGGGTTCACGGTTTGTGCTTTTCAAGCCCGGAACAACCCAAAAGCACAAATCCCGTTCACGAATGGTGCTGTGTTCGACCCAGAATCGACCCAAAAACAAAAATTCCGTCCGCGGATTTTGTGCTTTTCGACCCAAAAACCGACCCACAAGCACAAATCCTGTCCACGGTTCTGCGCTTGTCGGCCCAGAAGCGATCGACCCAAAACCACAAATCCCGTCCACGGGTTTTATTTATGCTTTTCACCCAACATTGCGCTAAAAGCACGAGTTCCGTCCAGAGGTTTTGTGACAGTTTTGTGCGTTTCGGCCTAAAAGCGACCCCAAAGCAACAACCCCCAAATCCCGTCCGCGAGTTTTGCGTTTTTGGGCCCAAAGGCACAAATCCCGTCTACGGGCTTGGTGTTGCAAAGCACAAGTCCTGTCCTGGGGTTTGTGCTTTTCGGCCCCGAAACAACCCAAAAGCACAAATCCCGTCCACGAGTGGTGCTGTTTTCGACCCAAAAGCATAAATCCCGTCCACGGGTTTTGTGCTTTTCGACCCAAAAGCGACGCAAAAGCACGGATTGTGCTTTTCGCCCCCCAAAGCGACCAAACAGCTTTTAACGACCCAAACCGCGGCGCATTCGGGAGCCTAGATCGGGGGGTTTGCCTTTGAGCATTTGCTCGGCCGCTTGGCTCAAAAGAAAATCACCGAATGGTGGTTTGTTTTATGAGCTTTTTTGTCGGGCTAGCCCAGAAGCAAACCCCATACTCGAGCCGAGAACGGTGGTTTGCTTTTGAGCATTTTCTCACGCTGCTGGCCCAAACACCCCCAGTCTGGAGCCGAGAATGGGGGTTTTTGGGTTGTGGCGTTCAAAACCAAGCCTTTGAGGCTGGAGGAGGCCAAGGGGGGGAGCCTCCGAAGCAAACAAACCCCTAAACCCTAAACTCGTAATTACTCCCTAAACCCTATAATCCTTAAACAAACGGAACCAGCAGCTCCCAACAGCGGCTCTGCTCTGCAGGATCCTGGGCAGAGGTGGCACTGGGCCGGCTGAGATTTCGAGCGACCGTGGACTTGAACGATGTTGACCAAGGAGCACATCAACATTTAACTCACCTGCCAACTATAGCAATTGGTCTATATGTATATGTATGTGTGTATATATGTATATATATATATATGTATACGTACATACGTGAGGTTTCATCGAAGTGAGCTGCATTTCAATGTGCTGTATTTTTGTGTTTCCTACTTCTGCTGCACGATATAAATGAAGGACACTACCGACCAGAATATTCTTGACAGAGATGCTCCAGAACAGCCCTCGCGAATTCGCAGTCGCTTCGGAGCAACCCAGAGACCAGGGATGTTTTGGGGCCTTGTGGTCTTCGGTTCTTGTGGTTTTGGGGCCTTTGGGTTTGTGCGGGTCGCCCCCTTGGGTCGACATTCGGGTGATGTGGTGCAACAATAAGGTATAAGAGCAATAACCGTATTAATGACTCCGGCAAGACCGGCCCAGACTTGCCAAATATCTCTGAATACAGGATTAGACTTGAAGTCATAGTCGGACCCCTCATATGGTTTAAGGTACGACCTGTTACACCCTAAACCCTCAAATAAAGAAAAAGCCCTAAACCCCTCGAGCCCTGAGCCCCAAACCCCTCAGCCCTAAACTAAGCCCTTAAACCTTAAGCCCTAAACCCCTGAACCTTCGACTCCGATTATATACATCCTCAGCCTTAAAATGAATAGAAGCCCTGAGCCCTTCAAACCCTGAGCCCCAAACCCCTATAAGCCCTAAACTAAGCCCTTAAACCCCAAACCCTAAACCCCTGAACCTTACTTGGAGGGTCGGGGGACTTAGTAAGTAGGTAGTAAGTAGACTTACAAGTACCCTAAAAGGGACCCTAATTGGGGTTATGGTACTTATAAGTCCCTAAAATATCCAGTTACTAAGTCCCCTAAACCCTAAACCCTAAACCCTTACAGAATCCCTATAGATCCCTTAAAGGGGCCCTTAAGGAACCCCTTATAGCTACTAAGTCCCCCGACCCTCCAAATAGACTCCCGGAGGACCCGGCTGTGCCTCTCAAGCCTTGCACTTGGGGGTTGCCGTCTGTGGAACTCATCTTTGGGCGGGGCTGACCTTGGCGATGCTCCAAAACCAGGCGCTGATGGTAATAGTAATACTAAAAAATACTAAAAATAAGAAGAATATTAATATGACGAAAAACAAGTTTGAGAGATTAATACTAATAGCAACAGCTAGTAGTAATATTACAAATAATTTGTTTCTCTAGGGCGGTCCGATGGCTAACCTTCAACCCCTACTGACCCAAAAGCCCCAAAATGCACGGCCCGCCCTGCAATCGTCAAACCTTCAACGCCGAATCCCAAAACCTGAATCCCCAAACTGGGCTTCGGGAGTCAAGGGCGGTAGGCATTTGGGAAACCCTACACGCTGAACTCTAAACCCTGTTTGAAGAAGGAACAGGTTTGCCGCTCAGGAATTGGGGGCTCAAGGTTTTGAGTGAGGGATGCCTGAACCCAACGAGGTGCACCGATGTTTCTTAAAGAAAGAGTAGTATTGATATTGCTGCGGGTGTTGATTGTTATCCGTTGCAAAGTTGTGTTGTTTGCTCCGTGTAGGCTCAAAGTCCCAACACTCGAACTTCGCGCTCTTCCCCCCTAAACCCTGCAAACCCTAACCCTAGACCCTGAACCCCTAACCCCCTTAGCCCTAAACCCTTAGATCTTGAACCCCTGGACCCTGAACCCCTAAACCCTGAACCCCTAGACCCTGAACTCCTGAACCCCGAAACCCTAAACCCCTAAACCTCCAAAGAATAAACCCCAAAACCGCTCAATCCGTGAAGGCCCTGCCCAGTGCGGTGCAAGCCGGCCGTCGGTGGGTGGAGCTGCTTCTGGGGTCTTGTTTTAGGAACATAGTGTAAGTTGATGTAATTATGTTTCTGTGTGTATATACATAACGTATTCAGCATATGTCCACATATGTATGAAAGTACATATATATATATATATATATGTATGTTCATTCCGGCCGGACTCGACGCCCCTCCCAGACATGCATGCCATGGCCCTCCCTCTCCGCGTACCGGGCGTGATGTCCGGAGGCCAGGCTGAGGTCGACCCTGCTACTTACCACAAAGGGTTGCTTGAGGCTCTTCTTGCCCTCGACCGTGTTGACTGTGACACGGCTTGGAGTGTCATTAGGGACTTCATCGAACCCCTTTCGACACTTCGCGCCACGGTTGACTTGTGGGCATCCACACCGGGCGTAGCTCACGATGTGGCAGAGGTAGCAGAGGACGTGAAGCTTATGCTTGATCCGCAACTGTGTTGTGATGACTTTCGTGCTTCTCGCGTGTCGGGGGGGAGCACGGATCCCTTTGAGGAGCTCGACTGGCGGCCGGCTTGTCAGCTCCCCTTCATCCTGTCTGGGGTTACGGCCGTTTTCCGACTCGAAGATCCCCCGCTCCAGGGATACGTGTATCCCTTTACTTGCAGCCTGCCTTTGGCGGCGGCGTCGGGGTTCATGCGCTGGCTTGAGTCCAGTTGCGATGTTTTGGGGAACTTCGCTCAGACTTCTGCGGCACACCCGGTGAGGCTCCTCGCCTCGGCCGCTGCACTGGCAGCGCTCGAACCGGCCAACGCTTGGCTCCTGCGCGCGGGCTTTGTACAGACCGCCACGGGCCTCCGTTCGCCGAGTTCTTGAGCCCCAGTTTCTCACCGTCTCACAGAATTTATGTGCATGTGGCGCGTTCACCGAACACAAGCCATCCGAAAGAAAGAATATATATGTATGTACTCAGTTGTAGTATAGTTATTTGATAGCATGTCGTTAAATAGTAATTAGTGAACTTCTGTTCTTCTGGCTTTTCAACTCAGCTCCCCGAGAGCCCAGGTTTGGACATGGTTTCCGGGCTACAACCCTGTGACCTGGATGCGGGCTGACCCCGAACCTTCCACAATATCCCTTTTGGGGGTTTAGGGCTGTTGAGGGGTTGCGGGTGTCCAATATTCTTCAATTAAGGAATATCCCTTGAATCACAGTAGGGGTCCTACTATAATTTAAAGGTATGTTCCGTGACAAAGGTAATCTTGGAAGGTCTGGGACGATCATGGGTCTCGCAGGGTCTGGGGCTCATGGCAGTAAAGGAAGCTTGCGCACTTTCCTTGCATTGGGAGCTTGCAGGCAGCTTCCAGGCGCCGGAGCTTTCAAGACTCGCACTTCTGTAATTAAGAGAGGAGTCGGAGTAATGGGTTCCTCACAGTCCCGGGCACGATTACAGTCCCCACTCCAGCTGCTCAGGCCCTATATGTTTCTACCGATAGGAGTAGAGGAAGCAGAGCTTGGATTCGTTATTGCCTGCACTCTGAGTTGAGGAACCTTGCAACCAAGGCGACGTATGCTTGATCTTCCTGGCTTCAGCAGCTCGCCTGCGCTCAGTGTTAGCCACTCCATGACTGCGGCAGGCATCCCTCCCCGTTTGCTTTCTTCCGCCTTTGCATGCGTGCAGAACACATATGTGTGAATTACATGTAAGTAAGTAGTTGTATGTTTGTGTGAATTGTTTCAGACTCACCTGCACAGTCACACCCGCCCAGCCTCATCGATTTCGGGCTTCGGTTTTGATTGGTCAGAAAAATCCGAGCTTAGAGGCTCTTAAGTTGTAAGTAAACGAAGAATTACCTTATCATTGCAATCGTACATACGGATGCTAGCACGTACCTATCATCTACATGCTACGATCCCTTGTCTTGGAGTCTTGGAGTGGATCGCTAAACCCTCAAGCCCCAACCATTAGATTTAGGCATGTAGGGAAGCAGGACAGTTATTGAGGGTCACTGTGGAACTGCGTACCCCAAGCCCAAGTTCGTAAACCCTGAGGGGGTGCAGGGGTGGCGGGGGAGTTTCACAAACCCTTTCGGCCTGAGAACCTTGAAGAGCATCCCCAAGCCTTGCGCGGATTCAGGTCATCGTCTTGGCCATACATGCTATAGACACTGAAGACCTGGACACTGAGATCCCTGAAAACCCCGCCAAGACCACACACCTGAAGGTGATCTCTTCCTGCTCTCCATGGTGAACTCAGCCGACGCATGGACTGTAGCACAGGCACATATGCATTCACGGCTTGTGCTGCCCGGATCAGCTTGGGGCTTTAATCTATGGTTTGGGGTACTGGAGGGTACGCTCACTGCATGCCTTGTTTTAGCTCATATGTTCTTGGGCACGCCTTTCGAAGGTGGCAGCAGGACTGTCGTCGGTGGTATGATTTCAGATCCTACACGAACACATCTGTTACCTTGCAGTCATTTTAGCCTAGGGCTCGGTTTTCGTGTTCGGGGTGACCCTAAACCCTAAACCCTAAACCCCTAAACCCTAAACCCTAAACCCTAAACCCCTAAACCCTAAACCCTAAACCCCTAAACCCCTAAACCCTAACCCCTAAACCCCTAACCCCTAAACCCTAAACCCTAAACCCTAAACCCCTAAACCCTAAACCCTAAACCCCTAAACCCTAAACCCCTAAACCCTAAACCCTAAACCCCTAAACCCTAAACCCTAAACCCCTAAACCCTAAACCCTAAACCCTAAGATTCGAAGAAGCCCGGGAGGCCCTGCACCCTGCAGCCAGCGCCATGGGGTCCTTCATCGCTCCCTCTGAGACTTAGACAGCCAAATTGGAGAACTTTGAATTGTTTTGGGCCTTGTACATTCTTGAGTCTATCAGGGAAAGATTGAACCTATTTGGGCCCGGTTATTGAAGAAAAGAGGAGAGCCATCCGCAAAGCATGACGCTGCCTTGGGCTTTCGCGGACTCGGATGAGGTTGCTAAGCTGAAACAGTGAGGACCAGAGCTCTCAAGGTTCTTTGTTTGGGAGCGCAGGTTGGAGGTCAAGGGCTTTGAGTTTGGGAGATGGTTGCGGGGTTATGTGCTTTGGGAAGTTTCAGTGAACCCTCTGAAACGCTATATTAAATCCCTCATGTCTGCTGAAATCACTAGGAGCTTTTTTCTGCTGGGTTTGGGGGTTAGACTGTGGGTTATTGTAGTCTTTTCAGGGTTTACGCGGTTTGGGGTGTATAGGTCTGAGGGCCTTAGAAAGTTGTTGAGGTTCTCGATGGCCAGCTTCTCCGGACGCTGCTGGGTGGGCAAGTTGTGGAGCTCGTGGCTGTCCCGTGGCAGTTGAATGGTCTCAGTTCTCTTAGAATGAGGGTTAGGGTTTAGGGGTTTAGGGTCTTAGGAGGTGTGATTAAGGTGTGATGTTGTGTTGTAGTGGCTTGTGAATGATTTTTCATAAGGACCTTAATATGTCTGTTAGGCATGTTGGTTTTTGGTTGTAGGGGCTTAGTGGCCTAGTGTTTTGGGTTTTGGGCATTGGAGGGTTTTGGCGCTTAGGGGTTCACGGGGTATACGGTGTAGCGGTTCGGGCTCTAGGGGGTTCGAAGAATTGGGATTTGGGGTGCAAGTGTTTTGGTGGTTGGGGTCTGGATTTTTGAACTGCTTCGGCTTTGCGAGGGCGCTGCGTAACTTTAGTTCAGGCTACCACATGAACCTGGGATCCCGATTGTCAAAGAGGCTCCAAGTATCCGAATAGTAGGGTTTCAAGGTCCAAAAACCATTCAGAGTAGGGATTTTGGGACCTGAAACCCTACTGTTTGGGTACTTGGACCTTCTGGGTGTGGTATTTGCAATGAAGTTGCTTCACAGGACCCCAGGCTTATATTGCCGTCATCTCTCGGGATGTTCCCGCCGACAGATAGCTGAACCCGAAACCACGAGCAACGAACTCCTAGAGATTTAAATCTAAACTTCAAACCCGCATCCCGAAATTCCTGAACCCGAAAATCCTAAGCGCTAAGCCCTACAAGGTCCATGTCGCAGCATCCACAGCCGGGCTCGTCCGGCGAATGGTCGAGCTTTTTGGGGTGCAAGAAAGATTCGCACTGTGTACTCGTAAGGCCACTGTGCTTGTTGGTCATGAACGTAACTGCAGCCAGAAGCTTCAACTCTGAAGCACGAGCTTCTAAGACAGGATTGTGCACAATTGAAGGCCCGGGTTTATTCATCGGGGTCTACAGGACACGCTTGCCAGTACATGCAGAACCTATACAAGGTTGAGATACCCCCTGCAGTCTATTTCTTATTTTACGGCGCACTGAATGAGAGGCCCGCATTTTTCAGACTAGCGACAAAACAGGGTACCCTGAGAAAGATCTGGTGTGGTAGGATCGCTGCAATACATGAACTATTCGCTTTTCAAAACGCCAAATCTGACTAAGCTCACCCTAATTAAACAATGTATACCTTTTAGACATTAATTAAATCCTAGAACCCCATACCCCGAACCACCCAGCCAAGGCTCAGCCTCCACATCGTGAGCCAGACGACGGTCCTCTGCTTCCTGGACGAAAAGCCTCCACTGGAAATGGGCGCGATGGGTTTCGAAGTGGCTTCGGTCTTGACTCAGGAAGCGATCTTGCTAGCCTTATACAATTTTGTAGGGGCCTGAATAATTACCAAGGCTATGCCTATACTTATCATGCCGCAAGACTCTCAAGACCGTATTTTGACTATAACCTCCAAAGTAAAGGGTTATGTAGAGCTGTGTTGCTGAAGAGTGTTGTACTTTTTTGTCAACGATTTTAGGGTTTGCGTGAGTTACCTAAACCCTAGGTGGTAGTCCCTTGTGTGGGGTAGCCTGTTTATGGTTAGGAGTCTATACAAGACACTCCTAGGACCTAGAGTAGGCCCTTCCCTTTTGTGGATCAGGTTCCCTTATAAGCCCTTTTACACCAAAAAGGGCACCCTCTGATTTTCCTAGGTTACTCTTGGGTCTAGACTGCGGTATCACCAAGACAAGTTCCGCGTTTTGGCGTCTAGGTCGGGTGGTTGTCAAAAACTATGGTCCCTTTTTGGGTCCTTGTTATAACACGGCACCTACTATTTAGGATACCCAAAAAGGGACCCTAATTTTGACAACTACCCTCATATAGGTCCCTGAACCCTAAACTGTAAGCCCGATGCTCTACCTAACAGGTATTCCGACTGTAGCAGGGAGGAAAAGGGCCCGCAAAAAAAAAAGCCCGATGCTCATGGATTCAGGATCAGGGCTTCAAAAGTTACGGCCCTCGCGCGGCCACCTTTGGAACATTGACAGAGCCCCTAGAGGAGCCCGTCAGGGCTTGGCTCAACGGTTTCAGGGTTTGGGGTTTAGGGTTTGGTTTCCTTATACAGTTCTTGAAGTGGTAGGTTGTTTGGGTTTAAGGTGGAGCTTAGGCTTCCAGATCTAAGCTCCAAACCAGAGCTTAAACCCGCTGAACTCTAACAGTTCACAGCTGCCCTAAACCCTAACCCCAGACCCTAATTAACCCTTAAAGCCGAGAAACTTCTAAAGACGCAATCCACGACGATCCCCCCAAGCCTGTAGTCTTAAGGCAGTCCCTGCTCCCTCGCTGCTCCCCGACGCGTCCGGCTGCTACCGGATTGCTGGGCTTCAAAGAAAGCCCTTGGCAGCTCGCCCTTCTTCGCCGGGATGCTTTCTTTCCAAGGGTAAAAGGAGGGACCCTTAATAAGGGCCCCTAGGTATATACCCTTAATATAGCCATTATATACCCATTATAAAGCCCATTATAGGCTAGGGGTCCCCATTAAGGGTCCCTCCTTTTCCCCTTTGATTCTTCTTGGGTGCTGAAGGAGGTTAAGGGCCGGGGCTTGGGGTGAGGGGGTTTCGTGGGCTTGTTGGTATGTCGAGGTTATGGTTTAATTTAGGGCTGTAATATTGTGATTCATGTTTCGTCTGTTTTATTGTAAATACTCGGCTTCAAATTGGCAGACGAGATGTTTGCGAATTTGGACTTAGGGTTTCGGATTGCAGTTGTCGGTGTATTCCCCTACGACATTGGTAGGGCATGGCCTAGTTTCTCCCGTACCTGCATGAGCCGTAGCACAAGCTTTGCAGAAACAAAGGGGCCTTGGCCGGAAACCCCCAACCAAAGGCCACTCATTGACTCATCTCCAGTTCAAGGTTCAGGGTAGACGCTAGTAAGGCAAGGACGGCTAATTCATAAGGTGTTTTTACAGCACAGGGTGACACTGTTTGAATTATGTTCCAGTAGCTTCACGCGGATTCTGATACGTCCTAACAGTCATTAAGAAGGCTCCAGTGCTATGAGCCCTCAAACCAAGCCCGAATCAACAACCCTCTAAACGCCTAAAGCCTTAGCAAGTAAACCCCGAAACCCCTAAACCTGAACCGTTATCACACCTCAACATGTGAAAACTATTCTTGGCCTCCCAGCGGAGTTCGGACGAATCCACCTTGCCAAGGCTTTCCCAGGAGTTCGCAAAGATTCGATCTTCCGTTTCGGGAAGCATTTGCAGGCCCGGCAGAAGGTCTCTGAGCAACCTGGGGGAGTAGGGTTTCTGGTTTTGCTTGGAGCTTTTAGGACCTTTCAGGGCCCTGGTTTTGCAGGCCCGACAAAAGGCCTCTGAACAACATGTTTTTTTTGCCTTTCAGGGTCTAGGTTTTAGGGTTTGCGGGTGTTGCTGGCTCCAAGGACGTGAACACCAAGCCCTCCAGCACATAACTTCCTTAGACCCTATAAAGTCTAGAGCTCCCCACTGAATTCGTTAACGTAAAAGACATTCCGAAACAGCTTGCACACCCTAAATCACCTAAAAGCGCAAAGCCGTAAAAAATTTAAAAACCAAAAGCAAAGCCCTAAGCACCCCCGAAAGCTCGCCGCAGCCCTACAGTTGGGCTTAAACAATAGCCTTGAGCCCGACAACCCTAGAGCCCTACACACAAAGTCCTATAGAAACCTGAACCACGTTCAAAAATGCCGCCAGCTTTCAGGGCAGCGTCCCCGTGGCCTCGTTGCTTGGTGGCCACCTGAGAGTCTCTGCGCCGAGGATTTTGGGACTGTGATGCTTGTTTTTGTTGTGAGCGGCGGTGGATTGGGACTTTGGCGGCGGATTCCTTTAGGGTTCCTCGAAAGGGATCTATAGGGTGACTATCAGGGTTACTTTCAGGTTTAGGCTGGTCCAGGTTTTAGGGGATTTTCGGTTTGATCCGAAGCCCGAAGCTCCTTCAGACGCCTGGATCTCATCCCTACGAAACTTATTGGAACCCTTATGAATGAAATGGTTTAGGGTTTAAGGTGTAGCTCTTTTGAATCTATAACCCGCTTCAGTTGGCTCCCATTTTGAGGCCGCGACGACCCTGACCCTTGACTGAAACCTTTAACATCCCTTAACCTTTACCAGACCTGAAAGGTTTCTACGACTCCAAGTACACAACTAGTCCCTCTTCGAAGGGGTCTAAAGTCTATAAATATAGTACCTGCGTTCAAAAACTCGGAGCCTTAGCGGAACACCTGCCACCCCTAAACCCCCTAACCCCCCTAAACCCCACACCCAAAAACCCTAAACCCCCTAAAAGCCTAAACCCCCAAAGCCTCCACACCCAACAGCCCCCTAAACCCCCTAAACCCTAAACCCCTAAACCCTAGCCCAAAAACCCCTAAACCTAAACCCCCAAAGCCCCCACACCCAAAAACCCCTAAACCCCCCTAAACCCCCTAAACCCCAAAACCCCACACGCAAAAAACCCTAAACCCCCTAAACCCTAAACCCCTAAGCCCCCACACCCAAAAACCCCTAAACCCCCTAAACCCTGGCAGGATCTGGCTTGAAGTCGGCTGCAACAACTGGGAGATGTTGCTCGAGAGCCTCCCCGAGGATCGGACTTCTTAGGGCCCTTTTTAGCGCGTTTTTCGGGTCTGGGGCGCTGCTGGGGTTCATGGGGCTTAGGGTTTATAGTTTATATGCTTGTGGGTTTTAGGGTTGTGGGGTTTCAGGGTTTGGGCTTTGTGCGGTTTAGGGTTGTAGGGCTTGGAGCGTATAGGGATTAGGGCTTATAGAGTTTAGGGTTTGACTTGAGGATTACAAAGGGCTGCTTCCATGCGCCAGGTTTGAATCATGACGAGTAGCGTTCCGTTTAAGCTCCCTAAGATGGTCATATACCTACAGGCCCCATAGTAGTTCCTTTTTGGGATTGCCTTATAGGATTCTACATATGAACCCCAACAAGGTACTACTATGGGGCCTATCGGTAATGATATACTCCATGCAAAACCCTATGCTCGGAGGTTTGTTGAATTGCTGGGGACGTGGGTTCTATAAGGCTCTCACAGGGGTCCTATACGACATTTCACCTATTTGGGCCGTACAGGGCTTGGATAGAGTGTTTTTCACTGTGTCAGTTTGAGTTTCAACGTCTGAATTTGGGGTGAATATTTCCATTCCTTGGCAATCCGTCCACACGACTCTCTGCCGCAAGGCATGTTCAGGCGCTTGCAGTAGCTGTGTCAGACGTTTTAACCCTGCTACCAGGACGGTTCAGTGTTTCTGCTCACCCTGGAGCCCTTGGTGGACAAGTTCGCTTTTCTTCGGGCACTCCGTCGTCCCCATCACCTGGTGCTGCCCTTTGCAGTGGCCCCAAAGATCATGGGCCACTTCTCCGCCATCCGCTCCCAGAACTACAGCGCCTTTTGACGGCGTTCATGTCAAACAGATTTTAGGGCTGACAGACGTTTCATGACCACCACCAACTCCCCCTATGAGGTATAGAATTGTTAAGGCAATAAAGCTCCAGCATGACTACGATGAATGCAGTTGCTCTCTTAATTCTGGTTACGGGTTCCGGAACTGCCATGGGCAGTCCTTGTTGCGGAATCCCGCAACTTGGCGAATGAGTATATTCCTGCTTGTTTTTACTCTGGCTCGAGTCGATTTCTTGTCTTTCCCTTCAGAGAAGAGCTCATGCTTGATCGTTGAACTTGCAGTTGCCCTCTGATTCTGCATGTTCTTGATCTTACCATCCCTGTGGCTGCTTCTGCGACTTCGGAAGTTTTCTTTTTGTACCAGCTACTCTTCTATTCTACCAAGACTATGCACGCATGCGTTTGACAAATTTGTCAATACAATAAAAAACACTGCATTTAATGCACTTGAGTCTCATCCGAGAGATCTAGAAGCTCCCACCTCCGAGAGTATAGGCGAAGCCCGCCTAAACCCCACGGTTTAGGGTTGAGGGTTTGGGGTTAATTCGAAGCCTTACACCTCTGCCCGGTACCCAAGCCCGCGCATATCCGAAGCCCCAAAACCCAGAATCCCCAAACAAGGACTTCCGTGGTCGTCCCGGCGCCCGCTTTCAGGAGAGTGGCGCCAGTTCTTTGCTGAGCTATGCCTCCGGGCCCCCAGACTGGACTTTCGTAGTTTTCTCAAGTTGAGGGCCTTGAAGGGTTCCCCAACGTTTCTACAGGGGTTCGCTGAGCGTTCTGTTATAAGGTTTCTACATGTGGATTTCGCGGTTTGATTTTAAGGATTTCGGTGGTTTACGTATTGCTTCTCAAAGGTTAGGGTTTGAGGTGTAGATTCTTGAGAACAGCAGTGAAGGACTCAAAGTTCTGTTTTGTGTGAGTTCCTGGGCTCAAGGTGAGTGATTTATGATTTACAGTTCTGGATTCAAGGGTTTGTTCTGACTCAGAAAAACGCCCTGAATCCTGCCAGGTTCCGGGACCATCAGTGGGAGGGAGCTGAAGCCCAGTATGCCAACTTCCGGGAGTATTTGGCTCCTTTTGCTCGGCTTCAGTTTCAACAGCTTTTCTTTTGATGTGTGGTGAAGAACTGAGTTAAGAACTGCACTTCGTGGCATCGACTGCCTAAACCCTAGGCCCCATGCAAGTACCCCAAAAGCCCTCTAACATCCTCAAACCCTAGACCCGAAACCGCCGACTCTTGATTGAAAGAAAAACTAAACCCCTAAACCCAAAACCCTTAAACCCTAGACCCCTAAACCCGAAACCCCTAAACCCCTAAACCCTAAACCCCCTTAAACCCCTAAATCCCTAAAGCCTGAACCCCTAAACCCTAAACCCCAGACCCCAAAACCGTAAAGGTTCCAACGGTGTCCCTGGAGTGGGTGGTCGGAGCCCTCCTCGGGGACCGCGAGGTGGAGTTTCTGAAGATCGATGCCCAGGTTAGGGACCCAAAAAGCATCACTAATTAGATGACGAGGCATTTGGCTACCTTAAGAGAGTCATAGTTACTCCCGCCTTTTACCCGAGCATTTCATCGGGATATTCCTAGCTTGCTGGGCTTCCTTTTAAGGGAGTTTATATGGGATATCCCTACCTTATTGGGCTTCCTTTTAAGGGAGTTTATATGGGATATCCCTATATACCTTATTGGGCTTCCTTTTAAGGGAGTTTATATGGGATATCCCTACCTTATTGGGCTTCCTTTTAAAGGAGTTTATATGGGATATCCCTACCTTATTGGGCTTCCTCTTAGGGGAGTTTATATGGGATATCCCTACCTTATTGGGCTTCCTTTTAAGGGAGTTCATATGGGATATCCCTACCTTATTGGGCTTCCTTTTAAAGGAGTTTATATGGGATATCCCGATCCTAATTTTGGCTTATGTGTTTTTTTGGGGCCTACCAGGGCCTGGACTTCGGGGTCTTCTCATCCCTGGGGGACTTCGCGGATCGCGTGCGGCGGGTGCAGATGCTGGGCTCTTGTTAAGGCACCTAAGTTAAGTTACTACAATTGGGGGCACCCCATTCTTTACTATAGATCCCTTTATTGCGGTAACTTAAATAAAATTCCTTAACCAGAACCGAGGATGGAGCTGCACCAACACATCAGGCACGACGGCGAGACACCCTGCAGCGAGGTCGTCAAAGCCATGACTCTGAAGCATGGCTTCGTGCCGGTGAAGGGGGCATGCGCGACCTTTGACCCCAAAGTGCACGACGAGACAGACATCGTTTTTGCAAAACCAGCTGACTTCTCGTGTCTAGCATAGCTATCTGAGTAATTAACTAGCAGGAGCATCCTCTTCTAGACCCTGACGGTGTAAGCATAGATGAACAGACTTTCAACTTTAGTCTAACTAGCAAGTCCCCGATAAAGCACTACCTTATGAGCGCCCTAGAAAAGCACGTCAACATCTATACTGTTTTAAGTGTTAAGGCCTTCATATCCGAAGCCTTTGGCAGATGCTTTGCGGTAAACCGCCGGTCTGGGAGCCATGCGGGGGAATCCTACTGATCTCGATTCGGTATCTAGGATTTAGGATTGTAGTTGTAGTTGCAAGATAGGTGGCATTGAGTTTTAGATGCCGATCCAGCCGATTTACATGAGGTTATCTCTTGATAGCATCAGAGAGGCCTACCCCAAGCCCCAAATCCTAGATGCCCGAAAGCCTAACATCAGCTCGATGAAATGCTATCATCTACTGTGGCCCAACTGGCGAGTAGGAACAGGGATAGCCTAACCTTTGTAAGTCTCCGGGTCCTTTGCGAAGCCTTTCCATGCCTGGCGTCACGGTGTCGCCGGCAGGCCCAGAAGCGAAAATTGATGTTGCACATGGCGGAGGGCGTTGCGCCCCTCTCCCAGCAAGATTGAAGGGGGTGAGATGCAGGGGCATTAGGGTAAGAGATTAGGGTTTAAAGGTTTGGGGTGAGGTCAAGGGTTTAGGCGTGACACACGGGCTTACAGTGTTCACGTTTTCTTCATTTTTCTGCAGACACCGCTTTGATGCCCATGTTTGGCTTGGACCTTGTGGACAGAAGCGTGTTGGCCCTGCCTCAATCGATGTTGAGGTATCTACATGGGCAGCGACCCCCGTTCGGCTGGCGCGATTCACGTTTTCGTCTCGGTTGCACACGGTGCTGAACATAGTGCTCCGTTTCTTCGAGCTCGATTAATTGGATGTTTTCAACGTCCACCAATTCCGTCATGATTCGAGAGCTTTCCCACACAGTTTTATTTACAGCTTACGGTAGAGGCATCCATACAACCTTATGAACCCCATAAACAACCTCTCCTGTAATGCCGCCCGAGGGAGCTGGGTTGAGGGTGTCCATGTTGCTACAGAGGTCTGCAAGCTAACAGGTGCTTTCTGTTTTATGCGTGCACGTGCTGCGCCCAAACCATGAACCCCGAACCCCTGTATTACGTGTGGGCGCCTGCCTCACCAAGCCGACATACTCAGTGATGAAGACCCCAACTTCATGCAGCACGAGACGCTGGCCGTTTGGGATTAGGGTTTAGGTTTGATTGTGGCTTGCTCCCCAAGTATCGTCACACCATTGTGTTCCTCTTCCTAACCGGCGGCTACCAAGCCTTCCAAACGGCCATGCGGACTCCCACACGATGTGCGGCCTTGGCAGGTTTGTCCACCGCGACCTCAAAAGCGCCAATGTAGTGCTGGATGAGGACCGTCTCATGCAACTGTACCACGAACGTCCCGAACTCAAAAGGCCCACATTCAAAAATTCCACACCCCCTATGTAAGACCTTTACAAAACACCCTTACAGCCCTAAACTCTGAAGGCCTTCAGCCCTAAACCATCAACAGCAGCCCTTACCGCAAAACCCAAGACTGAACGCAGTGCCTTCGAGGAGTTGAATGCAAGGCTTTGCGACTTCGGAATAACCGAGCCCGGCGCACAGAGAGGGAGAGAGAGAGAGAGAGAGCTAGCGTGAAGCATGCATTCAGGGTTTTGGGGGGGGTTTTGAGGGCAACAAGCTATGATGAGAGTTTGGAAATTCAGGGGGACCGGATGGATGCCTTGCCGGCAGCTTCGAGCATGGCATGGGCATGGGGATTGGGGCTCGAGGTGGAGATGGTTCCCTTAACTTTCGCAGATCCTTACGCCCCGCTACGTACTACTTACCAGCTCTAAACCCTGATCCCTACATCCGCCCTACAACGTAGGGGTCTGAAAATGTGTATTGATTTTCCTTTCCAATACTCGCCACCAGAAACACTCAAGGCCAATATATTAAGCTGAGCTGTATAGGATGTGTAGGCTATGCCCTTTCAGCCAAAGCATAACTGTCTAATACTCCGTGCACGACGCTTTTTGGATGTCCCGAAGAGGGGCCCTGCACTAGGATTCTGGGTTTGGGTGTTTAGGCTTTTGGGTATGGGGTTTGGTGTTTAAACAATATGGGGTTCTTTTACGCAGGTTTCTGCGTATGCTGAACTGAGGGTTTAGGCTCTACAGGTTTGTGTACGACATGAGCAAAATCATTCTCACTCCCTGGGTTGTTCAGTGACGCACGCACTTATTTGGCTTGATTTCCTGGGATCCGATGAAAATCTCACCAACCTCGGAAGGTGTATACTTTGGCTGCTGCCTCCACCCACAAGTCTTCTTTTTATAGACACTTGCTGTATGGCGGACGGTACCCAATACATATATATGTATATGTATATGTATATGTATATGTATATGTATATGTATATGTGTATATATATATATATATGTATGTAAATGCATATTTATATGTATTCGTATATGTATAGGTATATGTATTTGCATAGGTATATGTATATGTGTATATATACAAACATTTTCATACATTATATAGATATTATGTTCTAAGACCATGACCAAGGCCCATGGAGCGAACCCACATCAGCCGGCGCGCGGCGGAAGCTGGGTCACCGAGGTGGCTTGGGGTCTGGATTTTGGAGTGTGGGGGGGGGGGGGGGGGGGGGGGTTCTGATTATAGTTATAGTATACTGGGCCCCCAAACCCTATTCTAATTATTAAGGCCCCTATAGTATGGGTTTGGGGGTTTAGGGATTTTGTGCTTAGGGCACACATGGGTGCACCAGGACCAGCGGCCACATATTTGTACACGAAGTTGTAGGGCATTGCAAGCTCAATACCGTCGACCCCTCAAAGTAAAGCATATAGTATAATATAGGGAGTTGCAGCATTAGCAACACTATTATCATCCCGGTTCGATGTTTTGGAGGCTTGCTGTAAAGATCCGACGATGGGATTAGAAGGGCACTTGCAGAGCTGATCCAGGAGTTCCCATTTTAGGTCATGTCTCAAAGCGCTTCTGGGATAACTATCTGGCTCCGTTCCTTTCGCCTGAAGGTGCTAAACAGATATATGACTTGGTGGGGACAGTCGGAGGGAGTTTGTGCGTATGTTATAAGGTTTCATGTATCTATGTATGTAGTATACACTTAGGCCTCCAAGGCTATGTATTTTTTAAGACATATAAGTATATACTGTATAGGTACATGGAGCCTTAGGGTATGCAGCCTGACCAGATAGGGTGTTAAGGCCGTTTTCATCCCCGAAAGTTGCAGACGAAGTTTGCATCACTTGGGTTTGGGCATGCAGGGTTAAAATCGGGGCAGCATGGCATGCACTTGGGTGCAGGTATATGGCTCCAGAGCTGTTCGATGGACGTGCCAAACTTACCGAGACTTGGCTTTCCCTTGTAGAACTCGTCATCACGCAGTCGCTGGAATCCTTTCCTGTTGCAAGGCCTTCAAACTAAAGGGCCTGTACGGTATCTTAAGCTTACACAGGGGTATTATCAACTAGAATCGTCTATCCCAAGCCTAAGTATATGTATAAGGCGTGGCTACATTCGAGCCATCTGAAGATCCGAGGAGAAGTTGGACATTTGGGCCCTTGGCTGCCTCATCATCGAGGCCGAGATGGGTGGGCCGCTGCCGAAAAGCCGTAAAGCCTAAACAGGAGGGTCTAACCCTGATTGATAAGTTGAAAGCCCACCTAAACCCTTAGCCCCGAACCCTGCAACCTAAGTCGTATCAATAACTTCCCAGAGCCTAGATCCTGAAAATTTAGGGGCTGCGCCCAGGTGCGGGCAGCGCGAGCTGTTGTCAGAAACCCGCAGTATATAGATAAGTGCAACGTAGGCCCGAAGTGCGCAACTTGTGGGTGATCGTAGGCTCTCAGCCCCCGTCGGCCCCGCACCCCCCGTCCGCCGGACCCCGCTGATGCTCATGATGCGCGCCCTTTGGCGGCTTCCGCAACCCACTCAAAAACTTGGGAGTTATGACTTCGCGCCCACGTCGCGCCGCCGGCGCCGGTTGCGGGCGCCCGAGGGCTCATGATGCTCGCCGGCTCGCCTCCTGGGGTCGTCCACGGCGGCCCCGAAACCCGCCACACCGCGGGGAATGGCTGCAAAACGCGTGCGCGTTCCGAGACGCCTTCGGGCCAGGCCCCGCGCGGCCCGAGGGAGAAACGAGGGTCCGATGATGCGGGGTCCGGGGCGGGTCGGCGGCACTGTCGGTCGTGGCTTCTGCTTCGCAGACGAAGCTCATTCGTCTGAGCCATAGCTCAGTCCATACAGGGCAGCGAAGCGCTGCCCGATTTAAGAGCCTCTGGCTCAAGCCGCCGACCCCGTGGGCGACAGACCAGAAGCCGAATGCACTTGTACAGGCAAAGTCGTTTGGTGTCCGCGAGGTCAGGAGGTTTAGTTCTAGACATGCAACCTTAGTAATTAAACTTCCTGATCCTAGACCCTGAACCCGCACAAAAAAAGCATCAACCCGTAGGAACAAGGAGCACTTTGGAGCGGAGATGCCAAGATTGAAGAGGAAGAAGGGGGCAAGGCGGGTGGGGGGGGAAAGTGGTGTGATGCTTTTGGGGGCTTGGGTGCTGCTTGCAAACAGCCATGGGGTAACCCCCCCCCCCCTAGGTGCGCCCGGTTTGGATTTTCGGTGTGGGAGGAGGGAAAAAGGGAGGTTAACACCTCCAAGCCCATCGAAACCCATCCAACACGCCGCCAGGGTCGGCGGACCCAAGGCCTTGTGAAAGCCTAATCAGAACTATAATAGAACCTTCATAGGCCGTTTTATTGTTTCAGAAACTTGAAGCACCAGAGCCAACAACATGGGAGGTCTTGACGAGCCGAACACCACACGAGGAGTGCAGCAATATACAGCAGGCGCAGCAAGTTGAATTGTACCTTTTGCTTTTAGGGGGGTTTAGGGTTTAGGTTCGTGGGCGCTTTGGGCTCAGGGATTGTATATCGGTTTTTGAGTTTGCAAGGTCTCGACTTACATGTGGTTTGGGATTCGGTGGTTTACCGTGCAGGGGTCGGAGGCTTGCGGAGAAGAGATTTCATTGCTTTGGGGTTTAGGGTTTGGAGACGGGGTTGGGATAAGTCGTAGGTTCAAGGTTTTGAGTCTCGACTCTAGTGTTTAATTATAGGCCAAGGAAGTACGGCGAGTAGGTCCGCAGACCTTCCAACACCCCTTCATTAAGGATTTTACCGGAAGTTATAGCAGGACCCCTAATACAACACAGGGCACCTTCCTTAATTGATAGTGGAAGGTCTGGGCCGTGCGGTTCGGGCTTCAGGATGTAGAGAACCGGATCTGGTGGATGGAGTATGGTGTTGTGGTTTTTGGAAGTGGGGCGGGGTCCTACAGCCTAGATCCTAGAATCCCTATAAACCTGCAGTTTCGAGTACGCCTAAGGTGAGGCAACCGGTATGAACCCAGTCTGGAAGTCGGAAGGCCCGTAACTTCCCAATCCGGCAAGCGCTTACGAAGCCTCAAACTCAGATCCTAAAGTGCGAATCATGAGCCCGAGCCCAGCCGCAAAATTCAAGACCCCCGCCCAAGCGCTATAATCCCTAATGCCCTCAACCCCGAAAAGCCCTGCAGTATTGAAGTGCAAACACTGCCGGCCCCAGGTAGTGAAACTCTACAGTGTAAAGCCATCAGGCGACTCAGAAAGCCTTCGATTCCGAAATGGGTGTCACAAGCATCGTCCTAGCGGTAGTCTCATGATACATCGAAGCCTTGATTGTTGGCTGAGCCCACTAACCCAGCCCTCAAGAGGTTGCGACAAAGCTTCTCGTGCGAAATGAGGCCCCTTTTCAGGCAGGGCCACATGCTTGAATTCCTGACGGTTTTGCGTTTAGTTGTTGGAGTTTTGGCGTCTGAGTTTTGGGATTGCGGTATTCGCTTTCAGGCTCTAGTACCCTAATACCCTAAACTTCCTAGTGTTTGTGTCTCTCAGTATTTTAGGTCTGATGCTGTCGGAATTTGAGTATGGCCTCCCTGTAAAGCCATGACTCAGAAGCCTGAAGACCATGGGGTTTATGGTATAGGTTGGAGGCCGGAAGCAAGAAGCATATAATAGTATCCTCTCATGGTTCTAACATAGCCTACTTAGCCATTGGAAGAACGTTTAACTTTGTGCCTTGTTTGGCCAATCAGAGTAAGTTTGATTTTTTTCTGGGCTTGGCCGTTGAAGGAGAGAGATAGGGTTTAGGGTTTGCGTTGGGCCTCGAATAATTTGTAATAGGATCCCCTCATTGGTCCCCTGTTCCCATATGTAGTACTGGAACTAGCATATGTAGTACATATAACCATTGAGAACCTGAGTTGCATCTCAGCCTCTACTTGCCATAGCTGAAAACCCGACATGGCTTAGGGGCCTGACTAGCTAGAATCGGGGTCTGGTGTACGTGATTACGTTATACTTTCACGGAGACTTTGAGTGAATCCCTTTCGGCTTGCAGTTGTTATATTACCGGGACGATACCATCATGGCCTTGGAGCTACAGAGGCAAATTTCTTGTGCCTGCGCCGATGGCTGGCGCCCTCCGCGGTCGATCGAACACGTCCGCGCCTTCTTCAGTTCCGGTTAGCCTTTAGGGCGCGGTGATCCGCAACATTTCATGCTCTATAGTGCTATTTTGGGCTTCCTTATTATATATAATCATAGTATGATGGGCCCCAAAACCTATTCTAATTATTATGGCCCCGGTAGTAGAACTCGATACGCTGAAGGTTCCGCAGGTCATGTGTCACAATAAGACCCAAAAAAACGTCAGCAACATGCCTGGTTTCAGTTTATACATTTGGGGGGTCGTGGGCTCCCTGGCACATATAATTCCCTAAACCCAAGCTCTAAACCCAGAAGCACGGCAAGCTTACTTAGACTCCAAAGTAAGACCTAAACTTCCAAACCCTGAAACCTTTCCTGGAATTTGAGGGACCTGAGTTGAGAAATCACGAGCCCCCAGGCCCTTCTTATGTAGATCATCTTGAAGCAGTTTCACTCGAAGACGTTATCACCGATATTTGGCTCAAGACACAAAAGAAGCGTTATCATCACTGTGTCTTGGAATCAGAGATTGCCCTGCAATTAACTGGTTAACAGCCTCAGCTTTGCTTGGTGTAGGTAGTGTAGGAGCCTACCGACGCCATAGCACCTTCCATATTGCTCCCTTAGGGTAGAGCTTGAAATCGGAGTGTCATTGGTCTGTGAGAGACCTACCCGCCATTCCACATCTCTTTCCATATTTGCACTGTTATCTGTACTCCCCGTGTAGGTAGAGCCAACCACCGGGTAGAGTCTGTCCTTCTTTCACATTCTTGCCAACCTCTGCCCCTGCTTAGGCACCCAGCCAACAGGGAGCTTTCCATATTGCTGAACCACAGAATCATTAGTGTATGCCCACGCCTGAGGGTTGGCCTACGCTTTGGGAACGTGTGGTTTACTTCTTCACAGAGCTGTACTACGATATCCGAATCTTCATCCTAAGGAGGTTCTTTCCTGCATACTTGGCTAGACGCCAACGTTGGGTTAGAGTCCGTGTGAGGTTGCGCAGGCTTGTGCGTAATTTGCTTCGCTCCTTCTACAGGAGAGGTGAGCTCACGATTGCCTTGTATCGCATTCATCACGCATCTCATCCTAGGTACATAGACGACACCGCCTTTGTACCAATCTATCTTCAGGTTCCTCGTTATTTCCCATAGCTGTTGTTCGTGTCTCCACTTCGTGTGTCGAGTCGACGAGGCGCGCACTCTCTCCTCCGCCTGCTGCGTCGAGGAGACAGCTTGGACCATTCTCTAGGTACAGGGCTGATTCGGCAACTGCCAACAGCCCCTGCTATCCTCAACATCTTCCTTGACTTCCCGAACAGCCGGTGTCGGCACCTTGCCACCCGGAACACCCGAAATCCAATCACCTTGCCCAAAGGTCCGTTCACGACTTCAGGGTAGCAAGGCCTCGTGGTGATTGGAAGGATTAGCTGAGATTGAATCAAAGGTTCGATTTCTGGTTTCGGTTGATCTCATAAGATTTGGGATTCTGGAACAATCGAAAGCACTTCCACCTCTGCTGCCGTGTTGGCACACAGCCACCGGCCGCATCCTGGTTGGTTGTGGTTGGTTGTACTGTCGGTTGAGTGTGGTTTTCCGACGAAGTCACCTGCATCATCCGATAGGCCATCAGTTAAGCCAACGATTCTGGCATAGGGACAGTTAAGCCAACGATTCAGGCAAAGGGTAACATCAAGCCACAGTAGCGGCATTGGGGGATACATCAACTTCAAGCCACAGTTCCGGCACGGGGGTAAATTTGCAAGCCACTCTAACGGCACGGGGGTTTGCATTGGGACTTGGAGTTAATCGGCTTCCTCGTCTCACCCGTATATGCTGTCACCGGATCGCCGTGAAGAGCTTTTTGGACTTGCTGCGGCATTTGGAGCCGACACCCGCGCTTCTAGAGGTGGCCGGGCCGCCAACAATAAGCGCCGCTCACTTCATATAAAGCTGCTTCAGCTTTGGCGTGAGAGTTTGGAAAACCTCGCCGAGGAAGTATTCAACAAGCCTCCGGGGCAGGTGCCGGCATTGGCTGCCAAGTTCTTTAAAGTAAGCGCGCGGCTTACGCAGATCTCCGCGTCTGGGTACGTGATCTATAAGGGGACTCCTCTCCTTCCGAGGAGGAGGAGGAGGAGGAGGAAGAGTCTGACTCAGACTCGGTGTTGCAGGAGCCCGTTTCGCTACAGGATTTGGCCGAGGTTTCTTTGGATTCTTTGGACACTCCAGAGCGAGCAGAGCCAGCATCTTCATCCGCCGAGCCAGCTTCTTCATCTTCCCACTTGGGCAGCTCACTTGAGCGCAGGTCGCGATCGCCTTCTGTTCGTGACCAGCCTGACTTCAGTGTGCTAAGTGGTTCCGATAGGCTAAGCTCCGGTAGGCCGCTTCCTCCTGAACCCCCTTCTGCTCCTCTTAGACCAGCGCTAACGCAGCACATTTCGGCAACAGGTCCCACTGCTGCGCCTGAGATCCCAGAACGGAGGCCCAAGCAGAAGGCCAGGCCAAAGCAGCGTCCAGTTGAGCCGTCTGGTCCGCCGCCCAAGCCACTTTCATTGCTCCGGTGCGACGAGAATCCACTTTATCTTGCTGCGGCAATTGATCGCGCGGTCGAAGAGCAAGGAGGCGTCACCCATATTCTCTCCCTTGATTACCACGGAGTTTTGGATAGGACCTTCTTGCAGTCCCGCTATCTTTTCGAGAACCTGTCTCGACGCAGCAATATACTGATCCTTGTCAATTCCAAATGTTCAACGGAAAGCTTGATTGAGCACGCGTTGGAGTACGTGCGCGAAGTGGCAGTGTCAGCGCGGTATAACGTGCGTAGCCTGCCGCTTCTCTTTATCAGGCGACCGAACAAGGCCCAGCGACTCTGGTCGGCGATTTCAGCTTCATCTTTGAGCGACGGGATCCCAGTCGTCCACGTGGACGACAAACCGTCAATCTGTGCTGAGTTTTCTGGCTGGGATCGCTACGGGTGGAAAGGCTTGGCACTTCACCCTGCCCGCCGCACAGAGCTGTGCGACCTTGTCCTTCCCGCCATCTCTGAGTGGTGAGGGCGCAAGGGATTGAAAAGAACACGGGAGTTTCGGCAGTCGCCAACCCCGCTTAAGTCCCCAATTGCTTGAATCATGTCCCACGAAATGTCGTCAGAAGAGCAAAGCTCCTTGCAGATTACTTCATCCAGTAGTGGGGTTAGGGCATTGCCGGTTAGAGCTTCCTCCAGGTCATCCCGAGGGTCGCGTAGTAGCCATAGCTCTTCCCCATCGCCAACAGTAAGAAAAGGACCTCACCTTAAGCAGTCCCCAGCCTCCGACAAAGGCCCAGGTAGTGGTTCGTTGGTGCCATTCGCCAACCAATCTCCACACAACCGGAGCCCAGATGATGGCCCCATTGTGCGCACAGGAGCTGCGCCAGCCCGGAGCATTCCATATGTTCCTACCGGCCAGGGTTCCCAAGGGTCTGGGGTTCAGGATAGCTCGGGAGTGAGGTTGTATCAACAAAACATTAGCATAGGACTTGATCCTAACGAGGTGATGGCTCAGGCTAGAGAGTTCGAGTCGACGGTTTATGGTCAGGCCCAAGCAGTGGTCCAGGAGGCCCAGGGTCAAGCGAGGGAAGAGGCTAGGCAATTCGGAACGCAAGTTGTCAATCAGGCTCAGACTGCGGTTCTAGAGGCTCAGGCAATCGCTAAGGCAGCAGCAGCCGCAGCAGTGGAACAAGCCAGATCCGAGTTGAGACTAGAAGTCCAGCAGCGTGAATTGGCATTCCAACAAAAGGAAGCTGAACTGATTGCGCAAATCCGTACATTACAGAACGAGGTCACTGTGCTTCGTCATCAGAGCATGCCTCCACCTTCGGACCCACCACCAAACATCCTCAATGGCACGGAGTTAGCCTCTACCATTGCTGAGTTAAGGGCTGAGGTTAATACATTGCGGGATTCCGTAACTAGCCCTCGAAGACCTAGATTACCGTTGTCCAGCGGCGTCGGCACTCGGCCACCCGCTGCCTCATACCAGCGAGCACCCGCTCCAATAGCACCATCGATAAGGCAGAATCCTTCACCACATCCTTCATGGCATGGTTCCCCGGTCAAACATGACCCGTATTCAGATGACGATTCTGATGATTCGGAATTGCGGTTAGACTTCGGAGGTCCACCAAACCCTTCTGATCCTAGCCCGCACGGTAGTGCCGGGAGCCATCGAAGCTACAATAGCCGTGGTGTCGGGTCAACGATGCTGTTTTCGGAAGATGATGTGTACAAG